CTATATTAGCACTCGCTCACCCTCTCGACAGCTTCTTCGATTCACCCGCCTACCTACCCCGGCGACGAAGAGGTTCGGACTCACTCCTTTGCAAATACGCCTACTCTCCGATGAAACCCGATCCGCCATTGATAAAGCTGTAGCCTCGGCGCCTGTTGTCCTGTTTATGAAAGGCACCCCAGAGACACCGCAGTGCGGGTTTTCAAGGGCTAGCATTCAGGTTCTGGGTCTACAGGGGCTGGACCCAAAGAAGTTCACAGCATTCAATGTGCTCGAGGACCCCGAGCTAAGACAAGGTAGGCACAATTGCACAATTGCAATACGGTAGTGGTAATTGAATTATATGGCTAACTTGTTGGTTTTTGTTTCATATTAGGGATTAAGGAATATTCTGACTGGCCAACTATTCCCCAACTATACGTCGAGAAGGAGTTCATTGGTGGTTGTGATATCTTGATGACTATGCATCAGAATGGAGAGCTGTCTAAGCTTCTCGAAGAGAAGGGCCTGGTCGTGCAGGCAGAGCAATGATCGAATCTATTCGCAATCAGAGAGATATGTCAGGATATGTTACAATAGTCGGCGTTACTGAGAGGGTCAACTTCTGGATTTATGTGTCTCTCTTTTTCCACTAATAGGCTGTAAATTTGTCTATACATGTATGCTCTTTGGGATAAGCATGGACCGAAGGATGTAATACATACATATGCACTCCTAATTATACCCTGGATTTCTAGTTTGCTTTTCTCAGCTATGTTTCTGATACCCGGCCGAATTATAAGATGCAGTGGTGGCTATTTCAGACTGTGCGCATTGGCCCTACCCGTATGGAGACCCAAATAGGAAATCTTCACTACATACCTTCAACCACAACTTTTTGTCTTCCAGGTTTCTATTCTACAGAATACCATATTTGCCATTACTCTTCCAAAGCCCCATACACAACGGTCTAATGGCCGAGTCACACTGCTACCGCTCTATATACAAGGGTCGAACCACCCGGAACTCGGCACTGCAGTGTTCGCCCGGTCAAACTCCATATGCTAAAGCCAATGCGAGTATGAGGAGACTCAGATCTAGCATCGATATGGAGCCCTCAGATATCCCGGACTCAAGAACAGATACAGCCAGGCCATACCCACCTACTGAGGAGCTAAACGATGGGCAAACGGTTCTGGACTCGTTCATTGGTCAGTATGAAAAACGACGTAGTTAATGCAGCACAACAAGAATTCCTCTGACTGCTGGCAACAGATCTGCTGGAGTCCGCCCGAGAGGATATGGCAGAAGAGCTTTCTGCAGCAATCTCAAACACTGAGGACTCCATGAAAACTCGCCTCGATGAGATGGCTACAGCATACGTTAAGAGGGCAGACGAATTCCAGGCTAACTATACAAAGGTGTTAAGCCATATCGGGGCGCCAGTGCTAGGCGAGAGTACTGCTGGGGGTCAACCTGCAGAGTTAGATTCAGTAGAGGTGTTCGGCTTTGATCGAACCGCATTCTCGAGCAAGATAGAAGCCGAAAATCGTTCCCTGGAGCGATTGTGGGGCGAATGGGAGAAAGTACAGCAGAAAATAATCTGTCTTGCTGTTGAGGTTCTTGGTGTGAAAAGGGCTGGTATCACCAAAGATCCGAAGAAGAAGGTGATGAAGAAGAGATTGAACCGTGCTGCTGGTTTATTCGACAAACAGCAGTCTAAGCAGGGAGCTATGCGGGATGAACTGCAAAAACAGCATCAAGCCGTTACATTGTTGGCAGAAAATTCAGTAAAACAATTGAAAGCCCGTCAAAAGGTATTGTATACATTTACCTTCTCTTTTCCTGGGCCACTGATGTCACTAACGACTATAACCTATATATAGAAATCTATGGACCAGAGAAAGAGACAGCGCGAGGAAGTCTGCCAACTTGCAAAGAGGATGCTGGCACAAGTTTAACTGGCTTAACTATCCGTTCGGTCTATGTTTATTTTTAGTACTATATTGTTTCCTATCATGCACGAAGCTCTCTGTGGTGAAAGGTCATGTATATCATATATGTTTTATAGCTTTATCTATATATCATAAATCTTATGCAAGAAGACGTTATTAGTATGGACTATCCCATACTTCTAATTACCTTTTCCAGACAACTTAGCTGCTTCCTCCTGCTTCTTAACCTCTGCCTCGTTAATACTCTTGAGCATTTTGATCCTTTGTCGTTCCTCGAAGGCTGCTCTCGCTGTCATGATTCGCTGTACTATTTCTCCAGCATTGACGTTTTGGAATTGATGATTGCCGATTTCTTTGAATATCCCTAATTTCCTGGGTTCTTCATACGGATCAAAGGTTAGAGGGATGAAAGTGGTAGGGCCATGGTACACCACATCAGCCATTCCAAAGGGCAGGGCGCTTAGGTATGCTTCGGTTGGAGTAAAAGGGGCAGCAAACACGACAGCATTTATATACTTCAGGAAACATTAGCCTTGTACGAACTTATGAAGGGACGGGCCATGCTTACACGACACTGGAGGACACAGAGACCTCGTTCGAAAATGTTCATGATTGGATAATTCAGACCTTTCCAGCGATTGATTACCTCGTCGTCATGCACGCCGGCCACGATATATGCGGGCCCGTAATCCTCACCGTGTTCCTTTACTCTCTGTGCCACTTGGTCTGGGTGGAACCACCCACGAGCATCTCCTTCCTTTTCTTCTGCAAAGTGCACGCAGCGGAGAAACTCGATATGGCCAGACGAAAACAAGTCGAAGCCACCGTCAACATAGACAATCTTCTGTCCTGGTTTTGGCTTTACACCTTCAACCAACTGCTGCAGCTGCTCATGTGCTCCACCAGTTGCAGGTGTGCTGCTTAAAGTTGATGGACCATTCCAATGCCAGACCTCAGGCCCAGGGCGTAGCCCTGTCTCGTCTGTGGCATAGTCTCTGATACGCTGGAAATGACTCTTTCCAGCCTCCTCCATCTCCTCAGGAGTTCCGGAGCCCTCCTTTCCTGTGATATAAGCTAGAAGGGACTTGATAAAGTGAGTCTTCGTGCAGAGAAGCATGCGGCCAACCAGGTCAGTGGTCGAGATGCCAGGGGTACGCTTCACCACTAGAAAGCGGCCTGCCTCCTTGACAAACCGATAGCAGTCGTTGCCATCACTGTCTGAGGTGATGTCGTCTCCATGAACAACATACTGGCATCCATAATGAGATATCCAGTCTAGAGAAGTAACATATGGAGCGTACGGGATGGACTTTGTTGACCATCGACAAGCATCCACAGCAGCAATCCTTCAGGCCTAATCAGCAACTTCAAGCAAAGAAGAAGAATAGAGCAGCAAGAGAGCGAAAAAGAAAACAAAGGGAGTCCTGCTTGAAAGCCGTAGGAGTACTGATTGACCAACCGTTCAGCAAGGGTCATGACGGTAGGCCCCTTATTGTCCGATATCTCCTCGTCTGAATGCACACCAACGAGCAGCTCCTTTCCCAGTCTGCGAGCCTGTAGCATGGCCCCCGCATGGCCTAACCCAGCTGATTAGAACAACCGCCCACAGAAGACGACGACGAAGCTGTAAGCAGTACATCAAATCAATTGGCGAACGAACCGTGGTGGCTGAAGTCAAAGCAGCCGTCTACCCAGATCCTGTCCTTGGATATCTCGACATCCTCCTGGGGGTCTGCTGGCCATTGTCCCGGCCGTGGGAGTGCCCCGCGCTCAAACGCCGCCATCTCAACGTCAACAGAACAGACACCAGCACAAAGTGGTCGGTCGAGCGAGCACACGTCTCGCAGCAGAAAGGAGCAAGTGATCGCGTGTGATCCAGCCGTCGACGACTCCGTGTCCCAGCTCAGTCGATCCTCCAGGTGGCGCTCGCCATCGTATTACTTTGTTCCAGTCTGTCCGGTCTTGCGCTCGTCGGTTTCGCTCGTTCGTTCGCTTTTGGCTCGTTTCGACGCAAAAGTCACCAAACAGGGGAGCCCACCGGGGGGGCCTGGATGACTAAGCATATCCCATTGCCCCGACGATACGTCATCGTTACACGCAACCTCGGTAACTTTGCCCCCTGCTTGTATGGCCAGCTGTGGTAACTTTGCCCCTGACCCGCCGCCGGTCTTGTCACGTACCGTATTTTCCGACGGCGCCGCTGCTTGTCTTCCGTCATCCTGCGCTGCGGCGGCCCTGGTTCTTCCAACATCGAAGGCTCGCATTAGCGTTCATCTCCAACAGGTCGACCACCGCGCTCCCACCAGCCCTTCGAGAGGCGCTGTAGCGTACCCGTCTCTTGGTCCATCGAGGACTTAGCATGTACCATCGGTTCCCGCGTGAGAGGAGGGGGGTCCCACACCCTTGACAGTCGAAAGATGCAGTCCGCTATAAAGATGCCCAAGCTCGAGACCGAGAAGGCGTCGGCTCACAACACTGTACGTTGACCTCCCCTTTGCTCTCCTATCTTTTGCTTCTCTGTCTCTCTCCCTCTTCTCTCTCCCTCTTTCCTCCTCCTTTTTTTTTTTTTTTTTTTTTTTTTTTTACCTTTTTATACCTTCGTATCTCTCCAAAGCCGCAAAGCTGGAGTACTCGGCTGCGCTCCATGTCAAGGCTATCATGTCCGGGAGAGACTTCCTTGCTCCTCCCCCGGACACTAGAGCCAGAGAGGTAAATCTTGCTGTATTATTCCAATGCTTACCTGCTGTGCCTCTTTTTCTGGCATCTAAACATGTCTAGGGATTCAATTCTTCCTCCACTATATCTACCCCCATAACAGGGAGCAACAACCTTGGACCCCAGAGCGCCACTAATATATACTCCCACATACACGAAACCGCATCAAAACGGATACAGACCCTCGATTACCTACGTAGCGCGTGAGATGCCTGGCTCCTCCCCTTTTCCGGCCATTGTCCTTCTAGTTGGTGGAGCGTAGTGCTGACATTCTATCAACTGGATGACAGTCACAATGGCAGAGTATACTGGTTCAATACCACACACTTCTCCAAAGCAGATCTCGCCCGCATGCCCTACTTTGAAAAACGAAAGCTCACGCGCCGCGCCATAAATTTCCTTTTCCTGGGCTTCTCCCTCCCGCCGATACTGGATGTCAGCTCGGGACTCTCCGAATACCTCAAATCCCTCAACGCTCTCCTACTCGAGTTCGAATCCTTCCAACAGATCCATTCCGTGGATGGGGGACCTGCTGCAACTCTGGCCCGTGCAAGGCTGCCGCACATGTTCAAGCGGTCAGGCCAGTCCACCAAGGTGAGACGGACAAGCTCAGCTACCGAGATTGGTCTGCCCATGCAATCTGGAGGAGTAGATCACCACTCTGAACTTAAGCCCATGGGCAACATGGCCTCCGCAGGCGGCACCTCTGCAGTCTCCACGTTCCCGTCTAACTCTGAGTCACAGGATCTACTCCCTGGTGAAGAATACACATTCCTCCTTACGCCTTCGTTACCGTTTGACCCGGACTACTTTGAGATATTCGCCACTCTATGCGACGTGCTTATCGACTGCTATTCGAGGCTGGTCTCCCTTGTTTCTCACCCTAGCCTTTGCAATGCTGCTATGGGCGAACTCTTTACCAAGGCTGACGCAAAGCTACGGAAAGTGATCGTAAGTGGTATTGTCAGAGAGTTTGAAGACGCCAGCCGGGCCAGCGCGAAGAGCGAGGTCGCTGGAGTTGGACGTATGGTTTTAGGTGGACTCCTGGGTTAAGCGATATAGTTCGGGTCAATCTTTTGTAATTAGTTAATGTCTAACGTTGATAAGAGTGGACTACACATTATGACGATCTAATGAACATATACCCAGCGCACCCGTTTTACCATTTCCCAGTTTATTATTAATATCAACTTGCTGCTTAACAGATACTAAAAATAATAGCCCTTTACGGTCATCATGACATGTATTTGTGTGCTATACTGCTAGCCTCTAAAGTTGCCTCCACTCTTGTATAATGTATATAGTGTACAATCAGACATCGATATCTTGCACATAAAGGAGAGGTCTAAACGAGGGGGAGAAGGAAAATATATATAAGAAAAAAAAACAGGGAATAAAAGAAAAATAAAAAATAATAGAAGGGAACGCTCATCTAAGCCGAGTTGCGCCGTTCCCATTTTTATTTAACCACCCAGATGAACAAAAAGAAAATGGTATCCAACGCCAAATGTCAAATAAAAGCACGGTCTTTCTTTTTTGATGGGGTCGTGATTTAAAGTAAACGCAAATCGCTCACAGGAAACAAAGTCAAAACCGTAACTCCGCTGGTATAAAGATGTAGAGTGGAGATACTCTGGGTTCTCAAGATCGATGTCAACGATTGCGTGGCAAACGTGGTCGGTAGCTGCCGATCGAGTAATAGGCTGGACCGAGTGTTAGGAGATTGAACGGTTGTTGGTAGTATTAGCCGTAGCATCGTGGGCTATTGGTGTGCGCGCTGGGCCTCCATTTCTTTCTTGTGTTCCAAGAAAACTCGCCGGCTCATCTCAAGGACGGATTCGAAGCCTTCGCGGCCCTTTTTCGCGTTCTGGCTAAAAGTCTCCACACTCACGTCCTCGATTTTGTTCTTGATCTTCTGCCAGCCGCTGCACATAGCAGTAATTTGGGCCTCCTGCCTAAAGTCCGTTTTGCTGCCGGGCATCGAGCTTGATGGTTGATAGGTAACAACCTCTCGCACCTTCAGGACGTTGGCCCATGATAGATTCGTAGAGCACATGGTGACTTTCTTCGACCGTGGATCAACGTAGGATACCTCGTAGACATGGGATGTCGAGCTGCCTCCAAACAGTTTAAGAATCCATTGAGGGGCTGATTGGTTGCATGTTATCAGACGCTCAGTTCGTAGCTATGATGAGAGAAGCCATATGGTTAGCCAGTTTGCCCAGCGTAATCATTACCGATGTGCGCCGGAGGGACTCACTATGCCAGATTCTGGGTTGATATCGTGGGAGAGCACGTCCACCGCCACGACATGGGTGGACTTCTCATTCCAGGGACAATATTTACGCCAGTTGGCCGTGGAAACCTCGTCCCAGGAGTAGTCAAAGGTGCATGTGGACTCGAAGACCTTCATCGTTCTTCTGACACGGAGAAGAGGAGTAGCCGAATCGACGTCCTTTCGCTAACACGACACAAGGGATTAACCCTAGCCCTGAGTGAGGCCAAACAGAATAAAATAGTATTATATATTAGTCTATTATTGAGGATTGACAGGATGCCGATGAACTCGACTGTTCTCTATGGTGACTGTCGATAGGAAAGATGAAAGATGCAACTCTCGATGACGCTCTTGCTCCGGTCGAATTTCAAAGCAGAAAAAAAAAAATTGTTAGGGAAGAAAAGAGAGGAACCTCTGCTGACTCATCAATGCCAAGCCCGTCCGTGCCGGTTTGACCCGCCAAGGCACATGAGCATCACGTGTCACTGTTTTATTCCTTTTTCCACTTCGGCTTTTTGATAAGTTGATGTCGTTGTGAGAATTGATTGAATGCTTGCATCATATGTCTCTAATTGCCTGTCTGGCAGAGGCTTGGACACCCGAATAGAGGGCTGGCAGACCAGTCGTTGCGAGAGCGGTGGCTCCAGCAGTCGTTGGACCCATAGATGGAGATGCGTCCACGTGACTGACGCCTCGCCTCCTTATCGCCAGATCTATCAAACAGACGGACAAGGCATGGAGCTCCAGCAGCTACCAACACTAATGCTGCGGTGAGTGGCCACTGTTTGAGATGGAAGTGAGGCCGTTTCACAGCTCCTCCTAGCCTTGATCCCGCCTATCCTTTCGAAGCATGCGCATTGTGTCTTGAGAAAGTTGATTTCTACCCTTTGACCAACGTTACCAGGGCTGCTGCCAACGCTGGCCCCCCGGGAATAGAATGCACTTCAGCGGATATAGTGCTTGCTCGAGCGCATAATTGACATAGACAAAAAACCAAGTCATGGCTACGAAAGAAGATGACACCGCCATCACTGCGTCTAACGAATCCCTTGCCCAACCCAAGTCCGCCACAGTACCGCAGAGCTCTAATTCGCAGTCACTCGTCGACCAAGTCAGCCTCTTCGTTGCACATGCAGATAGGACAACTTTGATTTCAATCTCAGCCGGAGTTGTTGCTGTGTCTTATGTGCTGTTCGGCAGACTTGCCCTTCTTCTCGTTGGTGCTATTGGAGGGGTCATCCTGTACATATGGTGGGAAGGACAGGACAATGTTACAAACGGAGATAATGAAGGGGCAGCAAAGCGCAAACGACATGAACTTAGCTTAGAGGTAGCCAACAGATTGACGGCGCTGTACGCTGACAATGGCTCAAAGCAGGACGATGATGAAGACACTCTTAATAGACCAGGGGAGTCCTCCCTGGATTACTCAAGGATGGGACCAGCAACAGAAGCCGCATTGACTGCTTTAACAAATTCGGTAATTGCAGACTATGTAAGGTGAGCTTGACAATACCCCTGGGGCTCTCGAATGGTAAATATGAGGCTAATCATGTTGTTAGCTGGTGGTATAAGCCTATTTTACCTTCTGAAGATGAGTTCCCTGAAGCATGCCGCAATACGCTCGTGAGCATGGTCCTGGCTGTATCATCTCGTATTTCTCGCAAACGGCCGGCCGACATGTTTCTGCAGTTTGCAACCAATTCAACATCCTTCATGATTGTATTCTTCAGTGAACTGTCTGCTGCTGTTGGTACAGCCACAACGGGCTCTAGGCCCGTGGCCGACTCTATAGACGAATACCTGGACAAAACCCAGAAAGTAGTCTAGCCAATGTTTTGTCGTCCACCCAACAAGAGAAAAAGCTTGGTCTCGTTGGAACAGATATACTTAAAACCTTCCTTGAGCCATCAGTTTATAACTGTGGTCCTCTTCGCATTTTTCTGCGTGAAGTCCTGTCTCGGTTGATACTGCAGCCCACAATAGACATGTGCTCTGATGCAGAGTATATCAATACGTGGATTGTGTATCTACTCGAGGAAGGGGAACCGCAGCTTTTGAACGCTATTGACGCCGGGCTTGAACAAGCGGACAATGTCAAGCAGAAAAACCCGACCAGTACCGGTACCCCAACGGCCAACGTACTGGAAGGGAAGGTCTCCAATATTGTTACTAATCTTGGGGATCAAAAGCTAGCCGAACAGGTGCAACCTATGAGGCAGCCTTTCGATGCTGATTTTGCACAGCATGAGGACATCAGCGCAATAGCAATGCCAAAAGAAATACCTAGAGCAGCAGACTCTGAGGAGACCAGCGGGAATTCTGCCGTATATACACATTTACCTACTGACTCCTCCTCATCTAATACTACTGACCACCAGCCTACTCCTGGCTCGAGTACCAGTCTCAACGAAGATTCACTCGATAATCCCCCCCTTGACAGCCAACCAACGCCAATCTTGAATACTTCTGCCACCTCCCTAATTACAATGCAAACTTCACAGTTTCGCGGCTCTTCGGTTGCCATTATCGAAGATTTCAACGAAGATGATAAAAGTAATATTCGCTCAAAACCAACGAGCGAGTATTTGATCCAGATTGAACCCAGCAACCCTAAGCTCACTGGCTGGATGATTGCCAGGAAATATAGCGACTTTGAAATACTGCATGAGACTCTACGACGAATTTCTGTTGTATCTGGAATTTCTGATTTCTCGCTACATCATAATGAATTACCCGGGTGGAAAGGTAGAAACAGGAATGGCTTACGAGTTTCTCTTGAGAAATACCTCCAGACAGCTTTGCAATATGAGCAGCTAGCAGAGTGTGAGGGGATGAAGAAGTTTTTGGAAAAAGGACGACAATCCGGTCTTGAGCCAGAGTCCGCTTCATCAAAGTCTGGGTTTCCATTCGCAGCACCTGTGGCTGTTTTTGAGAACGTTGGCAAAGGAGTAATGGGCGTCCTGGGGACTGCGCCAAAGGGTGTTGCAAATAGTAAAAAGGCCATCGTCGGCGGAGTCTCGGGAATATTCGGGGCATCGGGGAATGATAACAGGAAGCGAGCCAGCAGTAATGCAGCAAGCAGACCTACGGCTGTACGGGGGACCTCAATGGATATACTGCCATCACCCGTGACCAACGTCACAGCCCACTCTAAGAACCTATCAATGAGCAACTTGCAAGATCGACCTAGAGCGACTTTCCAGCGACAGCCAACTCATCTAGAAAATGAATCAGGGGATATAGGCTCTGGATTGCCTACTTCTATCACTCATGCTGATAGTTCGCTGGCGAGCTCGTGTGAGAATTTAGCTGACGAAGGAAATGTTACACCACTTTCGTCATCAGATACCCCAGATACAGTGCATGTAGCCCTTTCTTCAGAGGCCAATGTTGAGTCCAACAAAGAGCCGGCCACTAGGGATAAACCCGGATCTGCTAGCTCGGGTGATGTGGAACCACCTCCAAAGAAAAGCTCAGAAGGTCGTAGTTACGCCCCGGTTTCCGAGGAAGAAGCAGTAGTCGTGGTTGAGCTGCTTTTTGCTGTGATAAACGAAGTGTACAGTCTGTCATCAGCATGGAATATTCGGAAGAGACTGCTCAACGCCTCAAAGTCTTTCCTCCTCCGCCCGGGCAACCCTAGTTTGGAAGCTATTCGGACTCTTCTCCAAGATTCAATAATTGATGGTAATACGTCTGATGAGGCTCTCGCTGGGTATATAACCAAGCTACACAAAAGTAGCTTTCCAACAGAAGAGGATCTGAAGGCGTATCCCCCTCCACTCTCGCCGGAACAGAAAGAACAGCTCAGAATTAAGGCACGGACGCTACTGATAAGCCGAGGTATGCCACCGGCTCTGATGGGTATAATGGGCGCAAATGCAACAGGAGAGGCGCTAGGGAAAATATTTGATTGTTTACAGATACCATCCGTTGGCAGGGCGTTCGTCTTTGCCATCCTTTTGCAGGCAATCAGGGTGATGACACAGTGAAAAATCAGTAGGGGTGTATAAAATATATAAAACATATTTTTCATGAATTAGCTAGGCCAATGAGATTAATATTTCTCTAAGGCTAGAATTAAACCCTTGGAAACCGAAGGAAAATAGTTCTATCTAATCGAAGAAAAGTCTAGTCCTAGATCTGGCCAAAGCTAAAATTACATCTATTTAGTCGTTCCGTCTTCCTCGAGAGAAACCAATCGCCGCTTTTTGAAAAACAGAAATGTGAAAAAAAGAGAGAATGCTGCAAACGATGAGAAGTTATTTGAGGAAGAGAAGGTAGAAAGGAAGTTACTGGGGTCAGGGAATCACCAGGATGCTCTATATGCCAACCAATATCGAAACACGAAGAAGATCGACATAACAGAGGAGATATATGAATCTATGCGTGAGATTGCGAAGGAAATCTGGTAGTTAGCGAGGATGGTCTATTTTGATAGACCGACGAAGAAATCCCGTGTAAGCTCAAAACTGAGCCAGCTGCTGGCCATGCTTGGAGCAACTTTTAGCAGGTTAGGAACGATGCCCTTGTAGAAACCGCGGAGGCCTTCTTCAAGAGCGATTACTCGGACGGCATCGAATATGGATGTGTATTTGTATCCCATACCAGACATGGTGTTTATCTGGAACCGACGGCGGAGAACATCACTTGAGTTCATGTAAGTTTGGGAGTCTGGTGGAATTGGCGGTTCAGGAGAGACTTACAATGGATATGTGCATGTTTGAGCCACAGCACCTGATATGGCTCCTGCTAGTAGCTTCCTCAGAGCACTTGGATTTGCATCACCTTCAGGTGTGAGGACCTTTCGTATAGATTCATATGTCATGAAATTTAATCCAACCTTTCACACGGTCAGCCGATACTATATTTTTGATCATTGGGGAAATCCTTGAGGCAAGACTTACGTAAGGAGCCACGCCGGCAACGGTAGGGAGAATTCCTCTGTATAATGCAACGATGCCACCCTCATTCTTGTACATGAGGCGCATTGTCTCATACATCCCAGGTAGTTTTGTTTGATGCTGGTTTTTCAGTTCCGCAAAGGATGCTGACTGGATCGAAAGGCGGGTGCGTACGATATCCAGCGGGTAAGTGAAAGTAACGGAAGTTATACCAGCGAGTCCACCACATGTAAGCCGTCTCAGGGGAGTCAGCTCTCCACCAGGCGTCGGTTCAAATGCCTATGATTGACGCCAGTTAGCATCATCCAGCAATATCCTCTTGCAATGAAGAACGCCTTCCATGCCCGGTACCTTTTTATATAAGTTGTAGCTTCCAAATTGGACTGCGGAGTATGGAACAATTCGAATACAGTTTGTTCCATTACCACGCATGAATCCTCTCCAGCCTTCTTCTCTCCACATTTTGGCAAGACCCTTGCTTATGGAGAGTTTGTATTCTTCTCGACCAACACTCTGGACCTGAAGGAGAATCTTCAGCCGTTCCAGCGGGGACACAATCGTTCTGGACACGGCGCCTGCAACACCACCGCCAATGAAGGCCGCCACGACGGGCTCTGCTAACCTGTCCGTCACTGCAGCGAGAGCAGGATTTCTTTGCTTGACCTATAAAAATGAAATTCAAGCCACAGTTAGCCCATCGATTGTCATTCTGGTAGAGAGAAGCCGTATTCCATCAAAAGAAAGATCTAACCTGTGCCTGTGGGAATACCTCTGCAGCTCCGGCAGGTAGCTGCGTCAAGCCGTGACGCAGAGCGGCCCTGTCATCCGGGTTATCATCTTTGCGATTGAGACTCATCGTGAGGGGTACAATCGAGTAGCTCCAGGCCCGAAAAGCAATCGGCAACAGTCCTACTATCGGTTGACTGGCAAATGGAGCTACCTAAATATGCCCCGGTTTTATATCCTTGTAGCCGTGAAAACTGCTCTTGCGCGCAACTGGCTGAGGGATGGACTCCGGTCTGGAGAAAGGCGAAAGCTAGACCCAAGAGGGGTAAATGGCAACAGTGAAGTATCTAGAGCGAAACATGCTCCGAAATAGAGGCTGGCTGGAGGGGAGATTGGTCGTTGAGTCGACTGAATGCTGTCTTAAACCATCCGGATATCGAGAGCCAGGCGAGGCTTGATAGGGGGATCTCGACTTAATATCCGGGCTGGCGACAAAAAGGGCGACAAGTGACGGCTGGCTCAGTCACGGATCCATCTAACTAAGCCTGGGCAGGTGATGGGAGTGAACAACGCAAAGAACAACCAATGCTCTGGTGTTCAAATGATCTACTTGCAAGTGTTAATCCAGAGGATGGTGAAGCGCCCTTTGCATAGCAGTCTTGACAGTTGTTGTCCTTTTTTTTTATTTTATTTCTTTTATTTTTTCTTGGTGATGAAGATCAAAAAGAGCGAGAAAAGGAAAAAAAAGAAAAAGAAAAAGAAGAAAAAAGAAAAGATAAAGCTGAAATTCCCGTTTAACTCGCAGGGCTTACGTCATAAATTACATAATCACGGGTTAAGGTTGCTCCGGTGTTTTTCCGGGCCTCCTTCCTTTTTCTTTTTTTTTGCCCTTTTTTCCCTTTCCTCCTTGCAACAACAACAACCTTGGAACAACGTCGACTTCTGCTGCCTGAAGGACGAACGACGAGCTCTAGACACAGCGCAGTCGTCTTGCTTCACGTCTGTACGACGCATATAAATTATATTCTCTATAGTAGGGCCTCCCCCTGTTAGTCTTTTTGACCCTTCACCATGTCTCGTGGCGGCGGCACCACGCTCTACGTTACCGGTTTTGGCCACGGCACTCGAGCCCGAGAACTCGCCTACGAATTCGAACGGTATGTCCTCATCGTCGAGCTCCCCCTGATCGATACCTCTCGACCGATCCTTCTCTCTACGTCTTGAGTCCGAACCGTCAAACAAACAGCGATATTCTTTTCTTCCTGTCTTCCTGTCTCGTCAACGGTCCTACGCCTCCCCCGAACGCCCTTGGCATCAAGTTCTGTTCACGACGAGCTCCCTCGTCCATCAAATAGCTTCTACCATATACCCCCTGACTGGTTCTTGTTGTGAGGCTCATACGGAATTATATGCATATACTATCTCTCATCCTTACTCTTCCCGATCAAGAACAAAGAAGGTCGCCAGTGATACGTATCGTCTTGCTAACTTTTTTACTAAAGATATGGGCGCCTCGTGAGGTGCGATATCCCAGCTCCCAGAACAGCTTCAAGCCGACTGTAAGATAAATATAGACCTGGGTTAAGCTATTGTGGTACAAGGGGCATGCTAATGGTATTTTTCAGCTTTGCCTTCGTGGAGTATGAGAGTCGTCGCGATGCTGACGACGCTTACCATGAAATGCACAACAAGCGCATCGGCCGTGATGACGTTTTGAAGATTGAGGTAAGTCGGCCCAACACTCACATATGTCTTCTGGCTTGAGACTTACCTGTTTATTAGTGGGCTCGCACTCCTCCATCTGCGTCATGGCGCTTCGATTCCGGGCGTGACCGCCGTCGGGAACGCACTCCCCCACGCCGCAGTCACCGCTCTCCCTCTCCACGACGAGGCCGCGACTACTCTCCCCGTAAGGACGACCGTCGCGACCGTGACTTTGAGCGTCGTGAGAGAGACCGTTCTCGAAGCCCTGACGACCGTGACCGTGACCGGGACCGGGACCGAGACCGAGACAACCGGGATGACCGTGAACGTCGCGAAAGTGAGCGTGAGAATGGTACCACTAACGGAGATGAAAGGAAAGGTAAATAATCCCCCCTCTTGGTTTCCTTGGCGTCAATTTATCATCAACTGACCCGATATAGTTCCCATGGATTCTCCTCCCCCAGCACATGACGAGTTGGACACTGCTGAGTAGGTCAATCGCCAAGTTGCGAAGTTTCCCCCCTTTTCCGCCTTAACGCCGGAAAGCCGTCTCTTTCGCCCTTACAGAATCGTCGCTTTATGTTATTCCGCACGGGAGTGAGGAACTAGTTGCTTTCACTGGGTAGTATCCCTCTACTCCAACAGTTAACACTCCTCACAGGTCATGATTTCGCGCCCGTTCTATTGCTTCTATCACCTCGGTTCTCTATCCTTAATCTCTTTTTCCTTCGTCCGTGCTTGCATGTTTCTATTCGTTTTTCAGTGGGCAACTGGGTCTTCTTGCGATGTATAAACACCTTTTAACAGCGTTAGGTAAAATCTAACTTAGAGCTCTGTGGCATCTTTTCTTTTACCATAACCTTAAGAGACGGGTTTTACCAGGTTGGTGGTGTATCCTGCTCAAGCCACGCTGACAGGCTCTTGCTAGCTGAATTAAATATCTAATTCGTGGTTATCAATAAAAATTTATATGTTGATTATTACTGAAATTTTTAGCAAATTTAAATCCTATTTAAAAGAAGCATCAGCTTTCGCCGAGGTAAAGATTGGTAGTTGAGTAATTGAGTATTCTGGAGGTACCCATCTTAATGCGTTGATGTCACTGCGTACAGTCGTGGTTGGTGGCTCAGCGCTCCAGTTGGACAATAATATGTATATTTCTTTAGCCGGCATCCCTCAGAATACCAAACTCAACATCTCTAATTAACAAATAACGCCACTCACTCGGATTCACATCTACTCTAATTCCGCTATACCAGATCATTCAGAATACAATGGGATCCCCGTCGATTGCCTGCATCGGCATTATTGGGAAACAGGTTTGGACTTTCCTCCCGGTATATATTCGTTTACTTATAAGCTGACTTCAACCACCACCGCGGGCAAAAGAACAATCTGCTGCACATGTCCCTCTTTGAGCCACATGTAGACGACCAGCTTGAGTTCTCATTCATCTTAAACTCAAGTCTAGATATCTTTGATATGCGGCAACAACACACATCTGTGGACCAGGACCTTGGTCTCCTCCACGCCTTGGATGAAAGACTCTCTGTTTATGGATGGTTGACAAATACTGGAGTCAAGTTTGCCATAGTCGTGGACCTCGAAGGGAGGACTTCAGCGCATTCATCAGCGCATGAGCGACCTCTACCCGTTGTCGGGCTGCGGGATTCCGATTTAAAGCCGGTATGCGCATGATAGTACCCCCTTTTATGCACAGAACATGCTTATATTTTGACCCAGGCATTCCGAGCATTGCAAACAGCATATGTAAAACTACTGCAGAACCCCTTCTACAACCCAGACGACAATGTCCTTGGGAAGGAAAGCCAGACACAGCCAAAACCAAAGGGGATTGCTAGCCGCCAGTTTGTTGAAGAGGTCAACCGGATTGGTAGAACGTGGGCTCCAGGCGTAGCAGGTCATTAATACGGTTTCCTGATATTCTTATTTCTACAGCAGCGGAATTTCTCTTTGCTACATCGTTCTCCTGAGTGTGTCGTTTATAATCATGTAATTGGTTTAATGAGGAGTTTGGCTAAATTTGGTTCAATCGGCTCCGAGGCGCTCGTGGTAGATCCAACATGAACATCAAAAATATCATTGTTATATCCTTCCATCCCATTCTCGTCACCTTTACAACTGATGACGCACCTCGACAGGCGTCGAGCCGTTAACGAAAACTGCATACTTAGCTTTGAGTTTTATATCACGTGACTTCTTCTACTTTCGGACTAGCGTAGGGCTTCTTCCCACACACTCCACTCACCAAAATTCATCGCCAAAAATTCTTGAAACTCGAGCAGTTGTTCAACCACGCCGCTGCGAAAAGAAGTCCATCAGCAAGACCATTTCGCACCGCAGCCATGGGTAAGTAGCTGTATCATTCCACATCCTGAGCAGCTTTCAGACTGTCATCTCGTGTTCATGGCCGTCAAGAAGCTAGAAAACTAGTTATTTGATCCTATGCTAATACACAATAACTGTAGGTATCGATTTGGACCGTCACCACGTCCGCAACACCCACCGGAAGGCTCCAAAGAGCGACAATGTTTACCTTCAGCTCCTCGTGAAGCTTTACCGCTTCCTAGCCCGTACGTCTTGAATGAACCCCTCCGAAATCGCGAACGCGGAAGAAAATGTTCAAAGTGTGGAAGGAAGTGCTTGAAATTAACCAGGGGCGTTTTCTGTGTGATTTATAGGCCGTACGGACGCCAACTTCAACAAGGTCATCCTCCGTCGTCTTTTCATGTCCCGCATCAACCGCCCACCAGTCTCTCTTTCGCGCATCGTATCTAGCGTTAAGAAGGGATCAGAGGAAGCCTCCGTCGGAAAGACTATTGTTGTTGTCGGCACTATCACCGATGACAACCGTCTGCTTGAGGTCCCAAAGATGTCCATTGCGGCTTTGCGTTTCACCTCCTCCGCCAGAGCCAGAATTGAGAAGGCCGGCGGTGAGATTTTGACCTTGGACCAGCTCGCTCTCAGAAGCCCAACTGGTGCCAACACCATCTTGTTGCGCGGACCAAAGAACTCTCGTGAGGCCGTCAAGCATTTCGGATTCGGCCCACACAGCGGAAAGGTTAGTTTTAGATTGATAATATATACCTATTTTGCGGATGGTTGTATGGAACTAACGTATTACTATTATAGAAACCACTTGTTGCCAGCAAGGGACGCAAATTCGAGCGGGCTCGTGGACGAAGAAGATCGCGTGGTTTCAAGGTTTAAAATGGCTGTTGATGGGATACTGTTTCAAAGGTCAGCTTATAAAAATAGTGTAGCTGTACTTGTGATTGAAATGAAATGAATTTCCTACCCCCTTTCACCCACACGGCTGCTAGAGGGCCTCTCTAATGTGAAATAATTCTTTTACCGAAATGACATGACCTCTTTTCGATACTGTGAATTGCAATGAAACGTAACAAATCTTTAGTTCAATCTGGTGTCTATGTAAGCATACTGTTTTCTTCAAATCAAATGTCCATCTTTTCATGTTTCCAGGTCCTACCACCTTCGCCCTGGAAGTAGTCACCCGCAATATGGCCTTCCCCCCGGATCAGATATTTGTATATCGTCAAGCCTTCCAATCCGACAGGACCTCTTGAGTGAATCTTGTTGGTACTGATTCCAACCTCTGTGCCAAAGCCATACCTCATTCCATCTGCCATCCTAGAACTAGCATTCCAGTAGACGCCTGCACTATCAACCGCACTCAAGAAGCGCTCAGCAAGCTCCCTCGTAGACGTCAATATCACATCTGTATGCTTTGACGAGTGCCCCCCAATGTGTGAGATTGCTGCATCTACATATGACTGGTCACTTGTTCCCTCAACAGTTTTCACAGCTATGATTGCTTCGAGGAACTCTGTGTTGTAGTCTTCCTCAGTTGCATCTATGAGCAACGCAAGCTGGTTTGAATCCAGTTTATCTTGGAGTGCAGCCTTGGACTTTGGGTCACACTTCATAGTGACTCCCTTGGCAGTTAATGCTGCAGCTACCCTAGGGAAGATAGTGGATAGCGCTCTTTCATCAACCAGAAGTGTCTCTGCAGCATTGCAAGCGGCAGGGTAGTGCAGTTTTGAATCAAGTATAACCCGCTCAGCCATGTTAACATCGGCATCCGAGTGAAGGTAGATAGCACATCTCCCGTCCGCATGGCCAAGGACAGGGATCTTTGTATTCGTTTTCACAAACTTCACCAAGTCGTTTGAGCCTCGTGGGATCACCAAATCAATATGGTCATCCAGTGCCAAAAGTGGGAGAATTGCATCTCGTGTTTTGACTAACTGGACGGCGGCCTTTGGCACTTCTGTCGTAGCCGCAGCTTCCGCTATTACTCTAGATATCTCTATGAATGACTCGGTTGACTCCTTTCCGCCTGCCGCACGGTCAATGTCAGTATTTCCTTATAGACTCCTTGGGATTTTACGTACCCTTTAATATAGCAGCGTTTCCAGATTTGATGGAGAGAGCCGCAATGTTGGCAATGACTTCGGGGCGAGCCTCGAAGATTATCAGCAAAACACCGATTGGACAGCTGACCCGTTCAAGGATCAGGCCATCATCTAGCTTTGTTCGTAACGAGATATTCCCAACTAAAGAAGGACAAGAACATTAGCGAATGACGAACCATTGCAGGGGGGGATATTTTAATACATACTTGGATCTTCTAGATTCTTGACATCGAGAATGCCCTTGAGCATATCATCATACTTCCCAGGCCGAGCCAGGTCAAGTCTCTTCAGAATGCTTGAGCTGAGGTCACCTTTTTCAACTGCATTTGTAGCGGCTTCGACATCCCTGGCATTGGCCTGAAGAATGACATCTTTGTTCTGCTTGAGCGCATCATGTATGGCCACAAGGGCCTTGTTCCTGGCATCGGACGACAGGATAGCCAACTGCCTGGCACCCGCAGAAGCGAGCTTTGCTATCTCGGCTGGAGAAGACTCAGTCAACGACATAGTTGCGGAACAAAATAGTAGCAGCAACTGCTAATAATATATATATCTAGAATGATATAATATACTATATTATTACTTATCATGTTTGTAATGCGTAATGGTGGGGGTTGAAGTTGTGCCGCGCTAGTAATTTATGGCGTATTAGTTCCAGTATCTCTTCGTAATATTACACACCAGAATACTTACATAAGCCAACCTTTCAACATGGATCTACTTCAACTCGTTCTAAACGCTCCAAAGTCAACACAAGCCTGCATGTTGGATCTTCGTTTGCTTGGTACTTTTCTCTTCGCCTCTCGACGACGTTCACGACAGGAGTTGGGTCTCTTTTTTTGCAGTTAGATACGGGTTTTGCAGCCGGGTCTTTGCTAGTCACCGCTGCCTTAGGCATTATACCACCATTGTCGTGTTTAATTCAAGCCGGTCTGATAACGTTGTGTGTGTAGGGACGCTTTACCAAGTACATCCTTTTTTCAAATCTCACTTTTTTTTAATTGATCTACGCTGCGTCAGAAATATGGCAACCCAGCTGCTGCTGTCGTTTCCACCTTCGGCGGAGGTATCGGATGCAGAGTATGACAAGACAATACGTTCATTCTGTGTCAGTGTCAAAAAGCTATCTTTAAGTGGTCTAGTCGGCTCAAACACATCTGGACAGGGAAATCATCTTGAGGTGAGCATAATACCCCGTTTTCAAGTCACCTTATGCATATATATATATAATTATTATCATTGCCACTCATACATATCCATTGGTGCCTAATATGTTTGCATATATAGATACTGGACCCAGCCATACACTCTGTGGCATATTTGCATGTTCTTCTAGCATGTCATCAGATTTCTCAGAAGTCTGATAAATCATCCTTTCAGCCGGGCGGGGAAAGCTGGGAAAAAGCATTAATATTCTTTGAGAAATTTGACCCGGTCCAAGTCCGCTATGCGGGGCGTGAATTCACAAAGCTAGTTGAAATCATTGCAGTAATTGCGAGCACTCCACAAAAGGTATGTTATTACAGAGATAATAGGTGCACAATTTGGCGGAGCTCCAACTGATATACTTGTAGTCATTGCTGGCCATTCAGCCTCTCAAGAATGCCTTGCTTCGGCTGGATCCGTCAGGTTCAACCTTGACAGCAACTCATACGTTGTTTGTGCGTACATGTCTTAAAGCCAACGCTTGTCGTGCTGCGTTGCCAGTGTTAGAGAGATCTATCTTCCATATACCTACATCGGTGGATAGAACATACCATAAACGAGCGCAGATACTACCCTGTGTCAAGGATCAATCTAGCTCTACATTCATTACGGATTCCTCTGGTCTAGCGGGAAAGATTACTCACCAGACTTATCTTGAATATTATCTATACGGGGCTATGATATACATGATTCGAAAGGAATGGGATGACGCTTTGAGGTTCCTGCACATTGTTATAGCTGCACCAGTCACTAATACTGTCAGCAAGATCATGGTTGAAGCGTACAAGAAGTGGATTCTAGTGCGTCTTTTGGCTAAGGGACAGGTAGGTTAACTTTTCCATTTCTACAACGCATTGCACCAATGCCGGAATATACCCAATAACACTCCCTTGCCAGGTCTCAGCTTTGCCACGGGGGATACCTCCATTTGCAGTGAAGATATATAAGTCTCTCTGTAGACCTTATGAAGCGCTTGCAGACATATTCCGCGACGGTACTCTGCAAAGATTGGAAGCAGAAATGTCCGTAGGAATTGATCTATGGGATCGGGTAAGTTAAAACAAAGATGCTTTTCCAGCAGCTTAATTCCGAGATGTGACATGATATTGACTTACAGCAGGATGGGAACGCCCACCTTGTATACCAGCTCTCTGCTGCATATCGTCGGTTCTCTATTTTGAAGCTGGAGAAGGCGTTTTCAGCGATATCAATACCTGAGATTGCAAACCGAGTCTCTTATGAATGCAGCTCTGCTCAAGAATTAGAGGAGTATATCGCTTCACTGATAGCAGATGGTCAGTTAAACGCGCGACTTGTCCAGGCTGCGGACCCCTCTGGGCCTTCCGTACTTCGTTTTGGCAAGGATAATGCGGGCATGGACATGTCCGCAGAAGCTCAGCTCTCTGCATCCCTCATAAAGGAGAAGAACCGTATCAAGGCCATGATAGACAATGTTGCAAGAATTGACGTGAGGCTTGAACTGGGAGAAGATTACATGGAGGGGTTAGTGAAAGCTCAGCGGAGGGCCAGCGCGAAGAATAGAAACGCCACTACCTTCGACGAAGATATCATGGCCACTTCCCGCTAGAAGGGCATACGCATATTTACAGACTTGTGATAGATAGACTTCGACGCAGAAGCGAGGGAGGAGATGATTGATCTGAGAACGTGAATGATTGATTCTCTGAGGAATAATACGTTTGGTAGCGCAGGTTTCAAAAGAAAATATACAATTTGCGCTGCTTTGGCGTCAAGGTATTTCCAGCTTATGGCCGGTAAGAAAAGAATGGCTCATGGGGATATTTTTCTTGGACACAGAAACAAGAATAACAGGCCAGTACATCATGTCCCATGATGGGCGGTAGGTAAATAGTCAGATAAAATATTATTTATAAACAAGACCGAAGACGGCTTAATTTGAGGCGGGAGTCGTAGTGGTAGCAGGCTGAGCGGCGGGTTGAGCGGCCACTTCAGCGATGGAAGCCCCGGTGCCAGAGAGGTCGGTGGCCGTTGGGTTCTTCGAGTAGTAGTTGTTGATGGCCGACTTGATAGCATCCTCCGCGAGCATGGAGCAGTGCACTATCTATTTTGTTAGCATTCGATCATTTTATGCATGTTAATAACAAGACTCACGCTTGACTGGAGGAAGACAAAGCTCCTTTGCGATCTCGGTATTTCTGATCTTAGCGGCTTCCTCAAGCGTCATGCCCCGTACAAGCTCGGTCAGATAACTCGAGCTGGCGATGGCACTTCCACAGCCAAAGGTCTTGAATTTGACGTCGCTGATGGTGTTGTTGCTCTTGTCGACTCTGATCTGTAGTTTCATCACATCACCGCAGGCCGGGGCTCCGACCAAGCCGGTGCCAACGTCCATGTCGGTCTTTGACATTGAGCCGACGTTCCGTGGGTTGCTATAATGATCTAACAGTGCATGAGGTCAGTCAAGCTGATCGCTAAGTCCGCTGTACCGGTAAGGAAGAAGAGACATATCTTTCTCATGGTAGCTTCTGGTTGTTCGGAAGGTGAGCGCAGACACCGGAGCGAGTGGCGTCAAGGCCGGCCGTGATACAGCCGGAGATGCGATACATCTGGCCGCTCTGGGAGCAAGAGAAACGGCTCGTCTGAACATTGTAAAGGAGTGTGTAATATGATATTCTCTGCGTCTGGGTCTGCCTGGGCGAGAGAACGAGAGCGAGCGAGAGCAACGAGGAGGAAAAAAGAGTTGGAACTTATCTGATGGAGCAAAAGTCGGAGAAACCAAGAGGATCAGATAAAGTCGCCTCCGATGCTCCGCTGCGTCACATGATATCACGTGAAAGCATCAGCCATCCTATCACAGCCGCGATATAAAGTATTAGCTAAAAAAAGCGACGACGACATCAGAAAACAGAGGACGAGAGCGACAGCGAGCGGAAGCGCGAGAAGACCGAGCATCCGTCCGTCAACTGTTCTCTAGATCACAATAGCGGCAATGAATCCCTCGCGGGGAGGTAGCTTTGCCGTCAGGCTGCTGGGTGGGTTTCTCTCTTCTTTTTTTTGCTGCTTCATATGGTAATGCGCCATGCTGAACAAGAGGGATATATATAATACAACAGGCCAGCATCGCCCAATCCTTTCTACCACTCTACCGGCCCTTTCCAGCTCCAGATTTCAGTCGACACAAGCTGCGCCTGAGCAGTCGAGCGCCCTCCAGTCTACAGCCGGATCTGTCCCTGCGCGGAAAGCAAGGAGAGAGGTGCCTCTGCCCAGCCAAGAGAAACCCCAGGGTGTCCTCGACTATGCATTGTTCGTTAATTCCTCTATATTTCTGCTCCTGCTTCCCGAGGAATGCTAAGTGGAGGGGGTGCAATTGCTAATGGGGAAATTGGTAGGACTACGCTTGACCAGGTAGCAAACTGGGCTCGCCAGGGCTCTTTGTGGCCTATGACCTTCGGACTGGCATGCTGTGCCGTAGAGATGATGCATCTGTCTACACCCCGATACGACCAGGACAGGCTGGGAATTATCTTCCGAGCATCACCGCGTCAGTCTGACGTGATGATTGTTGCCGGCACATTGACGAACAAGATGGCTCCGGCCTTGAGACAGGTGTACGATCAGATGCCGGAACCACGATGGGTAATTAGTATGGGCAGCTGTGCCAATGGCGGTGGATACTATCACTACAGTTACTCTGTCACTCGTGGATGTGACAGAATTGTGCCTGTTGACATCTACGTTCCTGGCTGTAAGTTTCAACTTCGACTTGGACAAGTTTTTGACGGACGTTTGGCTAATGACTGTGGTCTAGGCCCCCCCACGTCTGAAGCGCTGATGTACGGTATCTTCCAGCTGCAAAGGAAGATGCGAAACACAAAGATCACTCGTATGTGGTACCGACGATGAGCTGGTTGTGTTGCTTGTGTTTAGGGAAGAAAAAAATGGAAGATATCCTGTAAAGTACTTTCTTTGTACAGCAACTTGGTGAGTGTGGATGCTTTGAGGTCACCTCACTCTAGTTATTGCGCTCTTTTCCCGTCTTCTTCTTTTTTAGTTCCTCTGCTTTTCTTTTTTTTTTTGCCTCTATAGATTGATCCAGGCCTTGTAATGCAAGCTGAATTCTATGGAATCTTTCGACAATAGTAAAAGGAATTTGATCTCAAAATTGATCAACCTATATCAAGAATAAAAGAGGTGAAAGCCTGCTGAGAAAGAAATGAGTGCTGGAAACACAGAAAATCAACATGGAGAGCAAAGAAGTGAGACTACTTGGTCTCGTCCTCGATGAGGTCCTGACCATAGTCGCTGTCAGCATCATTATTATTGTCATCTACCTTGGTAGCAGTAGATTTAGATGTAGTAGCGGTGGTAGTTGTAGATGTAGCTGCATCTGTAGCTGCATCTGTAGTGGTGGTAGTGGTAGTAACGGTAGCAGTCTTCGATATAGTGTCTGACTTTTCTTCTGCAGTTGTCTTTGATACTGTATCTGACTTGCCGTCCTCCTCGACTGTCTCTGTGGCAGTGGTGACAGAGGTGACAGTGATGAGGGGCTTCGAGGTGAGACTCCAGTCAATGATACCGTCGTCCCCGTATCGAGTCTGCAGCCAGTCATTGGCCTTTTTAAAATGTCCGCATGTCAACTAAAAAGAGTCAGCCTTAGATCCAGAATGATGGACAACAACAACAATAATAATAACATGCGTGGTATACGTACAAATCCCTTGTGGGCACTGAGGGGGCTTGGATGGACAGACTGCAGAACACAGTGTCTCTCCTTGTTGACTCCAGACACCCTCTTGCCTGCCGGGCTACCCCAGGCCAGGAAGACGACCCCCTTTGTGCGTACACGGGCGACAAGGTCAATGGCCCGCTGGGTGAAACGCTCCCAGCCACGCTGCGAATGGGAGTTTGCGTTGTGAGCTCGGACAGTGAGACAGGTATTGAGCAGGAGCACCCCTTGCTGGGCCCAGGGAGTGAGCAGCCCTCCGCGGTTGGCGGGCTCCTCGAAGGCCGGATAGTCGTTCTTCAGGGCAAGGTAGATGTTCTTGAGCGAAGGGGGAGCTGGCGTAGGCGGGCGTACGGAGAAGCAGAGGCCGTGAGCCTGGCCGTGGTTGTGGTACGGGTCCTGGCCTATGATGACCGCCTTGACCTTGTGCAGTGGCGTGTACCTCGACCTGTGCAAGCCCGCGAGCTAGCAAGTTAGCGTCTGTACGCCCTGTAGGAAAGCAGAGAGTAACGGGGGGGGGGGAGGCGGGCTGACCATGAGTAGATGTCCTGCTCGGGGGGGAAGATGTTGGCACCAGACTTCTTCTCGTCACGCAGGAAACGCTTCAGCGCCAGGAACTCGCGCGAGAGCAGCTCGTCCGTGAGATGGGCCAGCCAGCTCTCGTCCAGCGTGTCTATCTCGAGCTTCAGCAGCTCCCGCTGCTCGGCAGTCAGGCTGCTCGTCCATTTGGCCTTGTCGAACGCGGCCCTGGGAGCTGCCGATGCAGCTGTGCCTGAGCCCGGCGACGACGCGAAGAACGCCGTGATCGTCGACTTGGGCTTCTTTGCCTCCTTCGACGTGATGCTCGCCGCCCTCTTCATCTTCTTCTCTTCTTCTATCCTTCTTCCTTTATTATCTTCTTCTCCGTCTCTTTCTTGTCTCTTCGTCGTCTCGTCCTTCAGCTTTCCAGCTTCTGCCTATCTGCATGCTGACTCAGCAACCTAAAAAGCTGCCCAAACCTTGTTTTGCCTCTTTCTTGGCTTTGACTTTCAGCTTTCCGGCTTCTTCAGGTTCTTCTTCCAACCTTCGCGCATCGCATCGCAACCTGCAGAACGAACAAACTTCCAACGCCCACGCAACGCTCGCCGTTTCCTGCGTCTCCGTTGCCGCCGTTGCTTTTGCTCCCGCAGCGCCCCGGCCTGTCTCCTCGCGTGTCCCGGGCTGCCGTCTGTCGGCCGCCCTCTGCGTCGGCTGCATCGGCTGCGGCTTATCGTGCAATCCCTCGTTATCGCCTCCGCTCGCTTACCCCCTACTAGTTGACGCTGGCCTATACGACCCCTGGATTAATTAACAACCAACGACCGGCGCTGGGGCTCAATTATGTCACAGTATGCCTTAATTAATCCTTCCTGGGGCTTTGGTTAGAGACGACGACGACGACCAGAAGAGAAAACAACACCTGTCGCGCCTTCATGCGCACCCGCGGCCGCCTGTCCGGACGGCTAGTTGGTTACATACATATAACTACGCACTGCAACCGCAACTGCACGCTACAATGGCCTCGTCCATAACCTCCACAACCACGACCACCTCCGCCGCTGCGACAGAGCCATCGCCTACCTCGCCAGCCTCAGTCGCGGCCTCTACGGCTGAATCAGAGGTTTACCGGCCTACACACCCCATTGCGCACCTCCAGGGCCCCTTCGAAGAGTCCATCCTCGAGTCCATCCACGGCTTCAACCAGCGCGTCCTCTCCCCGCCGGATGCCGTTACCCGGCGCAAGCAGCTTCTCCAGAGTCCCAAGTACCAGCGGTCATGCTCCGGCAAATGGCAGCAGCGTGCCGGCGAGAGATACCATCCGCTCTGGAAAATCATGGCCCAGGTCTCCTTTGGCATTCACCTACTCGCCACCGGCTCAGCCAGGTCAGAACTCGAGTCCGTCCAGATCCTGCGAGTACACGTCGCCGAGATCGATGGCTTTGTACGCCGCACCATGGAGGACTACCAGCTTGCCCACGAGGATCTTACCGCGCGGTTCGATCTGCTCGCCGTGCCCCTGGCCAATCTGGACGTGCTCGACTCCATGCTCGGCGACGAGTCCTTCAAACTCTTCCTCATTGACTGCATCAGCAAGATAAACCATGTCGTCCGCCGCTCGGAGATTGCCCTCCAGGACTCCCTCAAGGATCTCAGAAAGGCCGCCATCGCCGTGCGCACCGTCAAGGACTACCTGAACATCATTCCGCAGCACCAACACACATGGTCCCCGTCCTTCGGGGGCGTCTATGCCGACATGTTCCAACGTGTCGGCCTCTGGCTTACCAGTCTGTCGAATCTCCAGGCCCAGGGTGTCCGCTTGGTCGAGTTTCTTGTCAATCTCTCCTCTTCTATCTCCCGGCTACGACTCCGGATTGGCCTCAATCAGGCTGGCAGTACGGTTCGTCTACCTTTTCCCTCCTTTCCCTCACCTCCCCATTTTACTTACTTTCCCCTTACTTATTCTAATTGGCCCCAACTATTATAGCGCTCTGTCACTCTTTCGCCGAATATGTTTCCTCCACCGCGGGCCGTGGTCTCCATGGACAATCTGCATGAGGCCCACCAGCGAGCCTCCTATGCAGACAAGCCTCTCCCGGACATACGGCAGAGAAACCGCTCAATCCTCTCCCTCAAGCGCTTTGGCGCAAAATTACAGCACCGCTTCTCCTCCGTTAGCAACCAGCACCACTCTCCAACGCCCTCAAAAACGAACCTCTCCACCACAGGCTCTCCCAGGCCGCATTCTCCCGTCCGAGCTCCCTCTTCTTCCGCAACTATCACCTCTCCATCCTCAATAAGCATACACACCACTACCCCTGACATTCCAGACCTACCAGAGCTCGTTGGCTCTCATCCTTTGCAGCCTCCCAAGATCCCCGAACTGGTCGGCTCCCCCACGTCTCCAAATATTTCTGAACTTCCAGGCTCCTCCCCGACCAAGACCCAGGTGCTTAAGTCGGTCGAACTCGGCTCATCCCTGGGCGAGATCCCGCGAGACAGCATCGACTCTCGCACCTTCGCATACGAAAATGTCGTTTCTCTCCCTGAATTCGAACGTGGCGCTCCTCTATCTTACATCGAAAAACACTTTCCGGAACTAGCCCTTTCAGACATCCCCATCCACCAATGGCCCACCCAATCCTTCAAACCTCGCCAGCGGCCCCTAACTCCAGCCCAGCTTCCGCGCAGACAAACTACCGCCAAACTAAAGCCGTTCCTGCGAGGCCTCTTCTCAAAGTCGTCGTGCGTGCAGCCCACCATCTCCGAGTCAGGCACGACAGGTGATTGCTCTGAAAAGTCGCCCGTATCCACTTCTATCGATCCTTCGCCCATACAGAGGGCCAAGAACGAACCACCAAATACCATATCTCTACGCACATTGACCAATAGCGAACCCCGGCTACCGCTTCCTGCTCCGTCCTTATATAATCGAGATACCATCAACAGCTACAGCACTCCTTCGCGCTCACCTTCTACCGCTTCCCGAGCTACCGCCCTCACTTCGGATGGATAGCCGTTACGGCCTCACCCACAATACTTATGTAGATATATACACCCATTGGTTTACACATATATATATGCCCCCTTTACGTTAAATGTTGATATTATTCATACTTCTATAACGCCCCTATCGCAGTCCCTTTCTTATGCTTCATCTACATGGGTTTCCCCCCTTCTCACATCATCTGCAGCGTTCTTTTCTTTTTTTCTAGCGAGGGGTGAAACCAGGCATCGCGGGCTGAGCATTTCAAGGAATTAATACTAATACGATCGATCACTTTGTACTAGAACAGGCCTTCTGTATTCTGTTTCAATCTGGGACAGGGCATTCTGTAGTGCATGCAACAATTCAACGAATTTTCATATGTACTATTCCCCTGATCTCCATTGAAAAAAAAAAAAAAAAAAAAAAAAAAAAAAAAAAAAAAAAAAAAAAAAAAAAAAGTTGTTTTCTTCGTACTGTGTACCATTCTTGACTGCAGCCCCCGGTAAACCCCATGCGAATAGTCACTACTTAATCATGCACCACCACCCAACAACCCCTGCAAATGCGAAAATTACACACGACGGAATATGTATATGTACGCAAACTGTTTCATCTCTTTGATGTCACCAGCTTCGGCAACGACTTTCTCATCGTTGAAAAGAATCCACTTCGGTTCCTTCTCTGGTGGGACCTGCTTGCGGATAAAAGCAACGTAGTGACTTCAGTTGTTTTTCTAAGTTAGCAAAGTTGAAAAATACGAGGGCGGAGGATGATGGCTTTTCTTACCCTGCATGAACCGAGGTGCCTTTGTGGCAGACGATGGATTGCAGTTCGAACAAGGCTGGCTTCTCGCTGGATCCTGGGATGCTGCCTGATGGGCCCGAGCTGTTTGTGGCTGCCGTAGGATTCGGCTCAAGAGGTTCATCGGGATGGCTAAAGACCCAGTCCAAAGCTCTCGTCACGTCCCAGTCTGTGGCCCCAAGTGCCTTCTCAGCCCTATCTCTCTCAATACCCATGTCAGCTAGCTGGTTGATCTTATCATCTCCGTCGGCAGGTTTCTGGGCGCCAGAAGCAGAGCCCGCGCCGGTTACCAGGGGCTGGTCGATGTCTGGATCATCCATATGAGCGAGGATCCAGTTCAAAGCTGCCTCCTGGTCCGAGTTACCAGTATTGAACAGTCCCTTCTTCACCCTATTCTCGGGGAAGCCCATACCGCATAGAGCAGCAAAGGCATCCGAGTTCGGTGCAAATTCAGGGACAGCGCTTTCAGGTTCGTCCTCCAGGACCTCTTCATCTTCCTGTTTGCCTTTTGAGAGATACTGGGTCAGATCCAGTGGCTCATTACCAACCACCACGGGTATGTCGAGCTTCATAGGCACGTAGTTCACTACCTCCCATCGTCGTGCATTAACAATGAGATTCTGTGGGAGTGTTTTGAACAGCGTCTGTTTGGAGAATTGTTTGTTTCCGCAGCCCGAACAAGTCAATTCGACATGTTCTTCCCTTGTGAACAGATCAATACAATTTTTAAGAGGTACTGTTTCCCACTTCTGATCCGTTCCAGGCCCTGGCATAAAATGATTGAGTCGGATTGCAGGAACCTCAACTGAGATATTGTCCTGCTCATCGACCTTGTACCGCACCTTTTTGCATGATGTACATTGCAATCGTTGCTCAACAGCGAATCTGAATGATTCTACCGGATTCGGATCAGAAGCAGAGTGTGGAGATCCGCTGATAATCTTGAAAAGGTGCAGTAGTAGTTCGAATGCATCCTGCTGGCGCATGGTTGAGAATTCAGGATGGCCTCGGCCAATCAAGTGTTTGAACATGGATGGCAAGAGTCCACGCTGGTAGACAACGTCCGAGGTACTACCAGCTGCCGCTGGGTCTGGCACAGAGTAACGCCCAGAAAGGAGACCATCAGCTATTTTCCTTAGCTGAGTCTCAAGGTCCTCCGCTGGAGCAGAGGAAGATGGAGGCTCTTCATTGGGCTTGAAGTAGCGAGCCTTGAATTCCGGTAATGAGAATAGGCATTGTAAGACGCTGGCAATGTAACAGCTGTTTCCGAGGTTTTTAAGTCCAGTAAGCTCAGGTCCAAAGACTGGGTTCAATACTTGTCCATCATTAGAAGTCATTGAGAAGTCCCATTTCAGGTTTTGCTCAATTTGGAGCTCGGTTAAGCTTTTCTCAGTCTTCTCCTGCTCCGCAATATTGATTCCCCAGTGGGATAGGTGCTGTGCCAGTTCCGGGTCTGTCCTCTCATCATTACATGTATAGCAGTAGATATCCGCAGAACCCTCGGGGGTAATGGATCGAAGTTTGACGGCCACGCCATGCGATTTTTCATTTGAATGAGCAAGAGCGTGGGAGTTACCTCCTATGCCGCCAAACTGTGCTCGTCCGCAGCCAACGGTACCGCATTCCAGACAGAGCCAAAGGTTCTCCTGTAGGTCACATCCGTAGCACTTGGATGGTTCTATAACATTTATTAGACGCTCCTATACTGGTTGGATATGTGCCTCAAGGTCATACCTCTGATTCGAATACCCTGGTTGGAGCCCTGCTGTAGGCCTATGGTATGCTCGCATGGAACAAGCTCTTGTTCCCAAGCCTTCACCTCTTCCTTCCGGGAGAAAGTGGGTGCCTTCATCAGTTTGTCGACAACTTCAGCTGCTTTAGGTGGGCAGTCTTCCACTTTGTCGACACCACATTCAAGACAGACTATTTTCGTGGCTACGTCGTATTGATCGTCCTCAGAGCTAGCTTCAATTGCTAACTTCGACATCTTAACTGGCGGTTCGGCACGCTTAGAATATCAATGTTAGCTCAATATTCGTATCAAGCTACCATTGTGACGGTCATACCTCGACCTGCTTTCTAGTTCTCTTGATATTCAGTGCCAACGGGTGGCCGTGACGACGGCTATGTAGAGAGGCATGCTGTCTCTCCCCAGCACAGCCTCCGTTAAAGCAATGAAGACAGACATTTAGCCCCGCCTCGTTATCCTAAAACAATTCTCATCAGTTCGAAGCCCATAAAATGCTGGACTATTCGCGGGAGCCTACTATCGAGTCGAAACATAGGGTACAGTCTTCACGATAAACAGACTGGTTTACAGTTGGTGGTTTAAGGTCTTGAGATTAGGCAGCTGTTAGCTTCTGGATATCCCGATGCCCACAAACATATACTTACCAGCCTGAGGTATGTGTATACACGCCATATCGAATGAACTGCGTGTGATGATGGTGGTGGTTGGAAGTTGTTTGAAGCGTCGAAGTGGGCGGGTGGGCAGCAGCCTGGAGTAAAGATCTGTTTATCATGTTTGACTTAGATAAGATAGGCAGCCAAGGGCCCCACGTTTAGCCGGCTTAGTCAGCTTTTAGCCGCTCGCCGAGCTAAGCTTAGTTAAGCTTCTTCCAAAAAAACGAGTGATGGAAGATGATTTCGAGACAAGAAGGGTCATTCAAGCCTAATATCAGCACTACTGAAGAATGTTCTGGCCGGCTCTACAAAATAGGGGTTTCCCTAGTTGTAGCTTGTTTGTGAAACAGCTCTCCAGGACGATCTCTTCAAAGCAATGGCAAGCCAGGCAGGGGAAAGACGCCTACACCAAGGAAGCTAACGCGCAAGGACTGAAAAGCCGAGCTGCCTTCAAGCTATTACAGGTAAAACCATTCCACGTATAGGTCAATGGCCATATTCTAACATCTAAAACAGATTAACGATAGGTACAGATTGTTCAAAAGTGGCCAAACGGTGGTTGATCTTGTGAGATTACCTGGATAATTCAAGCAAAGATGCTCGCGTGCTAATGAAGGTTGAAAGGGATATGCACCAGGTTCTTGGTCTCAGGTTTGTCAAGCAATTAAACACATCTAGTAGATTATTGAACTAATCCTTGAGTAGGTTGCCTTCAACCTCACCAAACCTCGTGGAAGAGTTGTCGGTGTGGACATTATTCCCGCCCAACCCCCAAGAGGAGTGTCCACTATTCAAGGAAATTTCCTTTCTCCAAGAGTCCAGGAATATGTCAAGGACTTTGTCCGGGATCCGAACCGCGGTCGACCACGGTCACAGCTACCCGCACTCAGCGAGCAGGGGAAATCCTCTCCCACTACAGAGCCAGGTGTCAAGACCGATGGAGGCTATATAGATCTAGAAAGAAGTTCTAGCGCCCATATCAATAAAGGTGATGGGGCGGCTCCTTTGCCAATGATAGCTAAAGTAGGATCGGTTGATGTGATTCTAAGTGACATGTGTGTCCCCTTGACATTAACTGGAAAACTAAAAGAACACTCCTGGTTGACGCAACAATAGGTTAATGAATACAAGTGGCACCAAGTCCCGCGATCATTTAGGGAGCATGGTATGTGTAGAGCTTCCTGAAGTAAGTATAATCTCCAGCGCTAATAAATAACGTGAATAGGAATTATGCAACGCGGCACTCGATTTTGCTTCCAATGTTTTGAAAGAAGGTGGCCACTTCGTGTGCAAATATTATCAGGGGCCTGGGGAAAAGGACTTTGAAAACGAGTTGAAACGGTTATTCCACAGGGTATATCGTGAGAAGCCTGAATCTTCTCGCAGTGTAAGTCTTCTATATCAACTTGTATTTCTCTACCTCCCAGGACTTGCTAATGAATATGCCCAGGAATCCAAAGAAGCTTATTTCATCGGTATACGAAGACGAAGCGAAAAGACTCCAAAAAAATTAGAATATCTGGACTCGTTTCGAGCTTAACACTGAACTTGGAAGTTGGCCCTCAAATTTCGACCAATTCATCATCATCAGCATCGTCCGAGTCGGAAAATCCGATCCCTTCGGCAACTGCATCCGCCAAACGCTGGACCTACGTTTATCAGCTTTGGTCAAAATCTTGGAGTAAACGGTGTCCTTAACCTACCTCTTTGAGCCCGCTTACTTCCTCGATATATGATTTCTCATTCATAGCTCTCTTCACAAAATCCCAGCCATCTTGCAAGTACAGGTCTATAATCCGACCGGAGCAGGCACTGCAACATGAATAATCTTTGCCAGTGACAATAACATTATTAAATCTGGAAAGATACCCTCTGATTTGATGAGGTACTATGCCGAGCGGATGAGGGCTTTCAGTGTTGTCTTCGTCCGGTGCGGTAGTTGCTGGAGCATCAGCGCCTTGTGGGTGCTGGACAATAGAGACGAAGAGCTCTACCAAAAGAGCGGATGCAATTGCAGCAATACCCGGTCGCGTGACAGTGCACTGCTGATCCAAAGTCTGCGCTTTGGTAGACTTAAATTTACTTAGCCTTAGCGTTGATTCTCAACTGGGCAACCAATGGATGGTAACAAAACTCACATTCCCTGGTGCAACAACATCGTTGCAAAAATAGCATCCAAGTCCATCCTTTGACCCTGCTGTCGTTAAGGAGCCATGACGCATTACTACGAACGTGTCAAACCCTAGAGCGGCGTTCAAAACTATTTTTCCATTTGCTTTGCCTAGCAATGTTGGAAGCCATCGGGATTCTCGGGTATCCATCAACAGAAATATGGCATCATGCTCCTCGACAAGTTTCTTAAGCAGCTCAAATTCTGCTTTTGCCTTATCTTCATCTACCACCGGGTGTCCTGCCATCGGTACCGAGAGAACATGCCCAGTCGAGTCAACACCTGGGTATATCTCCTTGAGGGCCTCAGCAGCACGAAAAGCCTTCTTTGCACCTCCCCCAAGACAGTCCTTAAAGTTGAACAGAGGCTGCCTGACTGGATTCGAAAATGAAACAGAACCATTGTCGACAAATGTCACTTTGTTCACACCCCAGCCCTGGAACATGAAATTAGCTATTATCCCGTTCATCTTTGAATGGAGCCCACACTCACAAGCAAGTTTCTCGCAACATAGCTTCCAAGTGTCCCCGCACCTAGCAATAGGCATTTTGTTTTCTTGATGTCTTCTAGGTTAAGATTTGGACTGATCCTCCATTTCATTAACTTGAGGTTCAAGTCTACGGATTGGTCGGCCAGTCTATATCATAAGCAGAAGTGAGCTATGTTCAAATGAGTGGCACTCCAATAAAAAAAACGAACCTTTGAGGATCCATGTATTCTTTGAGGTCAACTGTTCGACCGGCAAGCTTTCCTGCAGGATTTCGTTCCCACCCTGTGATCTTCGGCAATGCTGGTTGAGCGTCACCCCCTTCGGTGGTAGTGCTCGTTTGAGAGTTGTCGGTTTCCAGTGTCATTATCAAAGTCCTCCCCTGGTCTCGTCTTGAGTGCAAGTCTCGATACCGCATGATTTGGACTTTGTTAAGCTTCCACCTTTTCTGTACAAGAACCAGAAGGTTTCTTAACACCCAGCTTGGCGCATCATCGTAGTTGGAAGGGTCAGCAAAACAGACATAGCGATCTCCCTCCTTGGAGTTATCGAAAAACCCCTCCTCATACCCAGAAAGTGGTGAAATCTGCCACTCATATGGACCCTTTAGTGGCTTCTGGTCTGCGGCCACCCACACCTTTTTGGCAAGGAAAAAGCCATGCTGACGAGCATCAACGCCATACCGCCAAGTCTGTACAGCCTCCACCAAATTCACAGTCTCAGGCTCAGTCAACTGCTGTGATGCGTGACTGGCAGGCTTCTTCTCACCAGTGGAGTCCGTCTCGTCCTTGTTGATGGGGCTTGCTGTTGGCACCCACGGCGGACTGGAGTGTATGGCTGGGAAAGCAAACCAGTAAGAAAATTTGTACTTCTTGAGGTCTGCAAATGAAAGAACTGTGAAAGAGGCAAGTAGTGAGGGACACGAATATATGGTCCCATCATTAATAGCATCCCATATCTTTCCATCAAAGTTTGGTCATTAGCAAATCCAACAGCAACCTGGAAAGCAACGAGGGCGATACATAATAACAAGACAAAAATAAACACCTACAGTCTTTCCTGCTAGCTGTAATATCGCCGGCTTATCTGCATTCCGGTATTCCTCTATTGTGTTCACATTTTTGATCATACCCTCCGCTCGATAGTAACCTGCTGGGACACTGATGATGTCATCTGGTGAGCAACGAAGCAGATACTAACAAAGTGATCGAATAAGGCACTTACTCGTCTTTAAGCAAAGCATTTCCTAGTATCTGCATGCGACAGGACTCTTCTGGGCGATCAGACGGTTTTATTTCATACAGGCCCAAAACCTTGCGCGCAGAGTCATCGAGCTTGTCATGGTCGACCTTGAGCGAGGCCAGGGACGAGTAGAATGGCAACTCTATATCAGAGATAAACGGTGTGTACTGCATACTAGCTGGAGGTTGAGGCCGCAGCAGGACTGGTTTAGTAGTGGTATCAGCAAGCCGTTTGATTCATGTATGAATAGCAACAGCAGCAACAGCCTGCAGCAGAGAGGAAGATGTATTTGGATATTTATACCCTCCTGCTTTTGCGCCAGGCGGGAGGCTGCCGCTGAGCCAGATTAGATAAGCTGGCCGGTGGGGAGACAGGGATAACACCTGACTTAGTCAGCAGACCGTCGTCTCGCCGCTTTATGGGCTGGCCTTGGCCGCTTTAACTAAGCTCTCGTGACCGTTTTTCGTTCCTTGGGCCGTTTTTTGTTGGTGGATGGACGGATGGGATGTTGACATCAACATCAACTGACGGTGTTGTTAACATTCCTGCAGGAGGAGATGTATACGGAGGTCAAAGGGCTTTATTATATTATTTAGATGGAGATGGGAGGAGAACGTGGGACGGGAGACTGCTGCGCGGGTTTCAGCCAACGCCATAGACAGCGTCTCAGACGATAATTCACAGGCAGAATGAAAGGACGGTTAACTAGCTAGTTAGTTAGCCATGCAGCAACTTGGGGCTGGTGGTGCCTCGTAGCAGTCTGCAAATCCGTAGTTACTATCAATGAACCCTAACATTGGCTATATTCACCCAGCTAACGTCTGTTTGGGGGAAATAACTACATGTATGGAGATCAGTCGTGCCAACACCTGTTTCTACAGTATGTGCGTTGGCATGTTTACTTAACTAGCCAATTAATTAGGCAGTAACCCATGTGTATATATGTTCAAGGAGGATATTTAAAGAAGGTATTCGGGATCATTCCTCCATAGCTCATTCTCTACTCTATTTCATCTGGCAGTTCCATTGCTTTTGACCCGGGCATAATTTTTGGGACGAAACCTGCATGATTATGTGTTATTTTTCACCTATAGAGGGGAAGTTTTAACCATTAACTAGTCAGAGCGCGCAGAGTTAACCGCACACAAGAGGAATCACCATATCAGCCGTATCCTGAAAGCCCGTGTGTATTCTCTGCACATAATAGGCCGCTGGAGAGGAACAACGAGAGTGTCCGGAAGACATGTTGGTTGGTATCTGTGGAGGTAAAGATACTGGTACATAGAAATCCCTCTGGAAACCGTGCTGATGTTGTGGTACAGGTATATGTGCTGGGAAGAAGTCTGTAGCCGATTTTCTGGTAAAGAACCATGGCTTCCAGCAGATCAGTGTCGCCCCAGGAAACCATCAGACTGTAGTCGAGGAGCACTTTGAACAGCTCTCTCTCACCAGCTCGCCAAACCCGTCAGCCCAGTCCTTCGAGACCATTGACGAGCTAATCGACTTCGTGACTCCAAGATGGCGTGAGCTCTGGGTCACCACAGATATACCGGATGATGCAGCGTTAGAGCGCCTGCTTTTGCGGCCTTTCTTCTTGCTGATTAGCGTTGATGCTCCTATTACTTTACGCTGGCGCCGGTTTACTGATAGGTCTGTCCGACCTCTCATCTTCCCCTGCCACGAGACAAGAGAAGACTGATGACAATTAAATAACTAGGTGTTGGAGAAAACAGCTAGAACCTCCAGACCTGGAAAAGTTCGTGCTGATAAGCGACCATAGCCAGTATGACCCTAAAATTGGGGTTTCGTACCTCCTGGACCGAGCCCATGTGCGGCTATTCAATACATCTTCTTCATTGAACGAGCTGCATGCCGCGTTGAGCTCCCTGGATTTACTTAATATGCAGCGGTTACGGCCTGCATGGGACCAGTACTTTATGCAGTTGGCGTCATTGGCAGCACAGCGAAGCAATTGCATGAAACGGCGGGTCGGCTGCGTTATCGTCAAAGACAACAGAGTCATGTCTACAGGTTACAATGGGACTCCGCGGAATATGAAGAACTGCAACGAAGGCGGATGTATGTCCTTTTACTTCCTCCTTCCTGGGTAGTCTGTTGAACTATACACTGATGATATTCACAGGCCCTCGTTGCAACTTAGGACAGGCCGGTGGTACAGTTCTCTCAACCTGTCTCTGCATGCATGCTGAAGAGAATGCTTTACTTGAGGCCGGTAGGCAAAGGATTGGAGATGGCTCAATCCTTTATTGTGACACGTCGGTCTTCCATCAGCTACTACCCAGCCAATTATGCTCATTCGCTAACGTCCAGCAGCTGTCCGTGTCTGACATGCAGTGTCAAAATAGCCCAACTTGGCATCTCAGAAGTCGTATATTCCCAAGGATATCACATGGACAACGATGTGAGTATCTATCTTCCACATAACTTGCACTTCTCAGCCGTTTCGGCATGTCGAGATGGCTAACTTGGTATAGTCGGCAGCGGTGTTGAAAGAGGCAGGAGTAAATCTTCGCCAGTTCTCGCCTGTGGGTTGTTTTCGTTCCTTTATTTAATATGGTCTTATTGCTGACATCTTGATAGCCATGCAACCGGCTCATCGACCTCAAAGGTTTGGATATAAAGATCCCCAAGTCTGGACACTAGTTTTTACCACTGCAAGGGAGAAAAATAAAAGAAAGCTTGACCAGGTTTTCAGGCATGGGTTCATGGCCGCGGGTACTTTGATAGGCCACTAGATGGTTGTCTCCTTCGTATCCGACACCCCCACCAGAGTTTTTCGACCAGACGGATACCAGCCACGAAAGCTAGCATAGAGTTTTGTCTCTTTCCCTATATCTTGACTTGGTCTCTTTTATCCTTGAAGCGAGCATTCCAGGGGGATAGATTAAATTATATATGATCCATGATAATGCAAGCAAGAATGAATGCACCCTTATCTACGCCCGGAGCGGGGTTAGAACCTAAAGCGTAAGCCTTATTTCGACAATCAAAATAGCCTACTTAATAGTTGGTGAGTTAAATATTAGTGAGGGCCTCGCTAACTAGTTAGTTAACTAACGAATAATATAAGAAAAAAAGTCGGCTCTGAGTCACCAGATAGAGGGAATACAAGCTCTTGAAAAGAAGTCTTTACTTCATCTTTGTATCCAATACATTCGTTCCATGCGTCGTGGTAACTGACCGTCAAGATGCCTACCGTCCACCTCTTAGACTATGTTGCCGGCAACATTCGGTCACTCGTTAATGCATTGAACAAGCTTGATTGCCATGTAGAATGGATAAAGACGCCAGAGGATGTCAAGGAGGCAGAAGTACGTGTAATGTGCTACTTCAATTCTGCTCTTAACTTACTGATATTTTGTGGTGGATGTATAGGTCCTGGTTTTACCCGGAGTTGGCCATTTTGGCCATTGTATGAGCCAGCTTGCAAGCGGCGGGTTCCTCGAACCTATCAAGGAGCATATAAACTCTGGAAAGCCATTTATGGGCATATGTGTTGGCCTTCAGGCTTTGTTTCAAACGTCCGAAGAAGCTCCTGATGTCAAGGGATTAGGATTGATTCCCCTCTCGCTGAAGAAATTTGATTCCTCTAACAAGAGCGTGCCACACATTGGTTGGAATTCAGCCATCTTCGCCGAGAACAAAAGTTATTATGGCTTAAACCCTCGCAGCAAATATTACTATGTTCACTCTTACGCCGCCCCTGTTGATACCACTGCCCTCCAAGCTCAGGGATGGAAGATTGCCACGGGCAAATACCAGGACGAGACTTTTATTGGAGCTCTGGGGAGAGGTAATGTTTTCGCAACACAATTCCACCCAGAGAAGAGTGGGCAGGCTGGACTAAGAGTCCTGGATGCGTTTCTAAAAGGTAAAAAGATAGAGGAGCTACCTGCATCTGACCTTTCTTCTGCTCGGGATGGGCTCACAAGGAGGATTATTGCCTGCCTTGATGTCCGGACCAACGATGATGGTGATCTGGTGGTTACAAAGGGCGACCAGTACGATGTTCGAGAAAAGTCTGGAGCTGAGGGGAAAGGTCAAGTGAGAAACCTGGGAAAGCCCGTCGACATGGCGAAGAAATACTATCAGGAGGGTGCCGATGAAGTGACATTCCTCAACATCACATCATACAGGAACTGTCCTTTGGCAGACGTACCGATGCTGGAAGTTCTACGTCAAACATCAGAGACCGTCTTTGTTCCTCTTACTATTGGTGGTGGAATTAAGGATACCACGGATACTGATGGAACTGTTGTTTCTGCTCTGGACGTTGCAAAAATGTACTTCAAATCTGGAGCCGACAAAGTTAGCATTGGATCGGATGCAGTAATTGCTGCAGAAGAATACTATGCCTCTGGGAAGAAGCTGAGCGGGAAGACTGCTATTGAAACAATCTCCAACGCCTATGGTAAACAAGCTGTTGTTATTAGCATTGACCCTCGGCGTATCTATGTGTCCTCCCCGGAAGATACAGCTCATCATACTTTCGAGACGAAGTTCCCCAATGAACAAGGACAAAGATATTGCTGGTTCCAATGTACGATTAAGGGGGGCCGAGAAGGAAGAGATTTTGATGTTAAACAGCTTATTGAAGCGGTCGAGGCAATGGGGGCTGGAGAGATACTGTTGAACTGCATTGATAAGGATGGAACCAACAGTGGATTCGACCTCGAGCTGATTAACGATGTCAAATCTTTTACCACAATTCCTGTGATTGCTTCTAGCGGAGCCGGAAACCCTGGGCATTTCGCAGAGGTCTTTGAAAAGACTGCCACAGACGCTGCCTTGGGAGCTGGGATGGTAAGAAAATCAATATATATGGATTTCCTTCTTTTGGTATGGATCTCAAGCTAACTTTTATTTATCAGTTCCACCGAGGTACCTATGCCGTCTCGGACGTGAAGAACCATCTTCGTGATGGTGGATTTTTGATCCGGGAGGTAGAGTGAAGAAGTAGTTAAAAGGGGATTCGTTGTAAATAGTACGATGTCAATCCGAGATATGCATTGTTCCGTATGTAAGAGTCATTATACCTTCCGGTCCACTGTAGGGCTTCCAAACCATAATCGAAACATCAAATCTATTCAAATCATGCTAATTCATATAGTATTGCGTGTCAATCGTTAATGTGGAATTGTATGTAAAATGCTTGCCCAATACTAGAGGAGCTCTTCCTTTATACATCCTTTTTTCGTGGCCATGTTATATTCTATCCATCTTGCGATGTCATTGCTACCCTCAACAACGAAACGACCGGGATTCATTGCATGACATCCCTCATAAGTGACAGTGAATGGGTCTGCCTCTGGATCTGCTATCACGAGAGAGGTGGGGAGGGGATATAAGTGTAGAGCGGATGCATAGTCCCATAAAATTGGCCGTACAGCGGGGGCAAACGGGCTGAGATACCCTTGATCAAGTATCGATTTGACTAACCGTCGAGCAGCAACTAAACTCGGGTCTACCCCGCCTTGATGGCCTTTGTTTGATCCTGTAGTGTTACTGTCTTCAGGGTCAGTAACGGTGGTAGCCTGACTAAGAAATCCAGCATCATCCTGATCAGGAGACGGTTTCTTTGCCTTATCATCCTTTAAAATAACCGCATTTCGCCGTAACCTGCCAGAAATGTCATCTCTGAAAATAACCATCTCGGAAACACTTGGTTCGTCAACGGTTAGCCGTGTAGGATTGGAAGTCCAGACCGCTGATTCATCTATTTGACGGGAAGGGGTGGGATGATCCTGGCTAGAAGCTGCCTGGAAAACTCGGCGGACCCGAGATCTAAAAAGTTCTGGTACCAGAGGCCTGGGTATACACGCAGTAGCTCCAGGAGAGAATGAAGAAGCCCACGGGTCATTTTCTCCAGGAACGAAGACAAAAGTAGATTTTCGAAGAAGATTGGGGAATTGCGTTAGCACCGAAGCGAGGCTGTCGAAGAATTCTTTATATTCGATGCTTCCGCAATTCCCAGCTCCGATAGCAGCGTCGTGGACAAAATTGCCTATCAGAACAAATGCTGGGGGATGTGTATCGTCGGAGACTAGATCATATTGCCTGAGAACTATTGAAAGGGCTTGAAGTGTCTTTGGATTGTCCAAATTCACTTCTCCCATGATAACAACTCGCTGCGCGTCTGAGGACAGCCGGGATATAGAGCTCGGGTGCCTGGATTCAGGCTGATTAGTGTCTCCGCCAGCACTCATTGGGTCAGCTGAAGGGTCTGTTGTTGGTGCAATATTCCAACCACGGCTCTGGCTATCAATACCCAGTGAAATCTCCCTTCTCTCGCATGGCGGTCCTCCAACTGATATGGCAATGAACTTGCCGCCAATTGCTCCTGCACCGCGGGCCACGGTATCTTCGACTTCGTCCTCATAGATGCCATCAACGAGAAGGATCATCCCTGGGACAAACCAGGCTCCATTTGCTGGAATCCCCTTCGCGTGATCCAGATCTATAGCCACCGTCCCTGACGGGTCAGAAAGATTATAACCTCCACTTGGGGAAATAGTGAGTAAACCGAGGAGCAAGTGGGTTGTGCTCCCTCTACCCTGTAAGCTTGTGATTGATGTGATTTTATATGGCTGATTCGACGTGGCAGCTGTATTTGATTCACCGAAGGATGTGGGTAATGTTGAAGTTTGGAAAGTTTCGTTCCGCAGTAGCCGCTCATGAATCCGATAATAACGATCCCTGAACAGACTGACTCTATTATTGGCAGGGGGAAGTAGAGACGCAGGTTCATGTGGCGATTCAAAGTGCTTCTTGTTCATGTTATATGTCAAGCGTTGCTGTTCAAATGCACTGATAACTTTGACCCGTTTCCTTGCGTGGTCATTCGCGGCATCTTCCGGGGATTCAGCGGACTCTGCACCATCAGGTCCAGCTTCACGGGGCTCCGAAGTCAAGTTACCGGACTCCTGGACGTGAGAATCAATAGTGTTATGCTCTCTTTTTTGGGGGGGTATAGCAGTCTCCGTAGTCCTTTTTCCAGGCTTTCTATCATGCTGGACACGTCCTCCGACCATGTACGTTTCCAGTTCAGATAAAATCGCCGTTAGTGACAGCTTTGTGTCATCTTCCACTATTGATCCACCTCCTGACTGCTTCCATAACTTTGCTACTTCATCTAGGACCAGGTCTGCGAGCCCTTCCTGGCGCCATCTTGAGCCGCAGGACTTGCCAATGAAGGTTGCAAGCGCTTGTAGTGTCGTTGACGTGAAGGCTAGATTGTGTTTCTTTGAAAGTGTCCGAAAAGCCAGTGGTCTAATGGTATTTGGAGGGATAACGACGGGAAGTACGGAGGGTTCATGGGCGGTCTTGGGGGCGTTTTGTTCGTTGATACCTGGACTTTTACGAGGGTTAACAATACCCACCAGCTCGAGAGAGTGCAAGTAGCGTATTCTTACCGGATCGGTACAGATGCCTGGAGAGTAACCATGAGTAACAGACTGGATATATCTCCCTCTTGTAGATAAGTAGGTCCCTCTGCTGCGTCCTTGAAGCGAAGTCGGTTGGCTTGAAAGTGTTCAACCGGCGAGAAAGCTTAACGCGTCGATTTCCCATTTAACTAACGCGTCGTCAAGCTCTTTTAAGTTCGTTAACTAACTATTTTTAGTTTGCAAGCGCGCGCGAGTTTAAAAAGCTTCACCTTCTGCTTTTTTCCCTTGCCATAAAAGACAGAAGACAACGACGCGTGAGAAGAGATAAGACGAGCAGGCTTGCTTGATATTTACAGACTGCAGATTTCGGTGGATTCAGTGACAGCTATTACGATGGGTGATGAGATGCAGACCAAGCCTGGGACGGGCAATGAAAGCGCCGCCGCGGCCGGAGCTGATCAAAAGGACCAGCTAGCACAGCTGGTCAAGCTGGCGACAGCAAACGAAGCAGCTAAAGACTATGGCAAAGCCGTGGACCTCTATTCCCAAGCAGCAGAGCTTCAAGCGGAGATAAACGGCGATATGGCACCTGAAAACGCCGATATTCTGTACTCTTACGGGAAATGTCTGTACCATGTTGGCGTGAGCAAGAGTGACGTGCTGGGCGCGAAGATACCCCAGACCGCCACAGAGCCTGCTGGAGGATCAAGCAGCAAGTCTGGAAAGGGACCAGGGTCTGGAGAAGGGGAAGAGGTATCGTCGAGCATTATCAAAGACGCAATTGCCAAACACGCAGAGAATGGTGAAGGCGCAGGGCCATCAAGCAGCCTAGGCAAAGCTGGGGCGACACCACTTTTCCAGTTTATTGGGGATGAGAACCTAGAAGCGTCTGATGATGAGGAGGAGGAGGAAGAGGAAGGAGAAGGAGGCGAGGAAGGCAAGGGAGAGGGAGATGAAGAGGAAGATGACGACTTTGCGAATGCATTCGAGATACTTGACCTGAGCCGTGTGCTGTACGAACGACAGCGAAGTGAGCTAGAACAGGATAAGGAGAAGAACGAGGAGAAGCTACGACGGGTTAAGGAGCGGTTGGCAGACACGTACGACCTGCAGGCAGAGATATCACTAGAAGGGGAGAGGTTCCCGGATGCAGCCACGGATCTACAGGCGTCGTTACGGATCAAGGAAGAGCTATATTCAGGGGAGGACCCTATGATTGCCGAGTGCTATTATAAACTGTCACTAGCGCTGGAGTTCTCATCTGTGATGAAGAAAGACGGAGAAGATGGAGAAAAAGGGAAAGGGAAAGCAAGCGAGAACAGCAATGCAGAGCCGGAGTATGACGCAGCAGCCCGAGAGCAGGCAGCCGTATATATGGAGAAGGCAATCAAAAGCTGCAAGGGCCGGATTGCTAAAGAGGAAGCCCGAATTGAGAGCATTGGCAGCAACGACGGGGAGACCGTGACCAGAATCAAGCGGAATATCGATGATGTAAAGGACATCGTCTCGGACATGGAGCAACGGGTGAGTTATTGTGTTATTTTTTTTTTTTTTTTTTTTTTAAACAAAAAGGAGAAGAATAAGAACTGTAACAAAGCAAATGTGAGGAGTATATTGCTAACTGGTACCAGCTTGTCGATCTCCGGCGCCCGCCCGTGGCCATCCCGAACGCGGAACGGACCAAGGAGGAACAGGCCGCCGCTCAGGCCATCAAGCTGGATGAACTTACCAAAGTAGCCAACGACCTGACGGGACTGGTCAAGAAGAAAAAGCAGCCAGTGGCAGCAACGGCAGCAGCGTCGTCGACGTCGTCTGCTAGCGAGCAGCAGCAACAACCCGAGGCCACAGGGAAGAGACCACTGGAGTCAGCCGAGGAGGAGGCTTTAAATCCCAAGAAGGTAAAAGGCGGGGAGAGCTGATATGCCTCTAGAGAGGAAGGGATGAGAGATGCATCAACCTGTATGTTATGAGGGAATAGAAAGGTGATAACAGCATATGAATAATGATGGTTCAAGCAACAGCCGGAGAGTAGTAGCTCATGACTTGTGCTTCCGTCTCTGCCGGCGCTTTGCGGCCAGCGAGGGCGTCCAGACGCCGGCGAAGAGGTCCTCGCACTCGTCCTCATCCTGGCTATCAAACTCGATTTCTTCTTTCTTCCCGCTGCCATTGTCTACAGCAGCAGCAGCGGCGGCGGCGGCGGCGGCGGCGGCAGCATGAGAGAAGTCTACCGGGCCATCTCTTGAGAGGCTGACCCGCTTGCTCTCGACGATGAACTTGCCGACCTTGTATTTCTGGCTCTCCTCCTCGGCTGCGAGGTACTTCCAGCCCAGGACGGTATGGCAGAAGCGGCAGGCGATGTCGCTGACCGTGTGAGAGCCGGTGACGAGCTGCCTGGGCACCGCGCGGTGGGCGACGGTGTTTGCCAGCACGCTGAGGGCAGGATGCGGCGCCTTGGGGTCGGCTACGAGATACGCCCGCCCATGGCGGCCGGTGAAGCCCTTGCTGATGACCTGCGAGGCGAGGCAGATGGTGGCCGCGCAGTTGGTGCACCGCAGCGTCGACTCGCGTCTGCCGTCGATGTTGGTAACTACAGTTAGCCCTGCTGGCCGGCGAGAGCGCAGATGGGAGGAAGAAGACCTACTCGGCGCCCTGCAGATAGCTGGGGAACCTCGCTGCCATCTCTGCCGGTGATTCTGTCTGTCTGTGGCTGCTGCTACTCCGTATCTCAGCCTGCATCTCACGGTCACTGGCTGTGTCTGTCGGTCTGTATCGCTGTCTGGCTGCTCGCTACAGGCCTCTCAGCCCGCAGGCAATAGATTCGCATCTGGCCCGTCCCTGAGCCACTCGCAGCACAGCCTTTCCTGCGTCCGCCGTCCGCCGTCCGCGCTGCTCGTCGGCCAGGAAGAAGGAATAATAAATAGGTAGTAAATACTAAGCAGCAGCTGCAGCTGCAGCGGCAACCAGCTAAGCGACGCCCGCGAGTAAAGAACAGCCTGTCCTCAAGGCTAAAAGCAGCGAGGCGCCCGCCGGCCCGCAACCGCTATATAAAGTCTCTCCGACCAACAACACCCCCAGAACTTCCTCCTCCCTCCCTCGACATCGACATCGACATCGACATTGACATCGACATCGATAGAGATTCCTCCTTCTGACCTCTCCCAGCCGAAGCACCGTGCCAATTGATACTCAGACAGCATGCCGGGCGTCCGTAGCCTCCTCCTCGCCCTCGCCGGCGTCTCTCTCGCTCCCGCCGTGCTCGCCGCAGACGCCTCGACAGACTCGTCGGACGTCCATGCCCTGAAGACAGACACCTTCAAGGACTTCATCAAGGAGCATGACCTCGTCCTGGCCGAGTTCTACGCCCCCTGGTGCGGCCACTGCAAGGCCCTCGCTCCCGAGTATGAGAAAGCAGCCACCGAGCTCAAGAGCAAGAACATCCAGCTCGCAAAGGTCGACTGCACCGAGGAGGCCGACCTCTGCCAGGAGTACGGCGTCGAGGGATACCCTACGCTCAAGGTCTTCCGTGGCCTTGACTCGCACAAGCCTTACAACGGTGCTCGCAAGTCCCCAGCGTGAGTAGTCCCTGCTATAGATCTAGAAGATAGAAGCAGAAAAAGGGGGCGCTGACAAAACCCATAGCATCACCTCGTACATGATCAAGCAGAGCCTGCCATCAGTCTCGGTTGTGACAGCAGAAAACTTCGAGGAGGTCAAGTCCCTGGACAAGGTCGTCGTCGTCGCCTTCATTGGCGAGGACGACAAGGAGACCAACAAGACCTACACTGCCCTCGCTGACTCAATGCGGGACGATGTCCTCTTTGCCGGCACCAGCAGCGCTGAGCTGGCCAAGAAGGAGGGTGTCTCGCTCCCCGCTGTTGTCCTCTACAAGGAATTCGATGACCGCAAGGACGTGTATGATGGCAAGTTCGAGGCCGAGGCTCTCAAGGCTTTCATCAAGTCCTCCAGCACACCCCTCGTTGGTGAGGTTGGCCCAGAGACCTACTCTGGATACATGTCGGTAAGTATCATAGTATCATACGAGCAAGACCTACTCTCTTTGTGGACGATTGCTAACTAACGGGGTAAAAAAAAAATAGGCTGGCATCCCTCTTGCATACATCTTTGCTGACACTGCTGAGGAGCGTGAGCAGTACGCTAGTGACTTCAAGGACCTCGCCAAAAAGCTAAAGGGCAAGATCAACTTCGCTACCATCGACTCCAAGGCCTTTGGTGCTCACGCTGCCAACCTCAACCTTATCCCTGAGAAGTTCCCTGCCTTCGCCATCCAGGACACTGTTTCCAACAAGAAGTACCCCTTCGACCAGGAGAAGAAGCTCACCAAGCAAGACATCACCAAGTTCGTTGAGGGTGTCATCGCCGGTGACATTGCTCCTAGTGTCAAGTCCGAGGCCGTCCCAGAGACGAATGACGGCCCAGTCACCGTCATCGTCGCCCACACCTACGAGGAGATCGTCATGAACAAGGACAAGGATGTCCTCGTCGAGTTCTACGCTCCTTGGTGCGGACACTGCAAGGCGTAAGTTCACCCCCTTTACACACCACACGATCTCATTTAAATCATGCAATTGGCTAACAAACGCTTAGTCTCGCTCCCAAGTACGACCAGCTCGGCAGCTTGTACAAGGACAACAAGGACTTCGCCTCCAAGGTGACCATCGCTAAGGTCGATGCCACCGCCAACGACATCCCAGACGAGATCCAGGGCTTCCCTACCATCAAGCTTTTCCCTGCCGACGATAAGGATAAGCCAGTCGAGTACACCGGCTCTCGCACCATCGAGGACCTCGCCAACTTCGTCCGTGACAACGGCAAGCACAAGGTCGACGCCTACGATGAGAAGAAGGTCGAGAAGGATGGCAGCGATGTCACTGGAAAGCCAAAGGATGCCGAAGCCCCACCAAAGCCTTCTGATGCTCCCGAGTCTGAGGAGAAGGCTGACAAGGAGCATGAGGAGTTGTAGTTCTTCTTCCTTTACGCCGGCATGCTTTGAATCTCTTTTTTCATGTAAACTTATGAATCTAACGTTTACTCCCCCTCTCGAGTTGGTCCAACTTCCAATTGCAACCAGCTCACAATGGACTTGTTTTTCCGAACTGCCTCTACCCGTCCGTCAATGGGATTGCTTTGCTTGTTTTGTCTTTTTTCTTTTTCTCTCTTGCTTAGTGATCATAGGGGACAAAGGGAAAAAGGATGGGAAATAAATAGTCGAGAAAAGGACAGATAGCTTTTCTTACCTTTTGCGTTCGGTTGTCTAGCAATATACCTCTAATGATATACATCTTGATATTGACAACTTGCTCAATTTGTGAATCTACTGGTAGCCCAACTCTACACAAATAGAACCAATCGCGTTAAATATATTATTGCTATTTATTATTTTTATACATTCAAATCAGTCAATGGTGATTACACTGCCGTTGTTGGCTTGCTTGCTGGCATCTGATTCGTTGTTCGGGGACACTACCCCTGTAGTACTCGTTGCTGTCATAGCAGGCTGGCTAGTGCCACTACTAGGGACGGAATTGCTCTGGTTCCCATCCAACATCATCGCTCTGCCAGCGCCATTCGCGGCCGTTTGCGTGCGTTGTTGCGCAACATGTGTCTTAATAATGTTGTCGAGTACCATGATCAGGCTGACTGGATTGTCTGCTTCCGCCATGGCTCCGTCTCCGAGCCCGCGCCAGCCATCCCCATTGACCTTGAGTATTTTATTCGTCAGCTCGCTCTCCAGTGCTACCTGGCTCATGCGGACACTGGGAATCGTGCCATTCCGAAGAAGCCAAGAAATGCGCTGTCGGCGTTGTTTCATCGTCAGGTGGAATCGATATTGGAGGAACGGGTATGAGATATGGTACATTTTGGCAGACCGAGCCGCTATTCTGACTACAGCGCGGGATCGGTCTCTTGATTCAGCAAGAATGGTCTCAACGGCTTCCAGGAGAGGTAGGGTGAGGGTAAGCAACTCCAACGTAAAGCCCAGGCCAGCTGAAGGGTCGTTGAGTATGGCTGTTAATGATTCCATGATGCGTCGATGAGGGTTCTTGCCATGGAGGTCTAGCGACATCCGAAGCCGGGCTAAAGGTCTCTTATCACCCTTAGTCTTGGCTTGCTGGGTGTCTGGTAAAAGTAGAGGCGGAGGTGTGTCGATGTACTGGAAGGATATAGAGGCCCGTAGACTGCCGTTGGAAGAAGGGTATGTAAAGCTGATTTTCGATGACGACATCGAAGTGACTACGAATTTTTTACGGTGGATAAACCCCAGAGCAAGAATGGTATTTGTGAGCCGCTGTAACCAGGAGAAGAGCTGTTCGATAATGGGCACACCTGTGCGCGTAAGATATCGAATTGCAAATTTTCGAGACCGAGGCTTGAAGCTGAGGTTTGAATCGGAAGCTAAGATGGCCATTCCAAGATGAGAAACTGGCACTGCAAAAAATCCTGTAGCCACGACAATTGCCTCACGAGTTCGGTGGTTGATTCCCTTATACGAGAGATAAATGGTGTCCTTAATGATAGTCTTGCCTTTGTTGGATAAGGGAGAGGCCACTCGCAACTGGTGTGGAAGATCAGAGGCTTTGTAGCATATGCTGGTACTTGGGACTTCGTTGTCAACTCCTAGAACCTGGTCCTCTATCTTTGGAAAGTGGCAAAGTTTTAGTTTGTTAAGGCAGTCTGCATTCGAATGTGCTACAACCATGCCCGATATGGAGTTAGCAAGCTTCGCAAAAGAACGATAACGGTGTTTATTGGATGCGTATCCGCACTGTCCTGTAATAGCATGCGCTTGCTGTAACTGTATGAGGCGGCCATCGCCGGGACACTGGGGTTGAGATTCAGTTGCTGATGCTTTATCCCGCAGCTGGATCACCCACCAGTCATCCCTTTCTATGCTGCTTGTAAAAGCAACGAGCCAATTGGGATCCCAGTCTCCGTGCTGGAAGAGAGAGATATTTCTAATCTCATTGACAGGAAGTACTTTGCGCAGTGATTGCATATCAACATTTGCGGGTGCTATTAGCTTCCAGCCAACCACACGTCCGTGGCTTTCGGCTTCTTCCATCGCTACCAGGCATCTGAGACGGCAGATACGTTCGTATGTCCCTACAGATAGTGCTTTATTGGGATCAGGTTCAACATCATGTCGACTCAATGATAGTGGCACTGTCCGTAGAGCAACTATTCCGCCTACAGGCTCGATAGCTAATCGCATAGTTTTCCTGCGGGTGAGTTGTATATCTAGGTAACAATTCCCGGGCTCCATTGCAGACGTGTTTAACTCTAGGAAGAGTACTCCTTGGCCATACAACTTGGATGCAGTAAGCTTGGTATAGACTTCGAAGAATATGTCGTGGATATGCCGTGATATAGTCCTTCGCAGTATAGTTTCAACTGATATAATCTTGTTCTCGAAATGTGTGCTTTCAACGGAAACCTCCTTGTTATCTCGAATCCAGCGAACATATAAACGGGGTATATCTGGCTGGTTTGCCCGGCCTCGGCGTTGTGACTTATTACGCCTAGTTCCGATTTCAATCCAACTTTTTGGCCCAGGCCGATTGGTCCAGTACTGGATAACGAGAGTGCGGTGGAGCAACTCGATCCGTAGATTATTACCCCAATGAGATCGAGCTAATTCAACAGCCTGTCTAAAACATGTCATGATTTTTTGGGTCAAAACAAGGTTGTGAAGGAGGTCGCAGCAGCCAACGATTCCCGATTTCATTAGCGAGGTGTTGATAGTACGTTCTAGATTATCACGAACGGGGCCTCTAGAAAGTGCAGATGACGGTGAAAATATAAACCGGAGGTCGACAAAGAAGAACTGAGAGTTACGCGTTTCCTGGGCTATTGACAAGTCTAGCTCGATTTCATTTGGAATTGTGAACGTGACCCTTCCATCATGGATACGGTATGTAGCGTATTCCGGAATGGAGTCATGGGTGATGAGTCGGATGCTTATCAATTTATTGATTTTTCGAAGTGTTCTTAGGGTATCTTTGGGGGAGAGTTTGCCTGGAGGCAAAAAAGGAAGCTAAGATGAAACGGTCAATACGGGGTTCAGCCAACGCGTAAGAGGGAGAAACCTACTGCAGGAAGAGCCGAGACAGTTCCGGTTGAAAGTGCTTCTAATGCGGTTTCTAAGTCCGGGTTTCCCATCTGCGCCTTAAAAAGGTCTCGCTTTATGTTTCCGGCAAGGAAAATCGCGTGGTTGTATAGATCATAGCGTTGACGAATAAAAAACTGCAGATCAATCAATCTGCCAACATCAACAGCTTGCCGTCCCCATTGTGAGAGAACAAGTAGTTTGATGAATTCGGCTCTCTTTGCCTGGGCAAACTCGAGGATCTGGCTCTTCTTGGCACTTGAAGCATTGGATGAGCTACTGCCGCCTTGATGGTTGGGAGGAGCATCCCCAAGCTCGCTAAGAAGGTGAAGTAGATCGTTCCAACACTGAACAACCACCCTGTTGATACCCTTGGCAAGAGGAAAGAACCCTTGAGTGATATGGGTTATTTCCGGAGGAGGCAGCTCCGGAGCCGTAATTATATCGTTTGATTGAGATTTGATGCCATTCGCTTGGCCATTTGCGTGGGAGTTGATATCTGTATTTTGAAAGGCGCCATTATCTGAAGCCGCGTTATCTCCGTTCACCGTCCCTACGGTGCGCCATACTCCATGAACGCTTGGGTCATCCATGACGATGCCAGGCATTTCCCAGAGCTAACCCCCTCACCTGCTGCCCCAGACCGAGGATATATCGAACTATATCGGGGCGTTTTGATTACAGGCGGGCCATTCGTGATGAAGCTCAAGGGTATCGGAAATCCAGCATAAGTCGGCGCAACAACTATCATTAAATCGCAAGGTATAGAGAGCACAGCCAGGCCACTAAAAAACGTAACCGAGTCAGTAACGCATTTGAGAGGGCATGCGAAATGAAGCAAACCGGAAGAAGACAAGGAGAAAGAGCAAACGCACCTCTCGTCAACCACATCTCAGCCACCACTCTTAGGCGCACTGCAAGCTAAAAAGGTACACAGCCTGAAGCGATGCTGCTGGGCTATCAGCTCGGCGCGCCTCAAGATGCAGGCGGCGCTTTCTAGGCGTGAATGGTGTCTCTATCGCCGGGCAAAGAAACGAAGCAGGAAAAAAAGGCGAAGTGAAAGCGAAAGCGCATCGAAAGTCACAACACGGAAGACGTCATGTTACATAAGCAGAGGCTGGCCCCAAAATTTGGTCACGTGCGATGGCGACCCTTTTTTTCTTTTCTTTCTTTCTTGTCAACTTCAACCTTCTCAACTTCAGCTTCAGCAACGACAACGACAACGACCACGAGAACAGCAACGTTGTCTCCTCCTTTTCTTCGTTTTTCTTTAGCAATCACCAGCCCGTTATTTCTTCTCAAGTGGTTAGCGGAGAAGGCATTTTGCGTTGGCTCCCTCAGTCTTGTGTCTTTCTAGAAGGTATTTAACATGTGCCAAGTTATATTATCACCACCTATTTCTCTCATTTTTCTGCCGAAGTGATGCTAACTGACCGTTTTCTTGTAACAGTGTAATAGCTTTATATCATAGTTCCCTTGCGCCCTTGATCCGTTTGAGATTTCTTGACACACCTGTGCGGCCACTCTCGCGGCGTGGTGGCGCTTTCTTTCTCCCCTCTTCCTGTTACGGGCTTTTTCGCTGTCATTCTCAGTCCTTCGCTAGGCGGCCGCTTGGGTGCCCCTTGTTGTTATATGTGATATTTTCATCTTGTAACCCACTTGGGTGTTAGCAGGCCTGAAAGAAATATCAGAGAAAAGAAGAAAAGAAAGAAAGACAACACAGTTTGATCCTCGAACACAATCTGTTCCCTCGCAAGTCGGCTTTTTCCCTTCGTTTCCTAGAGGGAAGACTTGACATAGGACGGAGGCGTCTGCTTGCTTTGGAATCCTCTATCGCTCTGGTTCTTTACCTCCGCCTAATAGTTCTTTATTAACGATTCAAGCCAAAAACCCCCGTAACCTGGCCATTATTCTCTCTTCCTCTTTCATTTCTCGAATGCTTTTCCCCATAATCATCTTCCTTTATCACTAATCCTACCCTTCTTCCTTTGTACTTCGTGAGTCACTGACTCTTATCTTGTTGAATTCCCTCTTGCTATCATCTTCATACCCTTTCTCATAACTTTCTCCATCGAGTGTCTGGCTCTTCGTCAAAAGTAGGTGTTTGTGTTACACATCGAGCTTGCTCCCTATCTCAAAATCTAGACGTTGTTCATTTTTTTTTCCCGCAGCCTTTGCTCCAGCCATCATGGCCTCTTCTGTCCATTTCAAGTTCAAGTCTCAGAAAGAACCTTCGAGGGTGACGTTCGATGGAACTGGTATATCAGTCTTTGAGCTGAAGAGGGAAATTATCACCCAAAACCGATTGGGAGACGGCTCTGAGTTTGAGCTTTCGATCTACAATGAAGATACAAATGAAGGCTAGTTTCCTCATCCTTTGAATACCCTGAGGTTCCTATATACTAACGATTTGTAGAATACGACGATGATACGGCTATCATTCCTCGATCAACCTCAGTCATTGCTCGTCGCTTCCCAGCCACACGTCCTGGTAAAGGCGGCGCGGCGAGATACATGTCAGGCAAGGCACCTGTCACGTCGCGGAATGTGCAGCATGATGGCGAACCATCTACTCGTCAGGATACTGGCGACAGTGGCATTGAAATTAGTAGTCTCCAGTCGGAAGATGAGAAACTTAAAGCATTGTTTCGGCTGCAGGAGACGCAGTGGAAGGAACAGCAGCAAGACATGACAAAGTGAGCCCATACCTAAACAATACTTTCACCATGTATCTTAATTAACCGATAATATTGTAGTATGACTCCCGTTATGGGTCGAGGCCGAGGGAAACCTGTAACGGTTCCTGACCACCCACCTCCGCCAGGTTATCTCTGCTACCGGTGTGGCGAAAAAGGTGAGCTTAACCAGCCAGGTTTTTATGGTTTAGAATAATCCTAACATTGATTATAGGTCATTGGATCCAGGCTTGTCCAACAAATAATGATCCCCGGTTTGATGGCCGATATCGTGTTAAGCGGTCTACAGGCATTCCCCGTTCATTCCAAAAACAAGTGGAGAAACCAGACTCGCCTGCTTTAGATGGCTCGGATGACAATTCGAAACTTACAGGGGTTATGGTGAATGCTGATGGGGATTTTGTTATTGCTCAGCCAGATAAAGCTTCGTGGGAGTTATATCAAGAGAAGGCAACTGCATCCAAAGCAGCAGAGGCCGAAGCAGCTAATGCTGAGCGAAACAAACAATTGCAGAACAGAGGTCTCTTATGCCCCCTTGACAAAAGAATGTTGTTAGCGCCTACAAAGACACCGTGCTGCGAAAAGACATATTGTAGTGATTGTATCACTAATGCCCTAATTGAGAGCGATTTTGTCTGCCCCAACTGTTCTGCTGACGGCGTTTTGCTTGACAATCTATCTGTTGATGAAGAGGCTATTAAAAGGCTGGCCGAATTCGAGACCGAAAAGTCACAGAAGCCGGAGGGAACCGAGATAAACTTGCCTGAGAAGGCAGGCTCGGAGAAGGCCAGTAACAAGGAACAGCCACAGCAAGAAGCGACCGCCTCGAAGAAGAGATCAGCAACTGAAAATGGCGCAACCCAGGATAATGACCAACTTCAGGCACCGGCTATGAAGAAACAAAAATCCCGAGATAGCACCGGTGATACACAAAACAACACTCAGCACATCAATCCGCAAAACAATATTCCCCAGGTCGCTACCCAAAACAATACGCAAAATCGTAACTCTCAAAGCAATACTCACGGCACTACACCTCAGAATAATATTCCACAACCCAGTCCTATGATGAATCCTTTCCCACAGATGCCACCTCAGCCAATGATGGGTGCATACGGGCAGATGAATCCGTTTGCCGGTCAGGATATGATGTCCATGGGTGGATATTACAATGGTGGGAATACCTGGAGTCAGGCATCAGATCCCTATATGATGGCTGGAGGTCCCTTTATGAGCGCGCCAACCCCACAGATGGGCCAAATGGGATATGGGATCCCCAATTCCGGAATGAACTTCAATAGTTTCAACCCACAGATGATGAATCAAATGAATCAAATGCAACAACCTTTCCAGCAACAGTACGGAGTGACTCCCTTTTCGAACCAACAACGGAGCCATATCAGCGAACCGCTTGCGAATGAGGAAGACTCCCCTTATTTCAGACAACCTGTGAATCCTCACCGCCACCATGGAAGACAGAAGAGAACCCGTCCTAGTGACTACCGGGAGCTGTAGGCAGACGTGTTTCGTTCTTATGTTTCTCTATGGTGCAGTGTCCTGTGTTGTTGCTGCTCTGGCTTGCCCCCCTTTGCTCCTTAATGCCCAGACCAAAAGAAAAAGAAAAAACCTGTATCATAGCAATAGGGCTTCATGATGTATATACAATGACCAGTAAACCTTTCAAACCAATATCACTATTAATAAAACTTTTCTTGGCTTCGTCAATTGATGAGTTGTCAATGTTGTAGAAAGCTGAAGTTGAAGTAGAATTCTGGACTAGGCCCAACCTGGCTTAGCGCGCTTGTCGCCGCATCAAGAGATTTATTGAAATCAACCAAAACAAATGAAAAAAAAGATCTTGGAGACGCAAGCTTGACATCAAATTCCCTACTTTCTTTTCTCTCCCCCCGTTAGAAGAGGCTCGTTGCCACGGCCACTCTACTTGCTGCCGCAATGTTTTCTGCCCAGGGAGGCGTTGCCGTGACCGCAGCATCTATTCGACCCCGGCGACGACAGAGGCCTAGATCAGAGGACGGCTTCCAACCTCCGCGAGCGAAGAGACAGCGGTCAACAAAACATGCTGACGCTGGCGGAGACACGGAGCTTGACACGGCAGCATACGAACAAGCGCACTGTTTGGCAGTAGAGCCAGACCTTGAAGACGGCCCTTCGTTGGCTGCGGGTGACACATCTATCGACCTCCCTGTGCGCGGCCGTAAGGAGTCAGATCGACCTACCTACGATTCCCATTCAACTCTTATTGTAAGCTTCCCAGCGCGTTATGTTCAATATCGAAGACGCGTAATATGACTAACTAGTAGCTTCTTTAGCTGGATAATGGCTTCTACAGTGCTACTCGAGTCTCCGCCCTGCCAGAGCCTCTTCAGAAGTCTTCAGGTATGCTATCCTTATATTACAGGTCTATCACGTATTAACTGTCGAAATAACAACGCTAGCCCCATTTCGATGCGTTATATCACCAGAACATGCAAACTCACTTATTCTCACCCACAACCAGGCCTATGTTTGGGCTTATTCGTCGGGTTCCTCCTCTATCAGTCCAAGTGACTTCTCTACGTTCAACATACCTGAACCATCTCCAAAACACATCGACCCTTTACCACTTGGCGCGTTTACCTCCAGCTCTTCGACAAGCGATGCAGGCATGTTAGTGGTGATACCAGCTACCGGAAAAATTACATTCTGGCAAACGATTTCGAACAACGTTATCCTTGGGTTGATAAAACAGAAATGCAATACAGTTCATGGCTCAATACCCGGAATGATGTCCGGAGAATTTGCTACGGGTCTACTTAATGCGGAGCCGTCCGGGTTCATCATCACTCTTTCTACTGGTCGCGTTGCTCATCTGACTATTATGGATGCTCATGGCAAAGCAAGCCTGAACATAAGGTTCCTTGACTTGGCTAATCGTGCTACGAGTGGCGGTATATTTGGAGGCCTGAGGAATGTATTTAGCGGTGCCTCTTGGAGAAGGAATATTGCTGCTGCAAAAGGCGGCCGATCCGCACAACGGGGCCAGCGTGAAGTCATTATTGCGACTAGCTCAGGATTGATTGAAGTCTGGGATATACACTGGAACAATGGCAGTGGCTTGAAGGCACGTATGGACGCAGCGCTCGAGATCAACAGAGCGCTGAAAGACACAGGCTTAAACTCTGAAAACGGCTCCCTTGCCTCCATACAAGTCTTGGATTTTGCAATCAAGAACAACAGCAAACGTTCAAACGATACGGAACATGACCTCTCACTCTGGGTTTTATTCTCCGTCTCCGGAGAAACCACTTCGTACTTCGTTGTTGATTTGGCCTTTCCAGAAAATGTCCCAGAAGCTGGTCGGATCTTCAAAATTGATTATGAGGGTCCGCTACAGGACTCTGCGGACTCTACCCCAAAAATATATGTGCCGCGTCCCGGCAAAAGTGCTTTCATCGTCTTCAGAAATGCTACCGTCCTCGTGTCGTTAACACCCGTGGAAAATTCGACAGAGGATGGTACACATGAATTTCAGGATCTTGTTCGACTTCGGGATCGAGACAATTTCGTGGTTATTGGATCGACTCTAGATGATGGCCGTGACGAACATAGCCGAGACTGCTGTGTGCTGGTCATCCAAAACTACGGACTTGTTCATCTGTCCAGCTTGCGTCTGAAGACTGAAGCGGCACAAGATGTACAATTGACGACCAAACTACGCCTTGAACAGATTGTCTTCTTTGAAAATGCCAAAGACAACCCTATCAATTTCCACCACTACAAGGAGCTGTCTTCGAAACCCCGCCTTGAAGAAGCAATCTTAAATATTACGGACGAAATCCTTCATTCGAGCTCGAGGTATATTTCCTCCATAGCGGCGTCCTTGGAGCATCAAATGACAATGCGGTCCAACGCTCTACAAGCTCTTGCAAAATATATCAAGGACAACCATATTGAACTTAGCTATTCGATCCGGTGGCAGCTCCTCTGGGACGCAGAAAAAATGGCAGCGAGTAAAGCGATCTGGGCACTCTATAATGACCTTAAGAAAAGATACCCCAAGAAAGACTTGTATCTTGGACACTTGATTGAGACCATGGGAGAAAAATTCAAGAGCTCTGCTAAGAAAGAGGATGGACCGGACGATCCCATCAGGCACTGGTTTATCTATGATACCTGGCAGATGGAACATATCATTCCGTGGATAATGAATGGCATTCGAGTCGCCTATAACAAGCCGCAGAGCGTGACACGGGACTTTATTGACAAGGTGTGGCAGGCGAGCGAGATCTCGCTGGCAGCGTTGGAAACTGCCTTCAGTTTCCGCCGAGAAAACGCAAATTTGTACGGGATCGACGATGCTTCGTTAGCTCTGAAAACCCCACAGTGTACTGAGCTTTCCGAGTTCTGGACGTCGCTAGATGTTAATTATGACGAGACGGAAAACCTGTTGGACACAGAACTTAATACATGTATTCAGTGGATGCGACAACTGTCACAAAGCGGCAAGACAGACGCCGAGGATAGCCCTGCTAAGGCACTTGAGAAAAACCTTTCACGTCAGTTTGCAGTGTTTTCACAAATCTACAAGGAACGACGACAATTATGCGCTGTAAGTACAGATCGTCAGATCCAGAATGACGGAAAATTGCTTGAAAAGGCGCATCGCGAAAGGAGGAAGCCCCAGCTTTACAAGATGGCTGCTATCGGACATTTAGAAGAGGCTGTGACATTGGCCGAGAATTTTCATGACATGACGGCACTTGTGGAGCTTATGGTCGAGGTTCATGATAAGATTGACCAGAAACATCCCCAGAAAGCAGTGGATCGAGCAACACCCGGTCCGCGTGAAGAAGCTGTGAAGCAATGGCGGTCTAGGATTGACAGCTATTTCACCAGGTACGGCGAACCCTGGGCAGATGCCTTTTTTACCCGACAGATAACGGCTGGACAGCCGGCAATGCTGCTGATTATGCGGGAGTACAAGGACGACGTGACCCGTTTCCTACGCAAGAGGCCTGGTTACGGAAAGCTGTCCTGGATGAACGAAGTGCTGGGTGAGCGCAACTACGACAACGCAGCGAAGATTCTGACGGAGCTCGCGACCCAGCATGAAACCAATCTATGGAGCAAGCGGGTGGAGCTTGCACTGGCAAAATTGTCCACGCTGGCAGCACGAGAGACTCAGACGGGGATGCAGGTGAACCTGAGCTGCTTTGAGGATGAGACAGAGCTGGCAACGATCCAAGAGTCTGTGTATGACAACCTGCCGCACTTGAACGAAGCCATCGACGAAAGCGCGCGATTGCAGATAGCGAATGACCAATTTGCGAATGTTTTCGTGCAGTCGAAACCTGCTCTGCGCGAGACCCTTCAGCGTGGCCTGGCAAAGCTAGTAACTCGTTGTCCGGTACAAGGAGACGAGCTGGCGGACCTTTTGACTCTGATGGACCCGATCCCAGCGGCTGGCCCGCCGGAGGAGAACGAGGTAGCCGGACATGAGTTCAGCCTTGCCCTGCGTGCGCTGAACCTGAGCGGCTCGGTTAAGGAAGACGGCGCTTACCGCGAAAATCTGGAGAAGATTGTCTGGCGTCGCTGCATGATTCGGGACAACTGGGAGCATATCAGCGCCACGGCCGGCAAGACAGATGATGAGGTCCAGGCCGAGATCCGCTCTACAGCGCTCTTCAAAACGATAATGGACTACACAAACGGTGAGTATCTCCTTGTTTTTGCTAAACAAATGCATCCAGCTAACATATGATGTTTCGTCTCAGGGCTCGGCTTCGATGGTGAGTCGAACCACCTTCACCGACCCACCGACATCCTTGACAGAGTGGATGTTCCACATAAACTGGTTGCCCGGCTGCTCCCCGAGCAACGCGGCCACCTATCGACAGAACTTGACGATGAGAACAGTCTGCTGAAGCATTACATAGAGAAGGGAAACCTCGAACATTGGTTCTCATGGATCATAGAGCACGGTGTCCCAGAGATAGAACAAACCTCTTAGCCTCCTCCTCTTCTTCTTTCTACCCTCACCCCTTACTTTCCTCTTCTCCTTTCCCTTACCATGTACTTCTACCAGTGTGTCTGTCACCTTGATGTATCTACCTACCTCCATGTCACCATGCAATCCAAACTGTTAATTTAACCCCTTTTTTCTTCCATCGGCTTCCCTGTGCTTATATAATCCAATATGACGCCACCAAATCTGGGGTAAAAGTGGGTCAGTGTTGTTAGCTAATCCGGCAGGCGGTCACGAGCCTTATTTGGGCGACGCAGCAGAAGTATAAAAGGGAGGCAGCAGAGACGCTCGGCAGCAGGAGGAACTTGACATCATCTCCTCTTCTCTCTCTCCTCCCACCAGGGCCTACCAATTCTCTCGCTACGACAGCCTCCGCAACGGCCAGTACCGCAGCTACTCTCACTACCATCACCATCACTGCCAGGACCGCAAACAGCAATTCATCAGTAGGTAACATCGTAATGGCCCTTATACCTGAGGTAGCTAACCGCACGTCTAGTGACTCGCTCCCACAAGATGAACGACAGGGACCACTCTGCCGCCCACGACGACCCAGCCAGTTTCCAGGAGCATCTCCCTCGCTACTTCGCAAAGTCAGGACACATCGACGCCGACCCCAAGAAGACAAAGAAGGACGGTGGCGGCAAAGGCAACTGGTAAGCTGTCTTCTTCCTCTTCTCACTCACCCCCTCACCCCTTAAAACTCAAAGTCAGCCCAGATTGAAGATGGGGCTTCAGGACGCACAACATCATACGATTGATGCTTATCTGTCTCCCTTTTCGTATCTAGGGGCCGCTCCGGAGACGAAGTACATGACTACGGATACACTTTCACCAACTCTCGCCGTCGGTCCAACAGCAGCACCCATGGTCTCGCTGACTTCAAGACCAAGTTCGAGACACACGAGCCCGAACCCGTCTTTGAAGAAGAAACACAGGAGGAAGATGGTCAGATGAATGGTCCTAACCTTGCTCGCACCGATTCCAGCTCCAGCGGAGAGGCTCGAAAGTCTTCATAAGACAGAGTGCCACTTCTCTTCTCCTTCTGCCCCCCTCCAAACTCCTCTGCTTAATGGTGGATCTTCGGGTTGACACGTAAGACATCACCCGCATTCATAATGTGGCATGACATGTTATGACATGATCATGGCCTTCCTGTTGATGCCGGCCGGACGAGATTTTTCCCGGCTGTCATATCATCCATTACCTATTACTCCATGTATCCTAGTCTATCGTCTTCATCTTTTAGTTGAAAGCCTCTGAGCGGCCTGTGGCCCTGGCAACTTCAATAAACAACGTATGTTTCAAGATCGTGACTTTAGTTTTTCTGACACCAGTTCAACTCTTGAACAATGGCAATCAGTAGTTATTGAAATGATAGAACACAAGAATTTCAATCTTATATTTCTTATTGATAGAAAGGCGGGGGGGAGGGGGGACATTTTAGACGCTGGCATGAGTAGGGTACCATTCTTGCACTCGAAAAAAAATTCTATAAACAATTAAAATGGAGGAATTGAGAGTGGGTATGAACCGTTCTTTACACGGAAAAGGCTAATAAGGAAGCTGTACATGACCCAGGTCACAGCACTCCAGAGAATTACAGTGACTCGCTGCGACTGAGGGTCCAGTATTCTCGGTGCTTTCATAGCGAGAGCTATGGAGCCGAGGGATAAAACACCATCTAGAGAGGTTTATTAGGAGAAATACCCCAGGCACATTAACTAAGGTGGAGAACTCACAGATAGCAGCTATAATCTGACTTTCTAGGCCGAATTGGGTCTGGAATCCTCCAGCAAAGTAGCTGATTCCTCCCTTACCGTCTCCCGCAACGTACGGTACCTTGCGGATATGGTTAAACATGTGGCCAGTAGTAAAGAGCAAAATCGCAAGGAGGCTTAGGGCTGTCCATAGGTTGCGACTTCGCAAAATTGGCACGACATATTTGGAAGATACAGTGATAAGCGATATGACCGCTAACATCCCTATCAACATCCCCATCATTCGGGTGTAGTTTATTGGTCGAACAAGCTTCGGTGTTGGGACTCCAGCGAGGTGACGGCTAATCCATAGGTGCATCTGCTCCGCAGTGACAGGACTGGAAGAAACATCATTTAGTTCACTGTTCATTCCTTCACTTCCTTTGAATTCACACTCACCTGCTGAAGTCATATCGAGCTGGCTTGTTCTCGGAGCCTGCGCCGGAGGAAGGCGGCAAGAGAATCACGACCGGTGCAGTTTGAAGTTTGAGCTGATGGCAGTTAGTACTGCGATATAACGCCAATAGTGACGTTTCTTTTGCCGTTCAATTACCTGCTGGAATGTGCCTTTCCCATCCAAGAAGTCGAGTGTACCAAAGACCAACTTTGAGTCTCCAAGTTTAGCCTTGCTCCAAGTCCGACTGAGAAGTTCCCACTCCGGCTGGAACATCTTGCAGATCTCACATCCGAATCGCGAGTCCATAGCCGTCAAGAGCACAACAGTATGGTAATCTCGAGGAGCCGCGGTGAGTTCATGGTAGCTTGCATCGTCCAGAGTTACTGCGCCAGTAGACCTTGACGCAGCCTTGAATTTCGAATATTTATCTCCGTCCTTTGATGAAGCACCCAGGGCAAGCGCAATTGGCCATATAGCGCAAAGAATCAGCGAAAACAACCTCATGTTTGGTGTTATTCGGTCGTTTCTGTTTACTAGAGCTCTGAGATGACGGAAAGGTGTCATTTTGAAGCTGGAAGTTGGTGGTTCATCGTTAACTAATTTACGTAAGCAACGCGACCTCACCTGTTGATAAAAGTTTCATGACCGCGACAACGCAACATTGGAACAACGCATGAGATGTCAGTTTCATATCTACATTTGTTACAGTAGATTGATAGAAGCATATTGTTTTGGACTCACATACAGTATACACATTTATATATTTTTGTGGCTCTATTTTGGTTAAGAATATGGAAGTGGTAAGTTATAGCGTCGAACAAACAAGCAGAGCCGAAGAACACCTTCTGATGTGAGATCTAGCTTCCCTTTTCCGAGCTTGAAGCAAAATTTGAGAAGAGTCTTTATTGTGCAAGTTTACTGCTGGCTGAGGAAAATGCACGGCTGCCTAGACTGCAATTGCTGCTCTCTGAGCATGATAAAGAGGCCCTTAGCAAAGAGCAAAGCCAAACAAAACAACAACTGAATGATGTAGAGACAGAGAACTCGCGGATACGGGAGCATTCAACCCGTATGCAGCATGATATAGAAGAACTACATAAGTCCTTCCAGGCCAAGGTCAAGATGATAGATAGCCTGCAGGTCAGTTGTCGCTCTATGTAACCTGGCAATGACGCCTCGAAATATTGACATATGTGGTAGGCAGAATTGTCATCTATGCAGTCGCTTGCAGCTGAAATGAGTAAACTACGGGCTGAAAATGCATCTCTGGTGCGAGAAGTTTCAAGTATGAAACCAGAGATCACCCGGCTTCGTTCCCAGAACAGCTCTTATCAGACTATACTCTCGGAAAAGCTTTCTTTAGAACGCCGAGTCAGCTCCCTTGAGGTTGAACTTCGCGACGCAAAGCGCAACTCAGAAAAAGTGAGGGTCTCCCATGTATCAAATAGAACAATCATGAGCCCGCAACACGACGTAAACGTCAACGGCGAGCCTCAAACTAGCAAGACTTCAACCCATACCTCCAAATCAGATACCCGGGGTGTAACGGTGTCGAAGAAACAGGTGAAGGTTCAAGATTCCGACATGTCTCCTGCTCGCCGCAATCATACCAAAAACCTTGTAGATGCATCAGAGAACCCTCCACGCAGCCTATATTTCGGCACGGATGCATCTATAGGTACGCCGGGACCGAACCACATGTCAAAGCTACCAACAAAAATATCCGCGGCTCCTGGAGACAAATCAATATTTTCTATCACCCCGTTTCTGAACCGTCAGAGCCATGACTTCACGATAAACTTCACATCTAGCGAAAGCGATGGCGATAGTCCTTCATTCGTGGAGGCCAAGCCCTTGAGGATTAAGGAAAAGAGTTTACCACCATATGAAAACGAGGCCTCCACCACGAATAAACGCAAATCAAATTCTCAGCCGCTAAAGAATCCCCCGAAATCGACCAATATTCCGAAATTCACAAAAGGCCCAGCACCGCGGGTTGGCAATCGTCCCCAGAAGCAAAAGGATACGAAAGACTTTTCCGAAGACGATGGTCTTCCAGATCCCGTCAAAAAGCGACGAATACTTAGGACTATTGGAGACAAACTACCACTTGACGAAAACTTTGGACCTCTACGTACTCTATCCAAACAGCATTCGCATGTACAGGACCAGAGTGGTATTTTTGCTGATCCAGATGGGAAACGCGTTGAGAATGATCGTCGTAACCGGCGACTTGGCCTGAATAAACCGTTGGAGATCCCCCCATTTTCCCCTTTGAAACGTAACGTACGGCCTAGCTACTAGGCTTATTAACCAGCTGTCATGATCTTTTAGCGTACATATTCATCCTGATTCATTCTATTATTGCATTTCTTAGAACATGCCCCCCAAATTTGTATTTAGGCCAATGAGGTTAGTGGACTGGTTAACTCATTACATAATCATGTTTAACTCCAGGGTTCAATAACTTCAGAGTTCCTAAGCAACATTTCAGATGCCTTCTCGTCCCAAATTCAACCCTCCTATCTGGAATACAATATTTGTGGTCTCCGCTTACAAGGGCAGATGACTTTGACAGTTCAGGCCCTTGAGTCGGTAACCTACAAACATGGCGTTACTATGGCCTTCCGGCACCTCTACCGCACCGCGTTAAAAACCGTCCAATACTCCAGCCCTTCACGCTACGTTATCCGTTGGGTCCTACGATCTGCCTTTAGAAAAGGGACTGATGTAGACTTCGATCCGCGTCGAATCATTAATACGCTTCACTTTCTCGAAAACGCGTCTCAGCCTGGAAGCCTTGAGCGCAAGATCCTGAAGACGCTAACGATGGTCCGGTATTGGCAGCAACCGCATATAGCTTGCAATTCCCCAATGTAAGGCTATCTAGAGCTATATACAATTCATTTGATCCTATCTGCAATTTCATACTAATAGATGCCATATAGGATTATCGGAAGAATACCTAGACCCCAGTCGATCGGTGCGAGACAATTTAACAGAACCTTGCACTTGTTAAACGAAAGTATGAACCTTTGTCTCAAGTGAAGTCACAGTTCCGTTTCCCCTCCAGCTTTGCCCCCGGAAATATATCAGCTAGGTAGTGAAGGCTCCAAAGTTGAGAATCCTAAGTATCCGCACTCGCAAGTATCGCGACTCGACCGCCAACACTGCGACACCCTGTGGTTACACAATGCTGAAAACGTCATAATAACACGATAGCAATGGACTGATTCGAACTTATATCAGTGCCTCTGCAGCCAATTATTGAGCATTTCTCTATATCTTGGAGACGTTGCCTTGCCCTGCTTCGTCAAAAATACATATACTGGTATTGTAATTACGGGTCGCCCGATAAGCTTTATCACATGATCCTTCCCGATTCTGCACCTTTGGCTCGTGCCTTCGCCCAAACCTTAACTTCTCTTATCGTTCATATCATCGTCCTACAAGAAAGGCAGTTTCAGCGTCCAGACAGCCATAAACACCCGGTTACCTTTGCCAGTTCCCTTCATAAGCTGCCGTATATTTAGCCAGTGACTTATCTTACATCTTTTATATCGTCTTTTAACTAGAAACTCTTTAACACGCGGTCGTTGTCGCTGTCGGCTGAGCTGAGACTATCTGGAGGCAGCATCCTGTAGGCCACGGGGACTTCAATAGCGTAACGGTGAATGTAAGGCCGCGGATTACTATCAAATTATAAAGAGTTAAATGAATGAGCTAATATAAAGGCTGTGAGTCCACTAGAATTCACGACGGATTCCATACTCGCCATTCAAATCCGATTACGCCGGAGCCTGAGACCAACCCATAGCCGTGGGCTATACCATTCTCAACCACGTTGAAGTCGTATGGATAGCAGTGGAAATTAAGGCAGAATTAAAGGAAATGCGGTGTTAGACTCGCTGCATTTACAGGATGGACTTGGGTTCCGACTCCCAGGGTCAGCCTGGGAGTAATGGCAACGAGACCACGTCACAAGCTCAACTTGGATGGGAGGAAAATACCACAAAATATGCGGCAGAAAGTGATGATATAGTCGAAATGCGGAGGCGGATCCACGCAATTTGGAAATTAAATGTTTCAAGCCAGGAAAAAGCCCGGTTGATGCATGAAATCATGACAGAAGGGTATTATTCCGCGGTCAAGTCCCGCTCTCCTCCACCCACACCCCAAGGACATGATGCCCCTTGTACTCCAGAGTCATCAAGAAAGCAACGAGCGCTGGGCAATCTTTCGTCTAGTTCAGAGTCGGACAGTGGCATATCCGGAAGCCCGTATTACCTATCGCAGGAAGACTTGGAACGAACATACTTTTGCAGGTCTGTTAATGATAACCAACCTGCAGATGACCCGTTTACGGACAATCTTGAAGAAGCCGCATCCGATGAAGTCGTCGAGCTAGGCTGCATGCACTACAAAAGGAACGTGAAGATTCAATGCTTTACGTGTAAGAAATGGTACCCTTGCCGGTTCTGTCATAACGAAAGCGAATCTCATACCCTTGATCGAAAGAAGACAGAAAACATGCTTTGCATGCTATGTTATTCTCCACAGCCTGCAGGCCAATGGTGCAATTCCTGTGGCGCCCAATCAGCCTTTTATTATTGCTCTATATGTAAACTCTGGGATGATGATGCTGAAAAAAGCATATACCATTGCGGTGATTGTGGCATTTGTCGCCTTGGTCAGGGACTTGGAAAAGATTTTTTCCACTGCCAGGTAATATCTACACGTCTTCATGGTTTATATTAACATGCTGATTTTTAATAGACTTGCTCTGCCTGTATACCAATTGCGATTCAACAAACCCACAGATGCATTGAACGCTCAACGAAATGCGATTGTCCAATATGCGGAGAATTCATGTTCAGCTCACCCGATACGGTTATTTTCATGCGATGTGGCCATAGCATACATCAAAAATGCTTTTCTGAGCATTCTCGCAGTTCATATCGCTGCCCCATTTGTAGCAAGAGTGTTACGAATATGGAGGCTAACTTCAGAAACCTTGATCGGACCATCATGAGCCAGCCAATGCCTCCTGAACTCAAAGATACAAATGCCCTTATATATTGCAACGATTGCCATGCGAAGAGCGTTGTGCCATACCATTGGCTGGGCCTGAAATGTGAAATGTATGCTCTGAGATTACCTTAGCCCATTTGAATGTTTGCTGACTAGTGTAGATGTGAGTCATACAACACTATCCAAAGGCAGTTATTGAACGGTAGTTACAATCCGGCACAACCTACGGAGGGTAGACAGAACTCCTTTAGTGGTGGTGAAGGCCTCGCCGTTCCTATACCTGGAACTTCTAACGATCACCGTACCGGAGCCAGGAATTCTGTCATCGAGACGCCAGGTCATCATTTCCACGAGGCGCCTACTGACAGTGGAGGATCACAGGCCCGTAGCCTTCCTCATACATCTTTTCATAGTTCGAGAGCAACTCCAAAGTCGCCGGTAGTGACGAACTACTTTGCACTTAGCCGTCAAGAAGACGTAGATAGCTCAACATCCCAATCTAGGGGACCCATGCGATTAACCAGGGGAAGCTTTAGTGGTTTTAATTTCTGGAGTGGTGTAAATATAAAGGAAAGACTCGGGCTAATTGGGAGCAGTGATGCTGAAACCGAACCTGGGAGTGACGGTAGCTCAGACAACCAGGAAACAGAAGATGACGATGACGAGGACGAGGATGAGGATGAAAGTCCCGACACCATCGATATCTTTGGTCACCGCTAGCTAGCTAGTCATTCTTCAAATACATACTATTATGGTTTAAAAGATAAAGAAACCGGGTAGAAAGCAATTGACATCCTACCCAGGTGATAGTTCACCAAGTGCCAGTTCAAGGCAACATGCATACTGCACCTATCGAGTAAATTCCCCGCTTTGTACAAACTCTATATTCAAGTCATATAAGAATATTATCAGGTCGCAACGCTGCATTCTCCTGTCCACACAGGTCGGCCTACTCAAAATCCTGCCACACGTTTCTTTTTCTTGGATTTGAGGAGTGGTTTCCTCCTTCCGAATACGCCTTGCTCTCCTTGTGTCATCGTAAAGCCACCTTCACTTACTTGACTGCTACCTATACCAGAGCTGAATGCATTAGTTTCTGGCTGGCTCCCCCACGGCCTAGTTATTGGGATGTCGGCTGAAACACTTCGTTGTGACTGCGCTGCGGATGAGGATGGTCTCCTTTCTTTCCGTTTACGCCGTTTAAAATTGTTGTCGTTTTCAGATTGTGAGTTATCGTGTAAGGAGACGGTAGCTTGCCAGTCATACTGGCTGGGGTCACTTCCATTTACCCAGTGTGTGGCCGTGTTGATGGTCTTTTGTGAGATTGGCCTCTGACAATGGATGGTAGTGTACCGCGCAAGTGAAGCCAGCATAGGTCCGGTCTGGTTGTCATTTAAACCCCGTGTCCGAGGTGGAGATGAAGAAACGTCACCCCCGGACCATTGAGTCAGTTGCCCTTTGAACTCGGAAACACTGTGAGCTTCAGGCTTGACCAGCGAACTTGACCCAGCTTCCTTGCCGTCCTCTGCTTCTTCAGCTCCCCAACGGGATAACCTAATACTCGCAATACAAAGTTCAGAAATCACTTCCCGAATAGTCTGTTCTTTTAACGCCCGGAGCCGGTTTGGAATCCCGTCTGGCAAAGGAGCCAACCAGAGACAAATCATGGTATCGTAAAGTTCCATCAAAGAGTAATCATTCCATGTATTTGGTTCAATCATTGAGAATTTAGAAGTGAGTGTAGATGGTAGTTGCAAAATACGTAATTGGAACCCAGGTAGCATACAGTCCGCAGAATCTGCAAACTCTAGGATGAATTGGTCAAATGCCTTTGCAATGTTTTCTGCTTCATCTACCGAAAAAGATGACGGAACGGCTTCTGACCTAGATTACTGTAAGTATATTGAATCGGAAGAAATAAAACGGATACTACTTACAGTAAAAGAGAAGTTGAACAGGATGTTAGGGCTGGAATCAGCTCCGCAGTTTGGCCTTTCAGAGCATTCAGCCAGTCTCCGAAAGAGGTTGTGTTCTCACTTTCAGTGAAGTTGGCGATTTTCATGTGCTCGAGAATAGACGTAGCTAATGAATATTGCTGCTGCCAATGTTCTCGCGTTTCATATGTTGGAAGAACGGCCATCGATGAACCAGCCTTCGTTGGCTTGTTCGGTAGGCACATGGGTATCAAAAGCGACTTTTCCCCGTCCTGTACGACAAAATCAGATTCATCAGCAAGCTTCGCGTGGTATTTAGCAGGCCTTTTCTTCCTGCCAACTGAGATGGGAATAATATCCGGTGATATCTCTTGATTCGGTACTGTGGCTAGATATATGCATTCAACTAGTCTTCCATCCATTAGTTGTCCTATAAATGCAACTGATTTCGGTGAGTCGGTGCTATCATCATCCAAATACGAGTCAGGATTCCTGTTATCTTGGAAAGATATACTAGAAAAGTTTACTGTATTATGAGATGTTTTCATTCCGCATGCTGTATGTTCACTTTTGACCTTGGGCAGATGAAGAATCCTTGTATCACCTATGGACACTGGGTAGGACGGGTCGTCAGATGAAAGCGCCTGGACAGTCGTAGCAAGCAGATTCAGACGGGAATGTATCATTATGAAAAGGTCTAGTCAAAATTAGCGTAATGAAGTCCACGGAACATTTTGAGTATTTACCTGTTTCCACGGATATCGGGGTTAACCGGAGACTTATATCCTCTGGGTCTCGGAAATGTCTCCAAGAAAGCAGAATAGATGCAGCGTGAGAATTGTCGCTTTGGCTAACACGAGAGCCATCAGGAGGCGGAACATGTACCCAAAAAATTCTCAGCGTTGTGAGAATAAATACGTGGGAAGGTGTTTTTGGACTTCGTAGGGCATCAAGAACCCACTCTGAATGAAGCTCGAGACCAAGGCTAAGCTCCTCCTGTTCTGGTGGACGCACATCCATACGACAGATATAAACGTTGCGTCTATCACAAACTAACAACTGGTGGATGGTACAGACCCATAATATTGCACCCCAACCGTCATAGTGGTCAATTGGCTTGGAACTTTTCTCATATTCAGGGAGTCTTATGGAGCCGTTTGGTCCACGTTCAGCATACCAGCCAGCTTTTCGCTGCTGTCTGCGTTGCAAATCCCAAACGCTCCAATTTCCTGCACAGTCAATCACGGCGATTTGCCGCTGATACCAAGGGTTGAAAGTTACATCAGCATGGGGATAGCCACCTGTCAGGTCGCATGGTATATTTACAAGGGGATTTGGGTCTATATGTGACAATAGACATGACTCCGCGTAACTATTATCGTTTAAGTTCACTGGGACCGGGTTACGGTGGTAAATCGGGCTAAATATTGTAGTGGAATAGGAGAGCCTGGCTGCAAAGCATTTTTTTGGCTCCTGGATCGATTCTGAAGATAATACCTGCTTCACAGGGCCACCAGGTACGTTCCACCAAACAGACTGGTCGTCATCAATGTTGGATGCGGCACTTGGGAATAGGGTGTTGCGGCTGCAGCCACCTGGGCATAGAGCAAGGGACGAACTTTGACCCCCTGTTGAGAATACCATTATTGGAATTGTTTGACATGTTATTCGGTCGTCCGTCATAAGCTCAATGTCCCCAAACGCTAGACACTCATGACTGCTTGGCTCGAAACGAGAGGAAGCAGAAGTTATAGCTCGTGAAGTTGCCTCTTCCAGAACCATATTTGAAAGCCCATGAGTTAGTTCTGGGTATAAGTTCAATAGCATCTGCTCTGTTCTCTTCGTCACGGCGTTTGCATTTCTCGGCTCCCGAGAAAGGTCTGGATTTGTGCCATGGGAGATTATATTTGCTTCACCCGCAAGTTTGAAGACAAAGCCTAGTGATATACGTTAGCAGGCAGGCCCTGCCTCAGGAGTTCTACCTAAGAGCCGTACCTTGGTTGGGCGCCCGCGAGAATCTCCATTCCTGTAGCTCCCCGACGTAAGTTGCTCTTCCCAGGTGGCCGAGAGACACCTCATTTTTCCAATGATCAGCCATCTGGTCGTATAGTTACTGTATATGTATACAGTGCTATGGTAGAGCAGTATAAAGACATAGTTATCTGAACAATGCCATGTAAAAAGTCTTGCGGCTTTAGGCACGATACATTGATTATACTGTTATGTTGCCTTCAAGATGTCGATGTCGTCTCAATCTAGGGAAAGAACCTTTACCAAAGAAAGAGGAAAAGGAGCTTCTGATAGGTTCCTACCAAGCTGCTTACCTAAAAACCTTACCTTCGCGGACTTATAAAAAGCCATTTCCGAGAGCTTACCTAATTGAGTTCCGGTCGGTCCATTCATTTCCTGCGCTAGTCCACTTTTGGCTTCAACCTTCGTGTTTATATCATCAACATACGCGATAACATCCAGAAACTCATATGGATTGCTCCCTACGAAGTCGAAGTCGGATACCCAAATAAAGGCACCCAACAACTATTCAAGATGACGGCTTTTGATCCCTACTCCTCAACTGCTCGACCCCCACTTACGACGGCTGATGCGCCGTCAATGGCCGATCAACTCCCAACCCTGAACTTTCGATTCGAGGAGCTTCGTTCAAGGATGTCTCAGTTTTCCCAAAAGTTCGACTCCTTCATCGAAAGAGGAAGAAAGCAAGTGTTGGAAGAAAGGAACCAGTTTTATATCGATCTCGCGGAACTTCAAGGTTCGCGCCCACACTGATATTAGGTTGTTTGGGTTGCTATTTCTAACTGGCTTTTGTATACATAGAGGACCAGCGGATGAAAGAGAAGGATATCGAGATTCTCAATTTAAAGCTCCAGACACATCGGCAAACCCTTCAAAAGGAGAGTGCAGAGACTGCAGAGATGCATGCAGCCATATCTCAAATCAGCCAACAGCGTGATTCTCGGTCGGCCATTCGTGACAGGCTTCAGCAGCAAATAAATGAAACACAACGAAGTATAAATCAAAGACTAGAAGCACAGAGGGCACACGCCAAGCAACTGGAACTACAATCCCGCCAGAACGTACCAGAGTTAGACTTCTGGCAAGACTTGCTGTGTTTGCGAATAGAAGGGGCTGGAAGAGAAGACCGGCTGAAGATCATCTATACACACCTTTTGGAAAAGGACTGGGAGAGGGAAGCTTGGTTTGAACTTGGAACCGCAGGCCATGAATACGAGGTACTTCATTGTCGGCCTAAGCTCGATAAATCCGCTATTACCGAAGTTGTTGACATCGTGAATGATGACAGAGACTTTGGTGCTTTCCTCAAGAGAATGCGGAGGCTTTTTGTTGCAGCTTTGAATTAAAAAGCATGTTAATGAGTTATGCCTATTTAGTGAGGTGACTATAATAAAACATATATACGTTTCTGCCCTCTGTACAGATTGCACAACGATACCACAGTCTTTCTTCGAAACAATGCATGATTATGGACATCACAGTAGATAGTGGCATCATACCATAAATCGAACAATTGCTTAGCTACTGTTAGCTTCTCGGTATAATGCAATGTTCTGGCTGGCGCCTGCTGCCGCGAACCGTTCTGCCTTTCCCATCTTTGGCAGCCATTTAACGCTCCATATAGCCTTATCGGATTCTAAGAGCGTCGCAACACAAGCCTTCCGCTCAATTGACCACACTTTAACTTTGCCGTCAAACGAACTAGTCGAAATGTCAATAAACCTGATGCCATATTATTACCAATACTACTCACCCGCTTAGGAGGTATTCGCCAGAGTCGTTCCAGTCTAAGGAGGTAACCCACGCGGCATGGCCGATCAGTGTTGCAAACTGCTCCCCGGAGCTTGTTTCATAAATCATAATCATTGTAGAGTCCCCAGCAGCAGCCAGTAACTTTCCTCCGGGGGAAAACGATACCGCTCTAACGGGCGAGGCAAGACCTGGGTTCATCAGTTTGTGTTGGTCTCTGCAGGCAAGGCGTAGGGAAATTACCTGATAGTGAGAACGGCATCCTTCCTTCTGCGAGGTCAAAAACGTAAACGCTCCCGCTTTGATGGCCTGACGCAATCAAACGACCGTCCGGTGACTTTTTCCAGGGACATAAGCAAAATATGTATTGGAGGGCGGAGTGGGATTATATTACCATATCGACACACATGCCAAAGCTCCCTCTCGTCTCAAAGTTCCATACCTCCTCTATGTTATTCTGAAGGTCCCAGACTTTAATACGGCCATCATGGGTGGTGCCGGCAAGGTACCGCGCATCTGAGGACAGAGATACAGCCCATATATCTTTTACCTTGCCATTATCTGTATGAAGTTAGCCTGTTTGGTCGCGGTTATTTCTTGAAAGTATTGCCCACCTTTGAGGTCTTCATTCCACATCCCATCTTCGTAACGCCATAGCTTTACCTCTCCTCCAAAGCCAACACTGGCCGCATAACACCCAGACCCTTTCGCCGTGGCGAGGTGATGACAGCCAATCTTGTGGGCTGCTGAGAGAGATTGGGCTATGCCAAATCCTTCCTCGTTGGCCAAATGGGCCTTGAGCGAGGAGGCACCCGAGGCTGATAGGATCTGGGTAGGGGTCACAGCGAGAGAGAATATTTCAGATAAGTGTGCTATTCCATGTTAGAAAATACAGACTCTTCTTCGTAAGTACCATAGGAGTACGCACCATCCTCTATTGTGTGCAGACTTAGTATTTGCTTGGACTGTTGCATGCAGACAGTTAGCTTCAGGTAGACGTTGGTAGAAACATCAAACCCGGCTCACTTGCCATCTTGTCTGTTGAGTTATTTGGGGGTATTCTTAATGTAGCTTCGCAGGCTATCTATCTTGTATGGAAAGCGTTTGATGTGGGTGATGTTGGGAGCACCCAGCATTGATAAGTAGTGTAGCTATTGTAAATGTAAAATAAGGAATAGAATTCTTGAACGCTCCGAAATAGCTCCACATTTGAGAGGACTGCTATGCATCAACACCTCACACTACAGATACATAAGTTACATGGATTTGAATATACTACACGGCATTTTTAAGCCTCTTGTCATAAAATCTCTGTAGAATACCAGGTAAGAAAGCTGGTTTCCCTTCCATCAGATAAAGACGCAAACGACCTGAGTGTAGCCGTAGAAAAGAAAGTATATGGTACAGGATAACCAAAACGCCCGCTTTTTCTCGTAGTAAAGCCTTGCCTTGCCCCGAAAGGTGCACCCAATGGTTGTGATAAGAAATAACAGTAATCACGTAAATCAACCGGTTTAAAAAGAAAATGGGGGTTATTATATGTTGGGAGTAGCATTTTGAGAGTTCCACTCTCTCTTGACCTCTGTTCGACCCAATTAGCATTGAACTGGTGGTAGAATAGCAGTATCAGGGGGTGCAATTGCAGAGACATACGGGCAACGCAGTGAGGACAGAGCAGATGAGCTCGTTTGGTATTCCCGCACGCTGGGCATGTGTTGAGGCTGATGTTATCCTTCAAGGCCTTTCCAGCCATCTGTCTGTGTCGTTTCTTCATGTGCGAGGTCTTCTTCTTGGGCACGGCGCGGAGGATTGACTCCCAGATATCTGACAGCAGGGACGGCAGCACAGCAGCGACTGCGTATCGGGAAGCATGATATTTCGCGGCGAGAGAGCCCGATATCGAGCTGCCGGCGGTTGCGTATATACCGGGCGTTCGAGTCAAGACGGTCGAGGAGAGGAGTCCCATGGAGGGGCCGGCGAGTCGGAGAGCAGCCATCCTGCGCGGCAGCTGTGAGTATCGTCTTCTCTCTAGTCAGTTTCGACTTCGACTTCGACTTCAACTTCGCCTTCAGCTTGCGTCCCAACGCCGACCTTTCAGCATCACCATCGAAGGAAAAAAAAGTCACGAAAAGCACGACAGCCGCTGATTGGCCCGTGTCACCGCGCTAGCCCCCAACCGGCCTAGCGCCCAACTTGCCCCTGACGTCCCAGTAGAAAGTAAGGGAAAAAAAAAAAAAAAAAAAAAAAAAAAAAAAAAAAAACCCAGCAAGACAAAAAGTTCGCCTTTTAGCTTCGCGCGCAAACGATCATCTCCTCCTGGCTCCGGCACAGCGACCTAAGAAAGGGGGCTGCACAAGTCTGAAGTTCTTCTTCCTCTCCTGCGTCTGCTTCTCCCTCGTCCTCGCAACCACCCTCTCCGACAGCTGCTGCAGAGCTACGAGTCTTGCCAATCGCCCGTCGTACCCTTCCTCTCCGTCGCCAGATAATAACTTCGAGCCCGTTCCAACCCATAATAAACAGCAACGATGGCCGCCGCTGCCTCTCCCACCGACACAGTCTTCCCCAGAAGCCATGTTGGTTTCGACAGCATCACCTCGCAGATCGAGAAGAAGCTGCTCAAGCGTGGCTTTCAGTTCAACGTCATCTGCGTTGGTATGTTGGATCCCATATCGCCTTTCTATATACCGTTTCACCCCTGTTTCCCTGAGATCGATCCGGGTCTAACGTAGACGTTCTTGTCTCATACATACAGGCCAGACTGGTCTAGGAAAATCGACCTTGATCAACACCATCTTCGCCTCTCACCTCATTGACTCCAAGGGCCGTCTCGCACCTGACGAGCCCGTCCGCTCGACCACGGAGATTCAGACTGTGTCACACAGTACGTTGTTCCGATACGGCGCATCTCGTTCCCTCCCCCCTTTTTTGTCACATTTCAGCCATATCTGATCATGCTTGATAGTCATTGAGGAAAACGGTGTACGCCTGAGATTGAACATTGTCGATACCCCTGGGTACGGAGACCAAGTCAACAATGACAGATGGTACGTTGAGTCAGGCGTCTAGGGCTGTTCCAGACTGGACATCGTCGGGGCTAATTGATTTTATAGCTGGGACCCTATCGTCAAGTACATCAAAGACCAGCACTCCGCCTACTTGCGCAAGGAGCTTACGGCTCAGCGTGAACGATATATCCAAGATACCAGAATCCACTGCTGTCTCTTTTTCATCCAGCCATCTGGACATGCGTACGTTTTGAGACATTACTCCAGAATTAGCGCTCACCGTTATTTACTAACTTACCATTGTAGCCTAAAACCAATTGATATCGTCGTTCTCAAGAAACTGTCTGATGTTGTCAATGTTGTGCCCGTTATCGCCAAGTCCGACTCCCTTACCCTGGAGGAGCGCCTTGCTTTCAAGGAAAGAATCAAGGAGGAATTCGCCTTCCACAACCTCAAGATGTATCCTTACGACAACGACGAGCTTGACGACGAGGAGCGTGCTGTCAATGCGCAGATCAAGGTACTTCTTTCTCTACCCCTCATATAATTTTTTGCAGCCCTTGCGACGTCACAGCTAAGCATTTTCCCCTAGGATATCATTCCGTTTGCTGTTGTCGGCAGTGAGAAGTCTATCATCGTCGACGGAAAGCAGGTCCGCGGCCGTCAGAACCGCTGGGGTGTGATAAACGTTGAAAACGAAAACCACTGCGAATTTGTCTATCTCCGCAACTTCCTTACCCGCACTCACCTCCAGGACCTGATCGAAACCACCAGTCAGATACACTATGAGACTTTCCGCGCTAAGCAGCTGCTTGCTCTAAAGGAGAGCAGTGCCACCGGCCACTCTGGAAGTCGACCAATTAGCCCTGCTGCCGACCGGGAATTGAGCCGCAACTCCCAAAGAGTGACTATGAACGGCAACTAAGGCCTTTTCTCGATTTTTTTGTTGCTATTACCAAACGCTTCCCCTTCTTGAGGGTTTCAAGTTAACGTGGAACATGATACCCAACCCACTTAATCTTCCATGCGCCATAGTTAACGGGCTCGACGAGTCCCTGCGACGTCAACGCTAATGGCCGTTACCTTTTTCTCTTTTATTTATTCTTTTGATATTCGTTATTCCGTATTTCTCACTTTGAAATTACTTTTAATATCCTTACGTGCGTCCCATTAGCCAGCCGAAAGTGTTTAAGAACACTGTAGCCAATCTCATGTCCGTTTTAGAACAAACACCATCCTCTGGGTTTGTGTCTATCTGTAGTGTCTATGTCAGCCCCATTTTTCTAAATGAGGCTACTACTGCTAGCTCCAAAAATTGTATGCAAAAATAGGAGGTTATCCCAAGATCATTGCGAGCCAAACTTCCCGCCATCTACCACCCAATCTCTAAGCTCGGCATATGCCGCCTCAAGCTCATCGTTAACAACAATCTTGTCATGTGCATTAGGCTGCCTCGAGTATTCTAACTCAACTCGGGCCTGGGCCAGTCGCTTTTGCAGACTGTCCTCTGACTCAGTACCGCGACCACGCAGGCGTCTTTCCAACTCTTCGATAGACGGAGGAGCAAGGAAGAGGAACCTGGCATTGAGATCGGTCCGTTTCACTTGTTTCACACCCTATACAGAGACATATTTCACACAAACGGTCAGAACCAAAATAACACAACATGCGGCCAGCTTTTCTTTTTTACTTGATCCATCGCTTACCTCCATCTCAATGTCTAGGACGCATATTCTCCCTTGGTCCGCAACACGTTTCACGGCCGCAATGCTGGTTCCGTAATGGTTTCCGCCGAACTGAGCATGCTCAATGAATCCTCCCTCGTCAACGAGCTTCAGGAAAGCTTCCTTGGTGGTGAAGTTGTATTCCCTGCCATCTTCCTCGCCTGGTCTGGGGCCTCGAGTGGTGTCTGCATACCCCCGGAACACATAACGCATCAGCCAAAAAGTCAGTAACAACAGCACAACTCTTCCGGCTGCTTTCCCTTGTGGCGGTGAGCACTCACGAGATACGGAGAAGCCGAACTTGTCTGGGTACTCAGCGAATAGGCGTTTGAGCAAGGTCGACTTGCCTGTGCCCGAAGGCCCAGATATCACGACAGGCCGGGGCCCTTGAGTTGCTGCCGCAGGGAGCCATTAGCACCGTATCGCCAAAGGAAATTGCGCCGTACACATCATGGACGGGCCGCAAGTCTTGCATTTACCTGTGGAAGCCATGCGGGCAAGACTGTGGCTGTATGCGAATGGGTGAAATAAAGAGCGAGAGGAGGGCCTGTACCTGACGAACGGTATATCACAGTTTAACAGTGCTCCGCCGCCCCTCCTCATATAAAATGTCATCCTCTCTCGTCTTGGCGCGCAACGCTGCATGGGCGGGAAAGTTCCATTTAAAAATAATGTTTGTAGCTAGTGAGATGGTTATCCAATGACTAAGCAGGCCGCCACTGCTTGATACACGTAGTGGTTTTCACATCTTGTTCGAACACTGGAGAGACGAAGGAAAAAGGGGCAGAAAGGAATATGAAGAAGCGGGGGGAAGGGGGAGAAGAGGCCCCCGGAAGGATGGACAAAATGGGATTCTAATATTAAAACAAGCAGCTCGGTCATGACGCCGTCTTGTCCGAGGGATTCTCGTTCTGGGCCGGTAGCTTTCCCTCTGCCTGGGCTTCTTGCTCAAGGAAATTCGACCATAGCTCAGCCAGAGACTCTTTCCGCGCGTCTGCGTTGGTGCCAAAATATCCTGTTGTCAGGGAGGGTGAGCTTGGGGTTTTGAACATGGACGGAGATCGTGGAGCTCTAAGACTGTTGTAACCCCCCGAGGCACCCGGTCGAGCAAGGCCAGCTTGCTCTCGTTGTTCTGCAATAGAGCGTCAGCTAAACATAAAAATAAGAATGTAATGGTTGGAGTTGACAGATAGTAAGTGCTTACCATCATTCCACCCTAGGAGAGCAGCAATAAGCTGCAATATCTGGAACTTCTTCGGATCCGATCGATCCAGAGAGAGGAAATGCAAAAAGTGGTTCGTGACAAGATTCCTATTAATAGTCAGCGTGAGACAACACCGCGATAGTAATAGATTGAACATACCTATCCACGTTGTCTTCAGGCTTCCCTTTTTTCAAGAACCGTAAAGCTTTTGTGAGATGCTCGTTCAAAGTAACGGCTTCGTGTCTAAGCTTGCCTATAAGGAGGTTCTTCTCCTTGACCTCTTTCTCAAACGGCAAAGCTCTTTCAAGGCTCTTTTTCGTTTCTTCTCGGGCGGCATCAGCTTCGGCTGCGCGCTTCTCTGCATCTTCCAGTTTCTTTCGGACTTCCTCTACTTGTGCATTGGTACTTTCTACTAGTTCACGTAATTCTTGCTTTCGAGCTATACATTAAGTAGTCAATAATTTGATGGCAAAGAATTGGTCCAAGGGAAGGGAATATTCATACCAGCTTGAATTTCTCTTAGCGCCTTTTGGAGGCCTTCAACTGCTACTCCCTGGGAGTTATAGTCAGACGTCATTTTCTCGTAATCTGCCCTAATCGTCGACAGCTGTTCGTCTAGATCTATAACTTTTTCTCCCAGATTTTCTCGGATGGACCGCTCCTCCATCGCAATTATCTCCCAGCTATGCATTGCCTGCTTAGCTTCCTCAAATTCTGTTCGCAGTTCCGATTCCTGTGCCAATAGTTCCTCTTTCTCTTTAATCCAATTCTGTTGGGCGAGGTTTATTCTATTTCGCAGGCTGGAAAGCTCCTTTGACTGTTGCTCGCGGTCACTTTCTAGGGAAGATATATTCGAAGATCTAGCCTCCAGCTCAGCTCTCAGGGAGGCATTCTCGCTTTCATATTGTTCAATCTGGGCCCTCTTTTCAGTCAATTCCTCCTATAGCTCTAGTTAGCCTCGCACCGTAAAACCTGCCAGCATGGTATCACGAGAAACATACAGCATCAGCTTTCAGTCTCTCTCCCAGCTGAGACTTAATTGTGTTCACTCTCCCTAACAAGCTGTGGAATTGCGACTCAGCCTGCTCTTTCTGGCTTTCCGAGACCCGGAGCTTCTCTTGCAAGGTTTCCATTTCCTCATCGTGCTTATTCTGTATCTCCTCGAGGGAACGGCGCATCTCGATGACTTCTTCCCGCAGCGAGTCTCGATCCCGCACGAGAACATCAAATCTATCGTCAGTGCCTCGGTCACCCGCTTCATTTTTCATTGGGTCGGTATCCGACGCTGGTTGATTTTCGTTCGAGTGTGATGTTGGGGTTTCGATTGAGAGATTCTGGAGGTTTTCTGTAACTGACGCCGACGGCTCAGCTTCTTGCGATCCGTTCACTGTCGCGTGGTCCGAGTCCTTATAACGATAACCAATACGCTTTAGTATTTCTTGATCTAGACAAGTTGCCATTTCAGGGTAGGAAGTATGTGATACCATGTCCAGTTGTTCGTCATGCTGTCCATCCTTCTTGGAATCTACGGGGGTCGTTCCAGTGTTCCCATCTTTTTCACTCTGCGCTCCGGTCTTCCCGCCTTTCTTCTTCTTGTTCTTCCTCGATTTGCTTTCGGTCACTATACAATGGAGGCCGTTAGATCTTGATAGGGCTAAGAATGCGGCGCGACTGACCTTGGCCGGCGGGCGCTGAATTGACAGGCATTTGTTCAGCTATTATGATGTTTCAGCAGGAAATAAGAGGCAAGGTTGAAACAGCGTCTAGGATCAGTGTTAATTGGACGTTTGGTGCGAATCGGCCGTTTGGAAGTTGGAGAATACGTTGTTGTTACTTTGGATATTTTAGTTGGACTAACTTAACTAACTTAGTTGGTTAAACCAGTCTTGCGTCAGCAGCCGGCTACTTGACATGGAACATGGTAACTACCCATCCATAGCCATATAAGTACAAAACAATTCATCGAGTTGATAGTTACGCAGACAGCAAGATCAGATGTATATAAACGCCTCGCCTTCGTGGAGACGTGCCTTCTGTCTCACTTGTGAAGACACTGAAAGCTTTCTGATTCGATCTGGAGAATGTCTCGCCTATTTAGTTAGATAACTAGCGCCAAGGGCATATTTTCTTACAATATTGTCTTATTATTACTTTTGTCATTATATTTCTTTCCACTATTATTCATCAGAGGATCTAGACATGTCGAGAGGAGATCGGGTAAGCCCAGGTCCTGGAGTTAATCCAAGAGCAATGCGTAACTCCGTAGGCTCTGTTGTCATCCAAGGAACAGCCTGGGTGAAGCCACTCAGACGGTCTTATAGGAAGTGCTGCATCATCCTTCCTGAGTTGGGGATATTATCCCCTTGGCGACCGAGGTTATCCTATTAAGATAAATAACAGAGCTGGATAGCCAAATGAATCATCACATAAAGTCATCCAGAAAGTCTTCACCTCGGTCCTGATTGTTGCTTTGCTGGACGCTCTCTGGGCTCATGAGATCATCGTAGGCGTGTTCCTTCTGCCACCGTAGCTCATCCCTTTCTCTGCGTTCCTTCTTCTCCAGTGCCTTTTTCTCTTCTCTAGCCTTGCGTTCCTCTTTTCTGCACTGTGCCAGGTACTCCTCCTTCTCGGCTCTAAGGTCGGGGAACTTTTCAACCCGGGTCTTGTTCAGTCGATTAACAATGGGGTTCTGTCGTTGCGGCACAAAGACCTTGCGTGTGAGCTTGGGGTTATGGAATGAGACCTGACCTGTGGCCATGGCCGCAGTCTTGTGTAGGTTGGACCATGGCGTGTATATCACAGTCACATTGTCCTTTTTATTCCCTGCGTCTGTCAATCGAAGCTCTCACCAGCTGGACGCTGCAGAGGTAAGGAAAGAAAGGAAAAATAATGGGGGAAAATTTTTTAAAGGGAGGGTTAGCGTGTGTTGAACGTGCCTTCGATAGAATTTGCCTTGGTCAGCTGTGCGCAGTCCTCGAGTAGCTCCTGGGGTATATTCTCCCAGCTCTCGCCTTTCCGGAGTCGAAGGTAGACGTGGGCACTTGATAGATTGTCGACATGAAACTAGAAGAGACCAAAGGCAAAGAGAAATGCAAGTCAGCAATCCAGGACGGAATTCTGCGAGCCGAGAAGGAGGAGATGGGGGGAGGAGGAGGAAGCATCCAACAAAACACACCCTAGGAAAGAAACGAGGCAAGAAATCGACACCGAGTAAGCCGCAGGAACAGGAGAAATCTGACAGAGGAAGCAGGACACGTAGCTACCAGACGTCATTCTCAAGGCCATGCTTGATCAGATCTTCGTCTAAGATGTTTCAGAGACCAACTGTTAGTTAGTGAGCAAGCAGCCTTCGGGCTTATCGAGAGAGATAGGAGAGGGAGAGGGGACTCTGGCTGTCTAACTTTCAACCTTGTCTTTGCCAACATAAATGAACGCTGCAGGAGTCACCGTATTTGACGTAAAGTAGTACACCATCTTGCTGCAGGACGAGAGCTGAACCACAGCCCGCGGAGACCAGCGTCGTCTGTTTCCTTCGTCCGCCTCGTCGTCGTCGCCGTCGTCGTCGCTGTCGTCGTCCAGCTCCTCGGCCGTCACAAAAGGTCCTCCTGTCTTGGTGTTATCGCAGGGCCGGGCCCCGGCTTATCTCGTGATCAACACCGCCTGCCAAGCCGGCAGGCAACTATGCAAACCATGCAAACTACAGCACGTGAACTGCTTTGTCATCCAACAACTAACAAGAACTTCCCTTTATGGGACTCTCGAAGCTTAAAAGCGCCAACTCGACAACGTCAACAAAACATCCGCGGGCGACGCCATCAAGCAGCCAGTGAGAGGGCGAGAGACGGCCTAGAGAGACCAGAGACAGGAGACGAGAGAGACCCTGAAAGGAAAAGAAATTATAGGCACTGCAAGAAGAACGCTGATTTACGAAAAGAAAAGAAAGGAGAGACGGGCGATAATTTTTAATACCTAACTAACTCTCATTATTCGAAATCTTCTTTTTTTGCAATTCGTCGTCGTGTTTACGAAGGCTCCATCTACTTAGAGTCATGGAGTACATAGCAGACTGCGGACTAATATTTTCCTTGCTTCAGCCAATGGCGACTGTTCCGTCGTCGTTAAAATGTTGGAGCATTGGGGGTCCCGGCAGGAAAAAAGGGACCAAATAAGACCCAGCCTGCGCCTGTCAATAATAATAGCAAGCAGGCAGCTCAGCAAATGGGGTCAGTTTGCTGATCTGTTGCCGCTGCTCTTGGTAGTTATTATTGAAACCCTCCCATCCCATCCACCTCTCTTCCTCTCTCTCTCTCTCTCTCTCTCTCTCTCTCTTGACACCCACGTCCTTGTCTGTGTCTTGTGGGCCAGGGGATCAGGCTGTGGGGTGCATAACTAACGAGATACAAACACTTGCGGATGTTGAGAAGGATGATCCCTTGGGATCTGATGATTGATGATTGATGAGACAACTATATCTGTTCAGGCCCTACGGATTAGAGGCGGTGTCACAGATATATATGGGGGAACAGAGTAACTCTGTAAGCGAGAATGTATACTCCGGCCGACAGACAGAGGACAGGACACAACTTGACTCTGTCCTAGCGGCGGCAGATCAAACTAAAAAAAGAAGAAGAAGAAGAAGAAGAAGAAGAAGAAGAAAGGAAGAAGAAAAGAGGGTGAGAGACATCGAGCGATAAAAAAAAAAAAAAGAAAAGAAAAGAAAAGAGAGAGGGAGAAGGCTCCTGTGCACGAACAGGGGGTTTCGGGTTCGTCTCTATCTCCACGTATAGAACTGGCAACCTCAGACTTATAGTTAACTATATCAGACTGCCCCCATACTGTGGTAGCGCTCCACGAGCTGCATGGAGCGTTTGTCGGTCCAGATTGCCGTCCAAGCCCTCCACAGAGAACCCTGCTCCTTTGCCGCATGCATGCCAATGGCCTTTGCCCTCCATTCCGAGCAATCAATCTGAGTTTTAACGCCGCTCCAAGGGGTTGCTGCGCCGTCAACCCAGCCGGATCCTGACAATACCCGACCATTGGAGTGAGGATCCTGGTCGCTGGCGGTTCCCGACGCACGGCATACTGTGCAATAGGGACGTCTTCCTCGCTGATCATGCAGGTGTGTCCCTTTTTTTTTCCCTGCCTCGTTTCCTTTTTTTTTTTTTTTCTTGATATCGACGTCTACCTGAATGCTTTTTTGTTTTTATGTTTAAATTTTCTTTTCATACGGCGCTTTTTTACCTTCCAACCTCCGGTGATTCCATCCGCTCTGAAAAGGGCTCTCGCCAGTTGGGATGGAAAGCTCTTAAACTCTGCCCCACGCTGGGCCGCTACAATCCGGCTACGATCCCAATTGAAAATCATGACAAGGCACTGCTTATGCAGTGGAGGTAGCGGCGTAGCTGCAAAGATTTACGTGTTCAATTAATCCGGGTAGTTAGCCGCTACGGTGGTGATGCGGCTTGCTGCATGAGACTGACTCAGCAAAACCGTTGAGCAAGATAATAACTATCTCAAACAACGAGTGGAAAGGAAAAGGAGAAAAGTTATGGAGAAGAAGGAGGCGAGGAGGCTCAAACTTGCGGCAAGCTTGACAACGCACGCAGGAGAAATAATATAGAGCACCTACGGCGTACTCTGAGTAATAGCCCAGCCAAGCAGGGGCGGGCCGCAGATTGAAGGGAGGGATGTATATGTATACATATATGCAAGCACGATGGACGGAAGAAAAAAAAGGAACTAACTAGGACTTGGACCAGGGTTAAACTAGGTAAGATCTTGCTAGCTCGTTTCCTCCGATGGCACAGAGAGCGCGAGGCGGAGGCTAATATCTGTCCCCCGACTATACAGCCAGTGGTGTGCACCCTGCTCAATATGCTACCAATAGTTAACTCACGCTGGCTGGTTCTCATCGAATGCATGGCAACAGCGCCTGGGCCACAGTCGTTCACCCCCCTAACTAGCTACCTAGGCAGGCCAAGGGCACATCTCCAAAATATACATACCTTCCCTGGTATTAATGGCGGCTATGAGGCGTCCAGGCCCTGCTCCTGGGGTGACTGGGGGAGCTCGCCAGCATGACGCACGACCTGATGTCAAAGGCACGGCTTCCTGCTTAAAAAACTTGCTGCATGTCAGCCGTCAGCCTGTGCCGGCGGCTCCCCCCCTCCCGTTCCCCCGCCGTCTAGGGATATCATTGGACTTTGGCCTGACCACATGGTTAATCACTAAAACACAGACAACAAAAGCAGGATGGCTTGCTCAACGTCTTCCTATGGGCCTGTCCTCCCATCCCGGCTACATACTAGGGGGAGCAAACACGAGTCAAGCCTCACGGTCAACTACGGGCCACCGCGAAAGCGTTGGTCACATCTCGTTGGTCGTACGCCTCCCCAGGGGTGTTTTGAGGGACCTGCACCTCCGCATAATCAGGAGAGCTATTCTCTGTCTAGAGAGACGAGAGATGTTAAAAATTTCAGACCCTGAAAAATAAAATAAAATAACACGCTCTCATATCCTAACCACCCGGCTGTCAAGCTTCCTTCCTTCCTCAAATATAAATATATCGATCCGGACGGCGAGAGTTGGAATATTTTTCTTTCTTCTCCATCATCAAGCAAGGAACCAAAAAGCACATTGCCTTCTCTACCATCTTCATTCCAAATATACAGCAGAACAACGCAACGCAACGCAAACGCAAAGCAATCTATCTCTTTCAACATCTAACAGCACTGTTCATCCTCCCACATTTATTTTTTTTTTTTTTTACCTTTACTCGCGTTTTTTACGTGCTTATTCTGCTCCCATCACCATGGCCAACAGCCCCAATACCACTAGCCCTGAGGCCGTCAGACGTGCCCTGGAGTCTGCCAGAAACACCGTTGACGGCCAGGTTGACCCAAGAGCAAATGCGGTCCTTGAAGCTGCGATCAACGAGGTCTGGAGAAGAATACAAAGCCAGCCGGACTCCTATATCCTCAACCGAGATGAGTTCGCTTTGTTCAACTACTTCCGTGACCGTTTCAGAAACTCTCCTGTCGCCCAGCAAGCTGTTGAGCGTTTCTGGAACAACTTCAGGGGCAACCCATCTGACATCGACGGCTATGTACACCGCCGTGCATGAATGGGGGGCTTCTTTTCCTGGCTCACGCAAGCTCTATAAGGCAGCAGGCTGTCTGGGCTTCTATACTACTTTGCATGAACCAACCAACCAACCCACCGAAACACTCTCACCAGGAATTGAGGAGACGAGAGAGAGGGAGGGAGGGAGGGAGGGAGGAGGCCTGGGAGTGGAGTACGATAAGCGAGAGAACGACTCCCATTAGACGCAACTGCTCATCGATCGATCGACTTTGCCATGATACGATACCTAACCTTTCCCCTTTTTTTTCACTACACGCCTCATCAAAAGAAAACGAGGTATCCGGTATACACCGCACATTTCCCGGTCTGCCTCTTCCCTCTTTTTCCTTTTGTCTCAGTTTCATCATCACTATTTCCTTTTCTTTTTTCCCTTTTCCTTTTGTTTCAATTATCTCTTGTTTCTTTCACTTCCTAATATTTCTACTGCCGTCCCTTAATGTCTTATTTTGTTCATTTGCTTTGCTTTTCGGATTCTATGTCTGTCCTCATTGCTAGACAATGACTTTAGCGGGATTAGGGGGCAAAAACCAAGGGATGAGGGAGCTTCGGAGCTTATTGGACTGAATTCTTCTATAACTCTGGTTTGATGCTTTTTTTTTTGCTAAAGGGGTCTCTTGTCTCTTTTTTTTTTTTTTTTCTTCTCTCTTTTCTTTTCACACACGCACGTTCTCTCCCGAAGAAAACATGTATCATTAGAATAGAATGCTATTGTTCACACTCCAACGTCCGCTCCAACGCACGAGTACCTTAACAAAGCCAAAAAAAAGGGGGGGGGGAGGGGGGACGGGGGAAGAGGGAAAAAGTCTACCGAAGTCCTTGCTGAGGCTCAAAACCTGCCCTGCTACAAAAATTTTTTTTATCTGCTCGCTGGTTTATAGTTATCCATTACCTTACCTCGAGTGATGAGATTGCCTACGGAGTACGAACAACCAGATTAGGCAGTTGGACGTCGGCTCGAGTCAAAAGAGCCCGGCGGAGGCGGGGACGGAGAGAGGATCAGTCAGTAAGCGGGAGCGAACCAAGAACCAAGAAATCAAAAGAAACGACAGAAAAATTAAAAAAAGAATTAACTTATACAAAGGAAAACAAAAGAAAACAAAAAATAAAAATAAAAAACGAATCACTACAAAAACGCTACCTGGGTTATGTAAACTTAACTCTGGGTGGTTTTTAGCCTTTTGGTCGCTGGAATAGACGCTTTTGCTGGGATGGGCTACTTATTTATCCCCATTTGGAGTATGGGTGTATAGCCGATGTGTGGCTGGTTGCATCTGAAATTGTGGAAAGCTTCTCGAGCCAAAACAAAAACCTTCCCGCGTGGCTTATCCCGCGCTTCGATAGGAAGAGTCGAAAAGGAGGTGAAGTCTTTTTTTCTCCGACCGGTGGTGGTTATGGAGGTCGTGGAGGTCAGTTATATGACGATGATGATGACACCGCGAGTAAGGTCGGCCCACTGGAGGGGGGTCCAAGACTGGTCCAGTGTTACGCTGCTGCCCGAAAGTACAGTACACAACTCCATCGTGAGCTGGCTCCTGCTCGGGGGTAGAGGGGGGAGTTGGGAGAGTCAGGAGGTCGGGGAGCCGACATAGCGAGATAGCGATCTTATCGGTGGTTTTGAATAAGGAGGAGAGCACAACTGCGGCGTCGACATGGCGAGAAAGGCTCTGCCATTGGTGGCTGTGAGGCTAGATCCCTGCTCCAGGCGCTTCCAGGCAGCAGCAGGCAGAGAAACACCAGCATGTCTGTCTGTGGAGATGCCTGCGGTCTCCCAGCGTCCAACCAACGGCTGCCTGACAGCGAAGAGTATTAGTTAACTACCTTGTCGGAGTGGATAAAATCTGGATCGATATCACGTAGCCTTGCATATAATGCGAGTGAGAGCATGCTCGTAAGCAGTGAGTGAGCCAGGGAGATGGCCAGGCATCAACTCGGCATATTGAGTTATCAGTTAGTTAGAGCCAAGGGAGGGAAAGCTGGTCCATAACTGCCTAGGTAGGAAAATGGAAGACGCTCTGTGGTCGGCATCAGAAACTGCGCCAGGGCGGAGTACTTAGTTGGTTGCGGGGGGGTGAAGATTGCTTGCTTGTTCGCTGGCTGGCAGTTAATTGCATAGTTATAAGAGCGAGGTAAGGAGATTGAGTCTGCGTAAGGGTAACTAGTTGAACAGTTAAGGGACTAGGGGGGAAGGATAAAAAAGACAAGACTTCACTAAGACGCGGGCTATTGAGAGCTATACCGACCGGCGTGAGGCCAGGACGCGAGCAGGAGGAAGAGGAGGCTTCGAAGACGTTAGATGCAACACTTAACGGCGGGTATCTGGCTATATCAGAGCAAGAGACCCGTTAACAGCTAGCTAGCTAACAGTCGCCGGGCCTTGACTCGTTCGTTGCCGATGACGATAAGACGTTCTGCTATAACTAGTTAACTATAACTAACTAGTTAGTTAATGGTTATATGCTCAGCCAACCAGCGACATCGACTGCGCAGAACCAACTGAAGACAACCACACGAGGATGTGTATCAGCCAGTAAGCTAACTAACTAGCTCTTTTAACGGCCTCCGCGCTTCGCTGTGCCGGCACCAGGTCTCCCAGGCACTCCGTAGCAACCAACCAACTAACTACCTTGACCAAACGCCAGGCATGAATGAACACACCTGGAATATAGAAACAGAGTTGGCCAGGGATGCTCGACAGCAAGACCTGAGGCCATTTCTTTTCTTTTCTCATCCTTTCGTCCTCTGGCCGCTCTCGACTCAGCTCAACTCACTCCCAGAGGTGTCGAGTCGGATGCACGTATGGACATGTGTGTCTGCATGCATCAACCGTGTGATCAACGGAAAACCCGGCAGTCAGGTTCGACCAGCCAGATTTAAAATCCAGACAGGCCACTGGAAGAGCAAGGAAATACCTCCGCAAGGGGTTGTGCCGCTGGTTTAGGTTGAACACGTTGGGATGGACGCCCTGGGCTTGCATGTCGTCTCTCTCACGCCCTCATATTAGACGCTGATCCCATGCACGGCGACAGAGAGTTCGGCTGGGTGAAGAAGGGGAGCAGCAGCCACGTCCTACCTGCGGGAGAGGCTCACTCTGCTGCTGCTCGTTTCTTCTTGCTTGGATGTGAGGCATCACCGAGCGCAGGAGACAGAGCCAGCCAGCAGGCAAGATACTGTACTGTACATCACACAGTTGTCGCCAGCTCGTGTACGTTTTAACTTAAGTTAACTCAACTCGTTTCGTCGGTCCAGGTACTACTATGAATAGCCTGGCTGAACAAGGGCTAAACTCAGAATTCATCCTATAGAACCCTCTTTCTTTTTGCTTTTCGCCAGGTTGCAACAGACATGCAGAGCGTGCAGTCAGGCAGAGACAGACGGCCATGAGTTAGAACTCTCTCTCCGAGTCCCTCGTCTGTGTTGGGAACTTAGTAGTTAGTTACTCCGTGGTCAAGTAACTTTTGCTTACTCGGTCGAATAACGTCGTCATATGATGGTGCAGGTATGAGACCGAGACTACCAGGGAAACGAGAAGACAAGAAGCCGCCGAGATGGACGAAAGATAGGAGCATGTTTCATACATACATATATGCGAGTGTCCTCCGCACAACTATCTTGCGGGCCAGCCACGGAAGGAAGGCTGTGGTGGAAGGCGAAAAAGGCGATTGATAGGCGGAGGAACAAGAACATGGTATTAAAAAAGTGATAGAAAGTCTATAGAAGTGATACACTGCAGCCGGAGTCCAAAATGGCTAAAAAGAAGAGAGAGCCAAAGGGAAGAAGCAATATGTTATGACGGCATAGGCGTGTGTCAAAACGACCGTCAGGCGGACACGCAGCCAGGGGGGGTAGGGTTGAAGATCGAAGTAAAATTCCGTGATCAGACTGAACAGGTCATAAGGGACAGAGGGAAAAGAAAAAAAGGGGGGGACTCCTGCTCCTTCAGAACTTTCCAGCTTCTACGTCCTTTCTGGATATCCCGAGCCGCCTCTTGTCAAGACCCATAGACATCAGAAACCTGACGGAATCATCCCATTCCGTCTGTTTCCGTTTTGCGTCCCACTTAAGCTCTTCCGCCATGAGATCTATGACGACAGGAAGCGTCTCCAAGGCGGCTTGGGCGTTTAGGAAGGCCAGTCTTGTGCGTCGGGCGAGCACGTCGACGGCGGTCTGGGCGTACTCGCGGCGCACAGCGTATCGGACCTCGCCATCAATGAACGGGTAGAGTGGTGAGAGACGCACGCCTCTAAGCGGGAATCGCATGTCGGTTGGATTTGACAAAGCGGCCACCTCCCACGCTCGATCACCGTAGGATTGGGTAAGGTGTTTGGCTACATCAGTTGCGAGACCAAAATGCTGGATAAGGTTGATAAACAGCGTCTTGGAGTATCCGTGGGCGCCCATCAGTCGAACCCTGTGTGTCTGGCAGGTTCCGTCCAGCACGGCGTTATCACTGTACGAAAGGACACCGCTGGTGTTGGGAGTCGCGAGAGGTTTTCCCGGTCGGAGGTTGAACTGCTTGATAGCTTCGTCAACTGCCTCCTCGGCCATTTGCCGGTAGGTGGTCCATTTACCACCAGCACAGGTTAGTAGACCCGAATTCGAGACCGAGATCAAATGGTTGCGCACAAGAGACTCTGTGTTTTTGGCCTTGGGGTCCCGAACCAAGGGTCGAATTCCAGACCACGCAGCCAGGACATCGTCACGCTGGACGTTGATGTCGGGTGCCAGATATCCTCGGATCTCACTGAGAATCCAGTTGATGTCTTCTTCAGACGGGATAGGATCCTTGGTGATCTCAGTCGGGCTGTCCGTGGTGCCTGCAATGGTGTTCCCTTGCCAAGGCAGGAAGAAGATAACTCGACCGTCTGAGGTTGAAGGGTCTATCAGTCCCATCTTTGCAGGGCTGTAGTACCCTGGAAGGATGATATGCACCCCAGAACTCGGTGCCACGATCTCATTGATGCTTGGGTCGTCCAGCTTCCTGATGGAATCGGTGAACGGACCTGTGGCATTGATTATGCTTTTGGCCTTGATCGTGAACTCGCCATCTTTCTCCCCATTTCTCTCCGCGATCAAGTCTTTGACTTTGGCACCGTTTAGCTTCCCATTGGCATCCTTCGTCAACCCTGTCACTTCCATGTGATTGACCACGGTACAGCCGTATAGTGCAGCCGTCATTGCCAATGACACGTTCATGCGAGAGTCATTATGCGCACCATCTATAAAACATAAGTCCTAGTAAGTACTCAAAGCGCTATCACAATCCTAAAAAAAAAAAAAAAAGGTACTTTGGACCACGAACCATAGTAAACCAGGGCTCCAAAAAGGTTATCTTTCCGAAGCATGGGAAATGCATCCAAGGCTTTACTTCGGGGCAAGAAGTACGAGCTTTCAATGCCCTCGGAGCCAGCAAGAAAGTCGTAGCATTTCGTACCAGCCCAGAAATAGGGCACCTGCCACCATTTCTGCACTGGCACCATGATGGGGAGCCACATGGACAGATGGGGGGCTGTGTGTAGGAAATACTTTCTCTCTCGCAAAGCCTCCTTCACCAGCGAGTACCTTCATCGTAAAAAGAAGAGAAAAAATCCTTTAGTCAGCCAGGGAAGGGGATGATAACAAGGCGGGTGAGAACATACTGGTTGTAGTCCATCTCCCAAACCGCCTTCTCCAAGTAGCGGACGCCTCCGTGAACCAGCTTTGTACTCTTGCTACTTGTCCCAGCGCTGAAGTCATCGCGCTCGACCAGAGCAACACGCAGGCCTCGTGTTGCAGCATCGAGAGCAATTCCAGACCCAGTAGCCCCTCCACCGATCACCAGAATATCATACACATTGTCGTCTTCCTTTCCGGCTCTCGAGCTCTCGGAGCTCTCGGCTGAACTCTGCGGTTGTCCCTGCGCTGACTCAACCACACCCTGTAAGGCTTTTATGGGCAGCGCTGTAGCAGAGTGCCTTCTCAAGTCGTTGATCTGCTCATCGCGCGACTTAATGGGGGGAAACTGAGGCGGCTGAAGCTTTCCACCGAGAGTAGTCGGCGGAGGGACGGCGGCAGGATCGGAACCAGGGAGGTTGCGCGGTCGATATGAGATGTAGAGAAGTCCTCCACCGCCAACCACAGCTCCCGCTGTATAGAGAAGAGGTTTCAGAACTCGGCGTCTCTGGTTGAATGACATGACAGCACTAATTGAGAGGTATCAAACAGTCAGCATTCGGTTGCCAGATTCTGATAATGGGCTGGTCTCGGCAAATCTAGGGGAGCGCCGGATCCCAACGCCCTCACTCACCTTTCCTTTTCCTTTTCTTTCCCAGTTCAGCTTGAAGATTTGAGGCCAGTGGCTTTCCTTTCTGAAGCAATTGAAGAAGAGAAACAGAGTGTGTCTCCGAAGTTTTTGCGACGACTGGTCCGTGTGGAGCAGGCGGTCACGACACTCACCCAGCTTTGTGTATTTGGTGGGCACGGGCTGGAGCTGGCAGCGACTTCTGACTCGAAGATCGATCTATTTACCTCTGGTTATATTACACAGTCCTGAAACCCAGCCATGCGGTGGCTCTCAGGAGGCCGGGCCATCTTGTCGCCGCATCTACGTCAGTCGCTGTGCGAGCAAGCCCGGAAGCTTCTCCTGCTCAGCTCAGCCCTGCCAGGCCTTTCTGGTATGGCTTGTCGGCCACTGGGTCAGCATGTGCGCCGGAAGAGGGAAGTGCCGAGGCTGCCCAGCCCGGCGTCGGGCGCCCAACAGCCGCGCGGCACCGGCAGATAGTTAATCCGATAGCCGACTTGGAGCAGACCTCACAAGGCGGAACTCTTCCGCCATAAGCGCCGCTTCGAGAAAGGAACGTGCTCGAGGCAGACACCCATGTTAAGCGCGGGGTTTCCCCCTATAATTAGAAGCCCAGCTGGTGTTGAGAGAGGAAAAAAAAAAAAAAAAAATTTCATAATCTGTTGAGAAAGAAGGATGATCGGTTGAAAGGAGCTACTGTTATTCTTCGTCAGACGGCCGCTCCCCCACTGGAGCCGTATCTTCAACATGGTGTTCGCAAAGACGTTCTCGAGCTTGGTGGACTACCCACTCGAATCTTTGCTCATTTTGTCATGTGTGCTCTCCACTGTGTATATCCTTAGCAATGAATTCGTGCGGTACATGGCCCGCATTAAGGGTTTCAAGGGTCCGCCGGGGCTTCTCATGATTGGAAACCTCGAGCAAATCCAAGAGAATGCCGCTGAGCAATATCGGCAGTGGTCTGCAGAGTACGGCCCCGTGTACCAGATCCAGTTGGGCAATATCCCTATCATCGTGGTTAATACCGCTGTTTCTGCAAAGGCACTGTTCAGCCAGAATTCTCAAGCATTAAGCTCGCGACCTGAGTTTTACACATTCCACAAAGTGAGTTGGCTAGATCACATTTTTTTCCTATAGGTACTGACAAGCTGGACTAGGTGGTGTCAAACACCGCCGGCACAACAATTGGAACTTCTCCTTATAGTGAATCCCTCAAGAGGCGAAGAAAGGGAGCGGCGGCTGCTCTCAACAAACCATCTGTCCAATCATATGTTGGCCATTTGGATCTTGAGACTAAGGATTTCGTGGCTGAACTGCTTAAATATGGACACGCGGGGAATACGGCCATTGACCCCATGCCTATGATTCAGCGGCTCAGTCTTAGCCTTGCCCTTACCCTAAACTGGGGTGTACGGATGGCATCGCAAGAGGAGGAGCTTTTCAAGGAAATCACACATGTCGAAGATGAGATTAGTCGATTCAGGAGCACCACTGGAAACTTACAGGATTATATCCCTCTTCTTCGCCTGAACCCCTTCAATTTTGGGTCCAAGAAAGCCGCAGAAATGCGGGATCGCCGAGACAAGTACTTGCAACACTTGAATGCTGGCCTCGAGGAAAGGATGGCCAAGAATGAGCATCAGCCATGCATTCAAGCCAATATTATGCTTGACGAGGAAGCTAAATTGAATAAAGAAGAGCTTACTTCAATTAGCTTGACTATGCTTTCTGGAGGATTGGATACCCTGACTACATTAATAGCTTGGAGTATTGCTCTCTTTTCCCAAAGACCCGATATCCAGGATAAAGCTGCAGACGCTATCAAAGAGTTTTATTCTCAAGACCAACCGTTATGTGATGCAATGGATGACCAAAAGTGTGAATATATCGTTGCGTTGGGCAAAGAGTGTCTTAGGTATAAAATAATGCTCCACACCGGGTTACATTTATGTTGGACGCGCAGGGCACGGCCTTGGAAAGAAAACTGGGCTGACTGTATGCTATAGATATTTCACGGTCCTCCGCCTTGCACTCCCCCGAACTTCGATCAAGGACATCACATATGAGGACAAAGTCATCCCAAAAGGAACCGTCTTTTTCCTCAATGCATGGGCATGTAACATGGGTCAGTATACTTATTTTATCCTCTTCCGTCCTATCTGTGCAGTATCCTCGATCATACGTGCTAACCCTTCTATCTTTGAAGACCCCTATGTATGGAGTGATCCCGAAGTGTTTCGCCCCGAGCGCTGGATCGAAAAACCAGAAGCACCACTATTTACATATGGCCTCGGCTATCGCATGTGCGCTGGATCATTGCTGGCCAACCGCGAGATTTATCTCATCCTAATGCGCATGCTAAACAGTTTCAGAATTACTTCAGTCGAAAAGATCAACACTCATCCAATCCACGGAAATTCTGATCCAACGAGCTTGGTGGCCATCCCTAATAAATATAAGGTGAAATTTATACCGAAGAACAAAACTGCACTCGATGCGGCCATTTCTAACTTCTCTTCGAAATAATACGATACAAGGACTTTTGTATATGTGTTTAGTCTGCCCTGACAACGTTTGTTATATATATCAAAGTCTATAACTAGTATTTATTTGAATTTTTTTTTTCTTTGCTATAGTTCTACCTCGTACTCTCCGATAGCTCTAACGGGACATTAATATGATCAGCGTTGTATTAATGCTCCATTTATTAAAGACCTCAGGAATAATCCATAGTTCTCCAACAAGTCTTACCTTCCTGCCGAAGGGCCCCTAGGATGCTTCGTATCTAACACAACTCATAAAATAGCACATTTCGCCAAATAAAACCCGTTCCAACTCCTAGTGCTCATACTATTCTAATATGTTCAGTAGACTGAAAAGCGGACCACTTCGGTGAGAAGAAAAAAAAAAAAAAAAAAAAAAATTAACAGCAGCCTCGTTCCTATAGTCTATCGCTTAGTCCCTGGGGCCTGCTGTTCCAGTAATATCCGTACAAGGGGAACTGGAAGGGAGTCTGCGACGTTATCATCTTTCTTGGTACCCTCTTCTTGATTAACATCTGGCGAACTCTCTTGGTTTTTGGCTTGAGGAAGGCCACCTAGTCCAGCTTAGTATGGAAGATAACCACTTTACGAGCAGGGTAGACAAGTGGACTTACTCGCTGCCATATTAATGACCTTGAGAACGCTGTCAAAATTCGCCATTATACAAGAAACAGCTAAAAGCAAGGGACGCGGTTAATGCTCCGAAATAATATCTACTTTATGAATGATGATGGCTCTTACCTTCGGCTCCATTTTGCAATGTTGCAAGTTTTGCTTCCAACGCCTCTAACTGTTTTGTAAGGGCATTGCTGGTATCACGTAGCTGTTGGATATCCTCTAACTCCGCCCGTTTTGCAGCTACCAGGGCAGCCAAACTTGAGGATTGACTTCCAGGGCGGGATGATAAGGTACCTGTAACGGAAGAAGGGAATATTGCGGTTGCACGCTTATTGTAAGACATCGGGTTATGGTAGCGACGACAGTTCATACAAAAAATAAAAAATCACCCTCATCTCTGTCGCAAAGCCCACGTAATGTATGGTTGCTTTCTGGAATCGCGAAGTCCTGGAGCATCACCACTTACTACGAAGACGCTCTGCGGTTGGTTGTTTCGAACATGGGAAAATGAAGTATCACGTGTCATACGTGTAACAATACGGTAATCAGGCATACATCGATTATATAATGAGGGAGAAACGGGGACTAACTGTAAGTGGATAAACATAAACAGTGTCAAGCCAAGACCTTCTCCTACGACCGCAAACACAACTGTTGATTTTACTTCCGTCAAAGAGAACATCGCAAGAAGACGAAACTCGACACATCGACCCCTGGAGGCTCTTAATCTCATATGCTAACGACTTTGACCCGAGAGGGATCACCTTTATCGCTGAGCTAAGACCACGGTCTCGACCAGTTATGGCTCGATTAAATGACCTACCCACAACGTTGGACTCCATCGAGTCCTGTATGTTTCCCCTAGCTGTCTAGAGAGTTCACAGTATTGTAGGAAATTAGCTACTAACAGGATATGCATTAGTAAAGCGGCGCTTCATCAGACAAAACCGCGAGATTGCCCGAGCCAATTCAGTACAGTCCATTCGCATAAGAACGCTCGAGGCAGAGGTATCGCATCTCCTGGCCGAAAATATCACACTACGAGAAGGAATTATCTCCGCAAATAATGAGCTTGAGCAATACCGGACGGGATCGCATTTCGAAAAACGCCTCAACTCTCTGCGAGAGAGATTCGAGTCAGGCTTGGGGGAGTTGACGGCACTCGTTAAGGATCTCAACAAGTTACCGTCCCAGAGTTGTGAAAACAATGCCCCTACTCTGAAAGAAAATCAGCCCGTGAAGGAACCGGAAACAAAACGAATTACTCCCAGAAATCTCTTACGGCTTTCGGAGGATAACGGCCTATTAGACGATGGCAACTGCCTGCCCGCAATTCCCGAAGATAAAGCGTATGCCCCAGAAGTCGACGAAGAGCCAGAAGAGGAAGAGATGCCACAGATGGATGATGCCATTGGACAAGTTCAATCTATGGATAATGTTGGGATGTCGGTAAAGGGGCCTGATGCTGATGCTCCCCTGAATGAGCAGGAGGAGCCATCAATGCCATGCCCTACAAACGAAAACTCAGTAGCAGACGTCCTACGAAAAGTTCGGCCCATAAATACCCGACCAAAACGACGAGACAGCTCTTTGGTCGAGACTTTGATATCAAAGAAAGACGTTGATACCAACAATGATGAGGCTGTTCCTGCGATTGCTGGCTCTAAACGGAAATTTGACGCACACGAATCCGAAAACCTTCCGCAAGCTAAGCAACAGATAGATGAATTTCAATATACTCTGACGAAGAAGAACCCGAATACACTACCAGGCGACATTGGGACTGGAACTGAAAATGAACCGGGCCTCTTGTCCGTGGGCAAGGAAGGCATCAAGAATTCAACGGAACCTGTAAAGACTCGAAAGGCTCTTGAACCTAGTAAGTATATCCCTATTGCTTGTCTGCTTAATTTTTCGGATTTTATCTGACGCGGAGTGGTAGAAAACGTGAATTTAAACCCAAGGTCAACAGTGAAAAAAGTTGCACATAATAATGTTGCTTCTGAGAAACGAAAGTCATCTGGACGGAGAAAAACAGAAGGAGGTCGCAATCCCCGCCGTAAAGCTTCAGATCTGCCGACGAATGCTAAACTAAATGTTACTGTTGACGAGGGTGTGATTCCTTTGGATAAACCCATCGAGATCGCCCTTGATGACCCGAGCCAAGATAATGTATCCTCAGAGATACTTGTTGACAGCACAAGCAGCCTGGACAAGCATTTGCAATCGGAATATAAATCCACAAGCACCATCGGGCAGCAAGCTCAGCGATCAAGACCGTCTAGACGCTCGCGTGGGCCAGTAAACTATGCCGAGCCTAGTCTGAGAGGAAAAATGAGACGTCCCACCGAAGACCTAGTGGATGCAGTAGCAGACCATACGATTAAGCGACTTTCGATGTCAAATAATGACCATCTCGCTGGAATCGAGGCTGGGTTATCTACTAAATCCAGTGTCAAGAAAAGTCTGCCCAAAATATATGATCAAGATAGTCTTGAGGAGAAGGATCTCGAAGTGGCTGAGAAGAGCAACTACTCCTCTAGCGAAGATGATACAGACACAGATGGAACATGGCCAAATCAGGAGCAAAGGCATAGATCTATGCGAGCACCTACTCCAGACCCAAGTATCAGACCAGTGAGACATTCTCGCAGGAATTCGTCACATCCGAATTATAGACTGGAAATGAATCCAATGGCACATGTACCGGTATAACCGGCTGTGATCAAGCCATTACACATGGGTCAGAAGTTGGTTTTTCAGTGTGGTCAAAGCCAGAGTATTGCAGTCTAAATCTAATACATGTATATGCGAAGCGCTGCCATGCGATTTTTAATAATGTGAACTTGAGACCAACACAAGAACATGCACTATTTCCTTACCACCCTTTGTATTCTTGAGTAGTGAATCATCCAATGTCTGGACAAATAATCCATAAGTGCATAGCTGGGCTTGTTTCCTTTTCTTGGGCTTGAAGGTGGTGGCCTTCGTATATCCCAGATTTCGCGCCACCATTCGCACAATCATCTCATGTCAATCTATTGCCGTCTTCCCTGTCCTGCATGAACACCCATGCCCCTTGAAAGGCATCGGCTGGAAATATACGATGCTTGCCACGAAAGCAGTGATTCATGGGATCCGGGTGAACCTTATTTACCAGATGCCAATCTCTTTGATATGTTGGATCCAATGTGACTGAGAGCTGCGCACCGCATGCATGATTTTCTTGTTGGATCCGGAGTCCGAAGCGGTTTAATATGTTGCTTGGCATCTATTTCTTATTTTTTGGAATCCGTTCATAAGCGTTTGGTCTTGGTTTGCGTTTCTGGTGGTCTGAGCATCCGGATCCCTGGTTACGATATGCACGTTAGCTCATGTCCGGTTCAATAATGGAGTGTTCGTTTTTGGCATCGAGAAGGGCTTACCTTGAGAGAATGTGTCTTGTCTGATCGGCCCCCACCACTATCATCATCAGAGTCATCGTCGAAGTCCGAGTCTGACGACTCTGATTCAGAGCTACTCTCGCCTGCAGGCCGTGGCTTATGGTAGATACAACAGACTATGGTGAGGGTAAGTGGGCTGACCTTGTAGGACTTTGGAAGGGCAACTTACCTTTAGAGCTTTTCCTCCCCTGACCTTCGTTATCGACAACGTCCTCTGCCCATTTTATGTGCCTCTCTTGTTCTGGCGCTTCACTACTTTGCTCATCTGCCTCTCCTCTAAGCCTTAGAGTACCTGTTAAAGGTAGCCCACCCCGCTCTGGAGTAGTGGTTTGAGTGTTTGTAGTTGTTCCCGAGGCATTTTGAGCCGAAGCCCCAATCATGGCTACTATATCCGGAATACGCTTGTAGGCCCCTTAACAGCAAACAGAATCAAAAGATGTAACGCTTTTGCTCTGATAAAGACGAGAAAACTGTTGAAGTGCTTGCTGACCTTTAAAACGTCTTCAACTGGCACAAGGAACAAAAAAGAAAGACGTCACGAGAGCTTGGCTTCTTATCGATCTGATGACTAATCCAGGAAGTCTAAAAAATTGTCCCGCCAGCTGAATCTGAAATTGGCCGGGGTAGGATGAAGATGAGGATGAAGAGTCTCCAATTGACGAGGAAGAACGACAACAGAAACAGGAAGAAGAGAAAGGTCGTAACTGATCTTGAAGATGTCGTTCTCTAACCTCGTGTCGGACATTGCGTTCAGAGACTCCCAGGGCGATGAGCGTATACCCAAAGGCCCTCGCTCCCATGCTGCTGCCCCGTCTTCATACCAGAGCACAACCACAAGTGTCAGCATTTCAGGGAGCATTTCCAGCCAGCTTCATGCAGGATACAACCACCCGTTAACTAGAGAATGGCAGGCAGAAAGACAATTAACCAAGGTGAGACTCGCAAGCCTTCCCCTACTGTGCACGGTCCTCGCTAAGTATGAGTGCATCTAGGCCATGCTCATGTACCCCCTCTTCATCACGGACAGACCCGACGACCAAATTCCCGTGCCTTCGCTACCAAACCAATACCAGATTGGCCTGAACAAGCTGATCCCATTCCTTAAGCCATTGATTAAAAAGGGCCTAAGGTCCGTCATCCTCTTCGGCGTACCATTGGCCCCAGGAGCCAAAGATGCACTGGGGACCATGGCAGATGACCCTTCCGGGCCCGTGATACAAGCCATTCGCCTATTACGCAGCACTTTCCCCTCGTTGTACATCACGGCAGACGTGTGTATGTGCGAGTACACCTCCCACGGCCACTGTGGCATCCTGCGCGAAGACGGATCATTAAATAACACGCTCTCAGTTGAGAGGCTGTCTGATATCGCTGTGGCGTATGCACAAGCTGGAGCACACTGCGTTGCTCCCTCTGATATGAATGATGGACGGGTCAGGGCGATCAAGCTCAAGCTCATTGAAGCAGGTATTTCGCATCAAGTGGTTCTCATGTCCTATGCGGCGAAGTTTAGCGGGTGTCTCTATGGGCCCTTCAGGGATGCTGCAGGATCATCGCCTTCGTTCGGTGATAGAAAGTGTTATCAGCTCCCGCCTAGTGGGAGGGGGCTGGCGAGGAGAGCTATTCAGAGAGATATTAACGAAGGGGCTGATATCATCATGGTAAAGCCTGCAGGAGCCTATTTGGATATCATTAGTGACGCGAAGGAGCTAGGGAGGGATCTTCCTGTTGCCGCGTACCAAGTTAGCGGGGAATATGCAATGATCCATGCTGGTGCGAAGGCCGGTGTATTTGAGCTTAAGGCGATGGTAATGGAGAGTATGCAAGGAATACTCAGGGCTGGTGGGAGTATTGTGACGACGTACTTTGTTCCAGAGCTGCTGGACTGGTTAGAGTCTTAAACCTGACTGATTTCGGGGTATATAGTCAAGTTCAGCTTCGAGGATGCAGCGTATGGTGGTTGAAAATACAGGATTAAGAGCTTTGATATGAATATGGATAGCAGGGCATTACCGGGAAATGTAGATTCTTCTCGAGAGGAATAAACCGACTACGATACATAAACACGTTAAAAGAAGAGACAGACAGACGGAGGGACAAGACAGGAACGCCATTTTCGTCAACGCCATTAAACCAGGGAGTTAAATTGGCAGTAAAGGGCGTAAACAGAAGCAAAATGTATGCTCACTAGAGGCGGAAGCATAGGATGAAAAAAAAAAAAAAAGAAAGAAAAAAAGGATCCTGATCAAGACAAGTAAGAAACGAAAAGACAGGGTAGTAAAATCTGAACTGAGAGTGTATCGAACAGCGCAACAACGGAGAACGGATAACAGAGATAGATTGACGTTGGTGGAAAAGGAAGACGATAACGGCCCAGAGAATGCAAATGCCATTCGCCTGATTTTGAATTTGATATTTTTTTCTCCTTTCACCCTTTGCGCTTTTTGAAAGCAGTCGTGGCTAGCATAAAATATGGGGGGCAGGGAATGAAAAGTTGAGCATCAGAGGTAGTAAAATATATACGCCAAAACGGGGCTGCGTGACGGGGTGTCAGGGGCTGTAGCATTCAAGGACGCCCCTGCGGCAGTCAAGAATTAACTGCTGAAGAAGTAAAGAGGAGGAAGAAAAATAAAATAAAAAATAAAAAGGTGACTATTATGGAGGATCACGATGAGGCCTGGAGCCTTTAAGGGTAGTTTGGCTTCAACCCCTGGAAGCCGTAGGGCAGAATCTGCGAACGGACCACCTCGCCAGGGGCAATGTAGGCGCCACGTCCGAGCGTGACGCCAGGAAGGATAGTGCATCCGGCACCAATCCAGCAGTCTTCAGCAATGACGACGGGGCGCCCCTGGTACCTTGACTGGGAGCCCTTGCGTTCCTGCATGCTGCCAATAGCCATTGAGCTGAGGATGGTGACGTTGGGGCCGATCCAGGTGTGGGCGCCGATGTTGATGGAGCAGTCGTCGGCGAAGAAGCAGTTTTCGGAGATGAGCACGTCCTCGCCAATGTTGATGTTGTAACCGTAGTGGCAGTTGAAAGGGGACTCGAGCACGGCGCCAGGGCCGAGGGAGCCGGTGGGAGTACTGGTTGACGGTGGGGGGGCGTCTGGAGATGGTTCAATGGGAGGCGGCTGGAGGATCTGAGTGAGCAGACGTGTCTTTTCTGCGGAGCTGATGCCGTAGAGCGGGTTACCCGCATTGGTGAATCGCCAGAGCGCGGACTTGCATTGTTCACGATCGCGGACGAGTTCGGGGTCGAATGGTCGGTACTGTTCACCGCTGAGCATCTTTTCCTTTTCTGATTTCTCAGTAGGACCCTCAAAGGGTACATGGGGTTCCATGCTGCTGAGCGCAAGACGAGCCTGGGTGGGGTAGTTACCCGGGTCGACTCTTGGAGGAGCGTGGTTTGGACGCGGCTCCATGTTGGATTGGAAGACTGGAAGACCGGGTTTTTGGTGCGCGTTGTTGCCGGAGCCGTTGTTGGCGGGGCTGTTGTTATTGTTGTTGTTGTTGCTGCCACTGGCGGCGTTGGCGTGTGAGTGGTGGTAGTCTGCCTTTGGAGGTTCCGGACGCGACATGTCGGGCATGACGGGCCCATCTCTGTATTCCATCTTCGGGGCGGAATCCTGCATCATATGATGGTTGGCGGCCTGCCACGAGCCCTTTTGCCATGCCACGCGAGCGACAGAACTGTTGGGGCTGGTCATGTAAGCCTGAGCTCGCTCGCTCTCTTCAACCGAGACCGGTCTGGCCTTGCTTCCGTCGGGGAGCATGGGACCGCCCATTCTGGAATCATGCCGCTGGGGGCTCATATCCTGCATGTACATGTTGGGCGGTTCAGGATAGCGGTCCTTGGACTGAAGTGGGATGGGGCCTTTGGTCTGGGACGGCTTCTGCCAGGTGCTGCGGACCGAGTACCCTTCACAGGGGAACCCACCGCGAATACAATTGTTGCCTGCAGAAAAGAAGTGTCAGAATACGAGTTTTGAGTTATATAGGCCATAATTTAATTAAGAACAAGGGCAACGACCAAAAAGGATAACTGCGAAAAATAAAATAAAATAAAAATAAAAATAAAAATAAATAAAAATTGAAGGGGTGTAAAAGTAGGGTAAAACTTACAAGAGGGATGCTGCTCGTCGCACTTTTTCTTTCTTCGCCGGCAAGTCATGCAGCCGGTCTTGGTGCGGTTGCTGAAGACTCTCTTCCGCTTCGGCGCAACTTGGGAGGCACTGGGAGACTGGCTCTGCATGTTGTGAGCCGACGAACCACCGCCACCCTGCATCTCCATGGTGGAGGCATTTTCAGAAGGAGTCTCGCTCTGGACCTCGCGCTGCAGAGCCTCGGCCAGCTGAGCATCGGAAGCGTCCATATGCTGCTGCGGCTTGGGGTGTCGTTGCGAGCTACTCATCTCGTAGTCCCAGGCGACATTGCCGGTGCCTGGCCGGGCGTCGTCTGGGCGTTCAACGCTGGTATATGGTTGCTGCTGCTGCTGTTGTTGTTGCTGCTGCTGCTGCTGGTGATGGTGAGGGTGTTCTGAATTGCCATTTGCAGCAGCGGGCGGTGGTTGTGAGTGAGGATGGTCAGCAGTCAACGGACCGGGGCTCCGTACGAGGTCGGCGTTGTGACTGTCGATGCTGGATCGCTTGCGCTTGTTTGACGAAGCGGCAGTGCCGGTACTGTTGTTATTGGCAGCAGCAGCAGCAGCAGAAGAAGAAGAAGAAGAAGAAGCAGAAGCACTGTTTGTGTTGTTGTTGTTGTTGGCGGCGGCGGCAGTGTTGGCGGTGGGAGTGGTGGTGCTGCCGTTGTTGTCCTGGGCTGAAGCAGCGTCTTCGCGGTCGACGGGCGAGTCACGAGACCCGTCCGCGCTTGCTGGCTTATCCGAGAGAGGCAAGTTGGCGCCGTTGCTGGCGGCAGCGCTGGCAGTGCCGCCGTTGTTCCCGCCGCTGTGTCCACCGACGGTGCCGTTGCTGTTGGCTGCGCCGGCACTGTTGCTGCTGTTGCTGCTGTCGTCGCGAGAGGGCGACGGACGCATGTCGGCCTGCTGTCCGTTCATGAGCGAGGCCGAGCGATCTCTGCCGTTAACCGCGGTGAAGCTGGAGGGACTCTGTTCCGGGCTGGTCTCAGCCGCGATGTCCCGGCTGCCGCTGGGCAGCGGCGCAGGTGCGACGACGGACATGAAGTCGACGACGCAGAGGGAGTCGAGCAGTCCTAGCGATGAAAGGAAGAGGACAATACGATGGTCTGCTTCGTGGTTCCCTCTGCTGGTTGATGCGACTCGTTTGGGTGGGTGTGGGCGAACAATGCGACAGCAGAGAACCAAAGGAGAGAGGGAAAAAAAAAAAAAAAAAAAAAAAAAAAAGGGCCAGGCGGCAGTCGAGCGGCAAGGCAAAAGTAGAAGCAGGCCACGAAGGCTTACTCCATGTAGATGCGAGTACTCTGTGTAAACAGAGAAGATAGAGAAGCTAGAGATAGGTGAGGCGGGAGGGAGAGCTGGCAGCGACGGGAGGGCGGGAGCTGGAGCGGCGAGAAGTAGGCGAGCGAGGCGAGGGTTTAGACGCGAGGGAGAAGAGAAGAGGGCGGCGAGGAAGGAGAGGGAGGGAAGAAAGGGAAGAAGAGCGAGAAGGGAAGAGAGCGAAAGGCGAAGGGGGGAAGAGACGGCGCTAGTGAGAGGGCCTGCAACCGCCGGCGCTGGGGGCAACGGGCTGGCGGCAGCGAGACGAGCAGCTTGCTTAGGTTAGCGAACCCTCGTCGTCCTCGTCGTGCTCGTCCCGTGCGGGTGCGAGTTGGTTGGTGGGTGGCCAGGGGAGGGGCATGCAAGCCAGCGTCAGCACCAGCATCAGCACCAGCATCAGCACCAGCATCAGCACCAGCATCAGCACCAGTAGCATCGCCGCGTTTCGCTGGGCCGGCTGCAGCAGCCAGCAGCCAGCAGCCCAGCAGCGCCCAGGGAGCCCAGGGGAGCCCAGGAGCTAGCAGCGCGCGAGACAAAGGCAGGGAGGCAGCGCACCCTCGCAACTCTCAGCAGCCGAAGGGGAAACGAGCTTTTACCGCCTGCTGGCTGGGTGGGCGGCTGGGCGGATCGCGCATGGGGGGGGGCGAACTTTGGGCGCTGCCAGGCCGGCTAGCTCGACAGGCCGCCTGCGCGCTGCTCGCCGCTCGTTGGCTGGCCGGCGCTCCCGGGGCATCCCGGCGGGCCCCCCGCTGGGTCTCCCCCCTCCCTCTCCCCCCTTTCGCTGCGTCTCTCCCCTTCGCTCGCCTGCTGGGTTGGCCTGCCTCGGTGCTGGGCTGGGCTGGGCTGGGCTGGTGCTGCTGGGAGGACGCTAACTCGGGCAGTGGGCGTTCTCTTTCACTCTCTTGAGGATATCCTCGACTTCTCTCTGCTTCTGCTTCTGCTTCTGCGTTCTGTCCATGGGAGCCACCCCTGTAAGTTCTACGGAGTAGCACTGCCAGCCAGCAGAGCCCGCAAAAGCCAGGCGTCGGCGGCCCCCCTTCTCCCCCTTTGGCCGGCCCTTTTGGGGGCTGACAGTGGGTGGGCCACCGCAGGCTTGCCTGTCTCGCTGTGCCTCGTTTGTGACTCTGACTGGCTGCGGCCGCCCTGGGACCCTGCTACGGTGCCGCGACTAGCGGAGTCGCCCGCCAACTGCCGCTCTTCCTCTTGCGTTCGCTTTCTTTCTTTCCTTTTTTTTTTTTTTTTTTTTCCTCTTCTTTTCTTTTCTTTTCTTCTGTGTCGTCGTAGTCGTAGTCGTCGTCGTCTTGTTTCCTCTGTTGGTGCTGTTACTACTCTGGATGGAGTCAAGTACACTCGGCCTAGCCTAACGCAAAAGACGCTGGGCTGCAGGCTTTCTACAGTACAAAGGACACTGCTAACAGATATGATAGTCCAGAGTAATGCGAAAGTGCTCGAGGTGATGATACTCAGGAAGATGATAATACTTCTAGTTACTCTCTATTGGGCGATGATGGTAGTTGGATAGGCTGTCGGATATTAACTCTCGTCCCTATAAATAGCCCGCCAGTCAGCCGCTGGGCACTTGTTTTAGTGGCGTCTATGGAGGCAGCAGAAGGGCCACAAGGGGAACGAAGGGGTCACCGAGAGGTTGATCTCCCTCCTTACCCTAAATTTACCCTAAAATGCTCCCCTGGTGACAGCCGACCCTCTCACAGGCGGGCTCGCAAGGCCCTTCTCCCGACGGCTGGTCCCTCCCTCGCCCTGGCTCACGACGGGTTTCATGTTGGCTTCCCCCCTCGCTTCTGCCTCGTTCTTCGTCCCTTTTCTTCTTCCTGTCCTCCTCTTGCTTGCTTGTTCTCTGCTTGAGGTCGTGCTGCATCCGCCTGCTTGCTTGCTTGCTTGCTTGCTTGCTTGCTGCTGCTGCTGCTGCTGCTGGTCCTCGGGGCATGTGACCTGCTTACTCAGTGGACCCTTATCGCCTTCCTCTTTCACTCATTACGTAATATCAAGGAATAACATAATTCCTTGCTTATATAAAAACTTACTAAGTAGATGCACTTACATAAGCGGTTCCATGCTCACCGCAAAATTAACTGTCGAGGCTTGCGTTTGCTCAACAAAGCCAGAAAGAAGGAGTGGGAGAGAGAAACGGCGGATCTCACGATGCTAGTTAGCCTGAGCTAAACTCGTTGTCGGGTCTCTGCTATCTGCTGCACAGGCTCCACGTTAAGCTACTGCTGCTGCTACTACGGAGTACTCTTACTACTACGGAGTGCTACTACTGCTACTACTAACTACTAGGGCTACTTACGACTACACTACTACTTGACCAACATGGCCCAAGCATGTGTTGCCTCCGCTCACACCCCTGGATGGTCGTGGTCTTGACAATGCATGGCATTCAAATCTGTCCTGGCTCTGCACCGCAACCAACCCTCTTCTAACGGGTATCTCCTCCGGGCTCCCACTTGACCCCTCTGTCCAGGCCTTACGGACTGCCATTTCTCCTCTCTACGGAGTGTACGGAGTATATACCCTTGAATAATGATTTTCTTTAACCCGCCCCCCTCCCCATTTTGGCCCTCTTCCCACCTCTGACCCAATAGTTTGCCTACTCGGGCGTATGGGTTTAGCGAGGATGAGCGACTATTGTACAGCCCGTTTGTAGGTGCCCAGTCTGCTAGTTTCTCATTTTTACCTCCTGGATAGTCCAGCTTACTATCAATCCCAACAACAATTCTCTCTCCTTTGCCGCCTTTCACTTGCCATTACTCCCCTTGGGATTCTTAGCTTAACCATGCTACAGAACGGCCCTGGGTGCTAATCTATATAATATCTGCTTACACGCACACACACTATATCTTCATGCAGCCGGTGCGTCCCGGGGTGCGCCTTTAAGCTGTCGTGAATTCTCTTTCTTCTTTCTTCTTTCTTCTTTCTTTGGACTTTGTCTTTATTTCTCATACTTACATACACTCAAACATACCTTATTCCCTTTCTCTTTTCTTTTACTTTCCCGGTGGTGACGCTTGAGTGGGCTCGTCCTCTCTCTACTTCTCCTGCCGAGGTCCCCTGCCCCCCATTCATCAACATATACTCTATCCTATATATCCCTTTTATTGTATTGCATTTTTATTATTATTGTTTTATTTTTCTTCGCCTGGGTATATTCCCCTCTTTTATCTTTTTTTTTTTGGTCTGTCATACTTGGACGGGGCCGAAAAGTCATCATGAGTTCTCCTTGTTTCCACGTAGCTATAGTTGGAGCTGGCCTGGGAGGGCTAGCTGCCGCCATTGGTATCGCTCGGGCCGGCCATAGAGTCACTGTCTTGGAGAAGCAGGCAGACGTTCAAGAGGTAGCTTTCTTCCCTTCATCTCCTCTTGCTTTCTTCTTTTATTGATTCTGCTCGTTTTCGTCTTTTTCCTTCAAAGCAAATATTTCTAAACTGGTAGATATAGGTTGGTGCGGGCATACAGATCCCCCCCAATGCTTCGTATATCCTCCAGAAATGGGGGCTCCTCCCTGAGGTAGAACAAGTGGCCGTTCGACCGAGGGACTTCATTGTTAGATCGTACCGAACTGGCAAAGTGCTCTGCGTCCAGAACGCTTTCCCCTATACCTTTGAACGATATGGGGTGCCATACCTACATATCCACAGGGCAGACTACCACCGCATCCTCCTCAATGAGGCAGGCAGACTCGGAGTTGACGTACGCCTAGACAACACCGTCATCGGCATCGACTTCGACTCCCCTGCCGTCCACCTGCTGGGTAAGCCAGATTTCCACACCGACCTGATCATTGGTGCCGATGGTCTTCGGTCCGTTTGCCGCCAGGCCCTGCTCGGCCATGCTGATCATCCCCAAATCACCGGAGACATGGCCTATCGCATCATCATGCGAGGAGAGGATGTCAAGCGCCATTCGGAACTCGCTGACCTGGCTGAGAGACCCGGTATGACCCACTGGATTGGCCCGAATGGACATGCCGTATGCTATTCCCTCAAGAGCGGGGAGATGCTCAACCTCGTCCTCGTCTGTCCGGATGATCTACCGGATACCGTGAATCTTGCCGACGCTGACCCGGACGAGATGAGAACTTTTTTCCAGAACTGGGACCCGCGGCTAAAGTCTCTGCTTGGCCTGGTCAGGACGACGCAGAAGTGGCGGCTACGGAATAGCGGAGAGATGGACTCCTGGTCCCATCCAAGTGGGAAATTTGTCTTGCTTGGTGATGCCTGCCACGCCACTCTACCGTACCTGTACGTACCCTTTTACCTACTTAAGCATCCTCACTATTTTTTTCCCCTTTCCTCCGGCCTGGACTAATTTTTTGACATTTTTTTTTTTTTTGACCAGTGCCCAAGGAGCCGCTCAGGCTATAGAAGATGGTGCTGCACTCGGTACCCTCTTCGAACGCATCAAAGACAGGTCTCAGCTGCGTGATCTTCTCTCTATATATGAGGCCACGCGCAAAGAACGCACCTCCATAATTGTACAGAGCAGTTCCGCACTAAGACACATACTGCACATGCGAGATGGGCCCGGCCAGCGCAATAGGGACACCAAGCTGTACCAACGAAGCCCCTTTGAATCATACCCTATTCCTTGGATTGATCCCAAGTTCCAGGCTTACCTCTTCAGTTACGATGCCTTTGCCGAAGCATCCAAGGCCTGGGACAGGTACATGAATGGTGAAGACACTGCATCAAAGCCAAGAGTTCATGCACATCTATAATATTGATCATAATAGTTCGTTATATTTCCCCGGTTATATTAAAAAGCGACTTGTGTCTTCCCGCCCCATGAGGGCACCTTACGCAGGAACGAAGGGTTGGTTATGTTTTTGACTTTAATGTTATGCTTATGAAAAAGTCTCCAATCAATATCATCTATTAACCATCTATATCATAGGTGTTGTTTTTTATGCGCAATCTGAACGCATTTAACTGATATAGCTGCAGGCGTGACCTACTTTGGAGGCCATTCTAGACCACGTTCGTATCTGAACTTGTTGTATCGGCTATATGTTACATAGCAGCCTTCAATTTAGCCGTCGTCAGAGTGATGGCGTGTGTTACTCAAAGCAAGCTTTGGGTCAAGCTCGGATATCACAGTAACCGTAACTCTGTCGGCAAGATGTAGCGCGCAAAACAACATCCAACTAACTAGCGCCGTGTCCAAAATAAGCCGCCGACAGGCGAATTCAACAAGAGCTCTGCCGCAGCCCTTACAGGACGAGTTTTGCAGGTGACTCAGCATTGACGGGGTCTGGGGACTCTCTTCTATCACCGCTGCTCTCAAGCCGGCTGTAGACTACTACTATTATTCTCTGCTAACTAGTTACTTCTTTTAAACTGCGGCCCAACTGTGTAAGAACTGGCTTGCTGAAATTCACTGAACACAGCCAAAAAAATTTACCGCAGCCCAGGACTTAGACTCTTCCCGTTAGCTGACACCCCGAGAAGCAGTCTGCGGTCCTTCAACTAGCCAGCCATACGCCGTACTTTGCAAGCCCTTCCAATGGTCTCGTTGAATTTGAGCGATAGCTAGAGTAGCGAAGTTAAGTTAAGCTGTTGGATTTGAGGTGTCGTTGCTGACTAACTAACTTACTAACTAACCCGAACCTGCTTACTAACCCGCCATTTGTTTTCGGGGGTGGGATGGGCGCTTTTTTGTTTTGGCGTCAAAGGCAACAACCTTGACGCAGCGACATCCTCAGCCAGACAGCATTGTGCCCATCGACCGCACAGCCTTCTTTCTCCTGCCAGGGCCTCATCCCGCTGCATTGCACCAACGGTCAGCTCGTCTCGTCGCCTGCGAATCCACCACGTACTGCCTGGCCACTGCTATCCACCAGCGTTCTCTCGCTCTGTGCCCCTCCTCTCCTTCACCTCCTTCTCCGCCTTAGTTTTAACGTGCTCTGTGCTCCCTCTCACCCACGGCCCAGCCATACCTCCATCGGCAGATTACGAAGACAGTAACACTACCTATCTGCTCGTTTGCCCCGGCCGGACCTTTTTTTTTTTTTTTTTTGGACGGCAGTGCTGGAGATCTGGGCCTGCCCCCTCTTTAACCCTGACATTTGATGCGCCATGTCGGTCTCTATTCGGGAGCTAGATAACACCGTTCGGGCCTTCTATGAGGGAAAAGGCGAAGCTGTAAGTCCACCCCGGTTGCTGTCATAGCGGGTTGTTCGCGCAAGCAAAGGAGAAATCGGTGCTAAATCTTTTATCTCTCTCTCTCTAGCAAAAACAAGCACAACAAGCTCTTACGGAGGTATGCACACATCGATGGAGGGTATCCAATCTTCCGGCTTAACATACCATTCTAACCGGATCAATTCAGTTCAAACAAAATCCCGAATCATGGGTGCTCGTTGGCAACATCCTTCAGGAATCCGAATATGTCCAGACTAAATGTAAGCCTTCTTCCGGTTGCTGCCCACCATCCTGCAATTTTTAGCGCTAATATATGCTTGTTAGATCTTGCTCTTCAAGTTCTCGACGATGTGATTATGACACGATGGAAGGTCCTTCCTCGCGAACAGTGTCAAGGTATGGACAATAGACTTGAATAAGGGTCTATATAATATCCCTTCTGACCAGACCGCTATTAGGTATCCGAAATTTCATCGTCAATTGTATCATCGAACACTCCAAAACGGAGGAGAAGCTGAAGAGCGAGCGGGCCTTTCTCAACAAACTTAACCTCGTCCTGGTATCTATCTTGAAGCAAGAATGGCCTCACAACTGGCCAACCTTTATCAACGAAATCATATCATCATGCCACACGAGCTTATCGATATGTGAAAACAACATGGCCATCCTCCGCCTGCTCTCTGAAGAAGTTTTCGATTACTCCCAGGATCAGATGACATCAACTAAGGCCAGGAACCTGAAGACAACAATGTGCCAGGAATTCTCCGCTATTTTCCAGTTGTGTTCAGAAGTCCTGGATACCGCGAACCAGAGCAGCTTAATAAAAGCTACCCTGGAAACTCTGCTACGATTTCTCAACTGGATCCCACTGGGATATGTCTTTGAAACACCCATCATCAACACTCTCCTGACACGGTTCTTAGACGTCCCTGAATTCCGCAACGTGACTCTCAAGTGCCTCACTGAGATCGGAAGTCTTCAAATTGGTCCGCAATATTCATACGACGAGAAACTTGTCCAGATATTTACAGATCTCTTAACAACCGTGTCCAAGATCATCCCTCTATCGCTGGACTTGAGGGAAACTTATGCGAATAGCAACTCCCGGGACCAAGAGTTTGTCCTCAACCTTGCTCTTTTCCTTTGCAACTTTTTCAGCGTCAGGCTACATGTAAGTACCCCGTACAGGTTTACTTCTCTTGGATCTCTTGTTTTCTAACTTGTCGCATTGTAGCTTATCGAGAAACTTCCCAATAGAGACTACCTCACACATGCCCATTTCTATCTCATCCGAATTAGCCAGATTGATGACAGAGAAATTTTTAAAATCTGCCTGGAATATTGGACCCGGTTGGTCCAGGAGTTGTACGAAGAGATGCAACAACTTCCAATCACTGATATAAACCCACTGGTCAGTATGGGGGTGAGCGGACTATCGAACGGAGGTGCCCCTCACCCAAGCACGCTTGCCAACTATCCTCTTCGAAAACATAAATACCAAGAAGTCCTCACCAGCCTGAGAACCGTTATGATTGAGAAGATGGTAAGACCAGAGGAAGTGCTGATTGTCGAGAACGATGAAGGTGAAATTGTGCGGGAGTTCGTTAAAGAGAGTGATACTATTCAGCTATACAAAACCACCAGAGAGTGCCTTGTCTACCTTACTCACCTGGATGTAGTAGACACAGAAAACATCATGGCCGACAAGTTGGCTAAACAAGTTGATGGAACTGAGTGGTCCTGGGCCAATTGCAACACTCTCTGCTGGGCCATTGGGTCAATCTCTGGAGCCATGAATGAGGAGACTGAGAAGAGGTTTCTCGTTACTGTCATCAAAGATCTTCTTGGCCTGACAGAAATGAAACGCGGAAAAGACAACAAAGCGGTCGTGGCGAGTAACATCATGTATATTGTTGGGCAATACCCGAGATTTTTGAAGGCACATTGGAAATTTTTGAAAACGGTTGTCAACAAGCTTTTTGAATTCATGCACGAGACTCACGAAGGTTTGTAGTCCCTAACTGGTCAAGAACCGAAAGGTTATCATTTGCTAACTATGAAGAAAAAAAAAAAAAAACAGGTGTCCAAGATATGGCGTGTGACACCTTCATCAAGATTGCGAACAAATGCCGACGGCATTTCGTTGTATTGCAGCCTAGTGAGACCGAGCCGTTTATAGACGAGATCGTGGGATCAATGAGAAAAATCACCTGTGACCTGTCTCCCCAGCAAGTCCACACCTTTTATGAAGCTTGTGGCTATATGATTTCGGCTCAAGGCCAGAAAGGCGTTCAGGATCGTCTAATTGAAAATCTCATGGCTCTTCCAAATGCTGCATGGGATTCAATCATCAGCCAGGCTACCCAGGATCCATCCACGCTTCAGAATGCAGAAACCATAAAAATTGTTGGCAATATAATGAAGACCAACGTAGCGGCTTGTACCTCAATTGGCAGCTACTTCTATTCGCAGATCGGACGCATTTATCTGGATATGCTCAACATGTACCGAGCATCGAGTCAGCTCATTTCGGATGCCATTGCTGCAGACAGTTAGTATTCACTCCTTTATATTTTTTCCATTCGGCGCTCGCTAACATTTGTAAAAGCAACGGGATATGCTACTAAAACGCCGAAAGTGCGAGGGTTGAGAACAATCAAAAAGGAGATACTGAAGCTTATTGATACTTATGTCGAGAAGGCTGATGATCTCGAGATGGTCAACTCTAGCATGGTCCCCCCGCTTCTGGAGGCTGTTCTTCTTGACTACAACCGGAACGTGCCCGACGCCAGAGAAGCAGAAGTGCTGAATGTGATGACAACAATCATTCATAAATTACACGTATGTACCCACATTATGCAATACTCCCACCTCCGCAACTTTCTTGACACACCATAAGTTCTGCATACCCTAATTGCACTTCACTTGCTAACATTATGCGTAGAACCTCATGGATGACAAAGTTCCGATTATTATGGAAAATGTCTTCGAATGTACGCTTGGAATGATCAACAAAGACTTCCATGAATATCCCGAGCATCGTGTAGGGTTTTTCAAGTTGCTACAGGCAATCAACCTATACTGCTTCTCTGCTCTTTTGAAACTAGATACCAGCCAGTTTAAATTTGTCATTGATTCGTGCATGTGGGCTAGCAAGCACGACAACAGAGAAGTCGAGAACACCGGACTCACCATGTGCCTTGAGTTGATGAACAACATGGCGGACTCTGACCCCCAGACGTCAAGTATCTTCTTCAGACAATTTTATCTTCCGATATTACAAGATGTCTTCTTTGTACTCACCGATACCGATCACAAGGCTGGTATGTTACTTTTATATATATATTTGTTGATGCGTGCAAATACTGATCCGTAATGTCATCTCTAGGGTTCAAATCCCAGGCAATGCTTCTTGCTCGCATGTTCTATTTCGTGCAATCAGACAAGATTCGGGATCCAATCTATGCCCCTGACCAGGCTCCTGCTGGGACATCCAATAGAGACTTCCTCCAGGAGTATGTCGTGAATTTACTCCAGAGTGCCTTCAAGAACCTACAAGAGTATGCCGTACCCCCTTCTGCACTGATAGATATCTCATTGATATTAACAGCACCGTAGGGCTCAAACAAGACAGTTTGTTACTGGTCTATTTGTTATCAATGATGACTTCAACAAATTCAAAACTCACCTAAGAGACTTCCTTATCTCATTGAAGGAGTTCGCTGGCGACAACACGGAACTGTATGCTGAAGAAAGGGAACAGGAGTTGAAGGAAGCCAAAGCTGCTGAGCGAGACCGAGCGATAAAGATAGGTGGACTCTTGAAACCCTCGGATATGGATCAAGAGGATGAGCTGTGATGCACAGATATGGATGCTCTCTTACAACATAAAAAAAAAAAAAGAAGAAAAGAAAAGGACTACCTTACGGACCCCAGTTTATGTTAGGACCTCTGCTCTATTTCACAGGAAGTTTGTAAATCATAACAGGCTATATCTCAAGAGGTGCGTAATTGCATTCTACAATTGCACGTCATTATCGAATAGTTTTACCTCTTCACCTGGTTTGAACGGTGGTAGGCCAATGTACGGGCAACCGTCACAACGGAACGCGTCTCCCAGGGAGCAGTTTCCGCAACTTCCAGTTTTCCCTTGAACTGTAAAATCTACTTCTGCTATTTCTCCAGAGTTCAATTTTAACGCAGATAACTTCTCGTCTGCGTTTGCACGCTGAAGCTTATCTTCTGCTTGGAGTTTCTGCGCTAGCCCACAGGTACAATCCTTACACGCCCTCCTGCGTTTGCCAGCTTTAGGCCTACACTCTGGGGCTATGAATTGTTAGTAAATCCTAAACGGTAAGCTTGCGAATGGTGGTTTCAGGCCTTACGTTGTATGATGGGTCTTTCAAGCTCATCCGCATCAATCAATTCATCCTCATCGATTAGTTCCTCATCATCATCGCCGTCTGGGGTATTAAACACATTATTCGTGTTGTTATCCAACATCACTATGTTGTTTTGGAGTACTGCTGGCTGCTGTTCATTCTTATTTGAATTGGTATCTTTCTTGGGCTTCCGGCTTTTGTTAAACGAAAATGACAATGAAACCGATTGTTCCTCAAATGCAGGTTTCATCAGCTCCCCTTTATCATTAACCGTAAATCCGCATAATATTGCTTCAGTACGAGTTGGTTCATTAATAGCGGCAGGAGATCCATCTTGGTACTTCATTACTCCGCCTGATTGTAGTGCTCGAGAAATCTGTTGTAGTGTGTCTCGTCCCACCAATCGCTCGCCTTCTGCATTTGTTCCATCGATGCCTGTGAGCAGCAAAACTAGGTTGTAGGTAGACTCAGGGAGAGATACAAGGCCAGCGGCGAGGCGGTCTAGCATTTGCAAGTCTCTGGCGTTTTTATCATATTGATTGATAAGCTCGGCTAGCTTGTCAGGGTTTGATGAGAGGGAGGGCGGGGAAAGCAGCAACACCCGGGGTAAACCACTCATGATGGCTGCAGGCGACATTAATCGTCAACGCTTTTGCGAGTCACTTTGTGCGATATCAAGAGTTGTAATAGAAGAGTCGTGGGTGTAGAAATGAACTACCGCTTGAGCAATTTTTTTGTATGACTGATAGATAACTGAAAGTTAGGTGGCAAGGATTACAAATGGAGATAAGAATGGTGGGCTTGTCAGAAATAAGATGTATCACGTGCTGATAAGGAGCTTGCCTCACTACCAGGGTTACTGATAATTAAATCTATCAAACTGGCCAGGTAAGGTCTTATAGCGCCTACCTAGGTGGTTGGCACCTCATGACTTTACTTGGTTTATAAGCTGCCGAATATACCCTCGCTCTAGATATAGACTACTGTGCATTAGTTAAAAGTAAGTAGATCATGAGCTGAGGTTGACACTTACATGGTAGAACCAACACACAATCCTGCGGTTGCTACTTTAGTCAGGTTTTCAAGATCTAGGCCGCCAGGAACGGTTGAATATCTCAGAAATAACCAGCCAATAGACCCTGCAATGCAGACACCTAAGCTGGGAAGAATTTCCCTGGCATGGAGTTTGCTGTCATGTTTCTCAAAAAACCGCTGAATGAAGAAACTGCTCCAGATTATACGGGCAGCCATATTAACCAGATTCGCCCATAAAAGCCCGTATACCCCTGACTGTGTGATTCTTAGAAACACATATGCAGCGACGACAAAGACTGCAGACAATATCCCCATCCATTTGGTCTGTAACCGTAGCTCAGAGTTGGTAGCTGCAGCGGAGACGAATGCTTCGGTAATGCCATTAACTGCCAAAAATGGTATATAATAGCAGTACAATGACAAAACTTGTTGGGTTTCGGGAGAGTCCCAATGGGAGCCAATAATTAGCTTTATCGCGAGAGGAACAGCTGCAGGACCGACGGCAGAAATTGAAACACAAAGTATGCTGTATCCACGTAGGATGTCGATGAATTGTAACTTTACTGCCTTGACTGATTTATCGACAATCTTCCCACTTTCTCTTATGGCTAGAAGTTTGCTGAAAAGGTTGCGACTGTATTCTTCGATGGGCTGGAAGACCATTCGAGCGATTAGGCCACCATAGTTTGAAGCCAACGCGTACTGTCCTTGAATCTCCAGGGTTGCCAGCGACGCAAGGATGACTGAGTCACTCTGTGTGAGGACATGTTTTGCAACCGACTGCATATACAAGTTCATGCTTAATGCCAATAAATGTTGTGGAATAAAAGAGAAAATATGGTTGGGGTGATTACTGGTGTGATGTTAGCCCTGAAGAAATTTTGGACGAAGGACAAAATGCAGACTTACATATAGGCAATACGAACAGGATACAAAGTGAACGCATGTTTCTGTGATATTGGCTTAGCGCAAATAAAATACCCAGCAAGCAAGAAGGTGGCGTATCCGAGTTGGCCAAGGGCAATAGACAGGATTCCTGCATCCTCATAACTTTGGCTGATAAGTAATACAGAAGCACAGCTAAAGAATGCCCTAGCCACTGAAGAAATCATCTCCACTTTTGCTCTTGTACCATAGAGCATTCTCTGCTGAACCACGGCAAAAAGAGGTTCTGATAGCAGTTCCAAAACAGTGGCCAATTGAACTATTAAGAAACTTATTCTTTCAATATGGCCAAGCGTCCTATCGCTCTGGCCCAAGTTTAGATAGAGCACGCCAAATACATATGCCATCGGAAGACCGAGTGCTATCGGAACATACGAAATGTTCACAACGGCCTGGCTTCCTGCGTTTTCTTCCTGGTTTTTGGCATTCTCAGGCCGCTTATCTGTTGAGTCAATGTCAGCAGCCTTTGTAATATCTGGTGGCTGACGCTGTGCGGCTAGTCTGATACTTTCTCTCGAGAAGAACAGCACAGTTATTGAATATAACTCAATCTGCGAAGCAAGGCCGAATGCATAAGGGGTGATATGTCTCAAGAGAACTTGGTTTGCTAGGAATGTGAGGGCACGAGAGACCACTTGAATAGCAATCAAGTAGACTGGACCCAGAGCTAGCCGAGAACCTGAGACCATGCTGAGGCACGAGAGTATTCAAACAGCGTGTGTCTTAAGACGAATCCATAGCTCACCAAATGCGTTGAAGCGCAGCAAATGGAAGATATCAGATGTTGGTACATCAAAGGTCCGCCCAGGAATGTCCAGGCGTGTGAACGAACAAAGGTGCCTGGGCCAAGAAATACTCAGATTAGGTAATCCACAGTTTCACGTGGGTCTAAGTTAAATTTGCCCAGGCGCTGGTGCCTGTAGAAAACGCGTCGCGATAAGTTTTTAAATAATTAGCTAATTAGTTAGTTGACCAAACCCCCACTAACACACCTTCCAACGCGTCTTCGTTTTCAACAGGAAGTCCAACCTCAACTCTCTACCCGACAGCACAAGCGGTTCACTGGAAACTGAAAGACGCCGACGGCACCGTCCTCTGTACGCCTTTGAAGATGGCCAGCCAAATATCTGTGGGCGCCTTGAGGTAATGAATCCCCGAGTCAAGTGGCTAGCCTAGGCTAACCAACATCATTAGTGCTATGTTCGACAGCACGAAACCGCATGTGCCCCAACCAATACTGCAGTGTCTGCGGATCAAGCCAGTTGTTGTGCGGGAACAAGAACGCTACGGTGTGGTCTTCAGTGATGTGAACCACTTTGTCCGAACAATGCTTCCTACCCGTATGTATTACTGGTCTCTTAGTCGCTTGGTATATTCGTCATCTAACTGCTCGGTTTCCGCGTAGAGTTAAACACCTATGTGACGGATGGGATACTTCGACGGGGCTCCTTTGTCCGACTGACCAATTTCCAGGTCAGCGTTGTGAAAGGCAAACAGTGAGTGAGCTTGTTGCGTGCAATTTTAGACTCGTATACTGAATCACTTGTAGTCTTCTCATAATCATGGGCCTCGAAGTCCTCAGTGCTCTAGGTGAAGCGGAAAGAATTGGAGATCCAAAACCGTTAGAACCTAAATCTGGAGATGAGATGGGAGGCCAATCTACCACTCTTTCGAGTAACGAATTCTATAACGCACCACAGCCGCACAATCCTCCACAACACTTTCAAAATGCTCAGCGGTCTCGGCCATCTGGCATGGCCTCCAATGCAAATATATTTTCTATTGAGGCCTTGTCTCCTTTTGCTAACAATAAGTGGACTATCAAAGCTCGTTGTACGCACAAATCTAACATCAAGACATGGAAAAACACTTTTGGAGAAGGAAAGCTTTTCAGTGTCAATCTACTGGATGACAGTGGTGAAATCAGGGCTACTGCCTTCAAAGATCAGTGTGATTTACTCTACCCTATCTTTGAAGAAGGCGCTGTTTACTATATCTCGAGCCCTTGCACTGTGAAGATGGCAAAGAAAGAATTTAGTAACGTGAACAACGACTATGAACTCACTTTCGATAGGGACACAGTTGTTGAAAAGGTAAGCAAGCGCGTATCCCATGCTTAAACTAAGAATTCTCTAATTTTTATAATTAGGCCGAAGATCAAAATGATGTTCCACAGATTCGCTTCAACTTTACTAGCCTAGGAAATTTGCAGTCAATTGACAAGGGAACAACAATTGACGTACTAGGAATATTGAAAGACGTTGATGCCACTTCTCAAGTGACTTCTAAAACTACGGGAAAGCCATATGACAAGCGGGAGCTTACGCTTGTCGATAATTCTGGATTTTCCGTCCGTCTTACAGTATGGGGAAATACTGCCACTAACTTTGACACACCCCCTGAGTCCGTTGTTGCATTTAAAGGGGTTAAAGTATCTGATTTCGGAGGCCGCACATTGAGTCTACTGAGCTCCGGCACAGTAACAGTTGACCCTGACATTGAAGAAGCACACAGATTGAAGGGCTGGTATGATGCCCAAGGAAAGTCAAACTCTTTTACCGCCTATTCCTCCGGAGCTACTGGAGGCGGCGGTGGCTCGTGGCCCACATTCAAAACCATCTCTGAGATTCGAGACGAAGAACTTCCAAGTGCAGATAGCTTTGAAACCTTCTCACTAAAGGCCACTGTGATCCACGTAAAGGACAACTTGTGCTACCCTGCCTGCCCAAACGAGGCATGCAAGAATAAGAAGGTGACTAGAGGCGACTTGGACCAGTGGCACTGTGAGCGATGCGAAAGATCGTACGCCAATCCCAAGTATCGCTACATACTTTCACTCAACGCATGTGACCATACTGGCCAAATCTGGTTGAGCTGCTTCGATGAAGCCGGCCAGATGATATTTGGCATGACTGCTGATGAGCTGATGAAAATCAAGGAGGAAGATGATACTGCTGCAAATGAGATAACCAAAGGCGCAACCTACTGCACATGGAACTTTAAGTGCCGGGCAAAGCTGGATACCTATCAAGAGCAACAACGGTAAGACCCCCTCTGTATCCCATTGTCGCTACCATTCACGCTGACGCCAATATGCTCTTTCTCCTTGCAGAACACGGTATAATGTTTATGCGGCTACACCCATTGACTATGCTACAGAGGCCGATCAGCTATCCAAGTTGATTTCATCGTACAGTATCTAACGGGGGCATAGGCGGGTTGGCTTGAACCTGGGAATAGCCATCGAGTTCGGATGTTAAAGTAGTTTGAATAATAATAAACTAGCTCGTCTCTTGAATTGTAGCAGCCCAACAACTAACTACCTGTATCTTATAGTTCAGCCTCAAGCCGAAGAGAGCTCCAGCCAGTCACGATGCTCTGCTTACTCATATTATCACGTGATTATATTGGTGCCCTGGGCAGGTGAGGTCACGAGGAGCGGGAAGCGAAAACCCGCGGAGAGAGCGCAGCGCGAGCAACAAACAACAACGACAAGCGACTTGAGGGACTGAAAGAGAGAGACAAGAGAGAGCGCAACACTCGCAAAAACGAGCCCATGATGTCGTTGCTGCAGCTGGTCAAGGCCAAATTTCTGTAAAAATGGAAATTTCTTGAGCTCCTGCGTCCTGACTTTGCCTGCTTTCTACAGCCGTGTTTGAAGGACAGCAGCCCTAAATAGAATATACGGGCTTCCTTCCACACTGTGACTACCTGCAAGACGCCTGGATGATGATATCGTTTCCTGGCCTGGGACAAACCATCATATCCGCTCCTTGCAATTACTTCTCCACCTTAGCAGGCCATCCGGCCACTGTTTCACATCATATTTTGATGAATATAAAAGAAAAGAGAACAGAAGCCGGAAGTGGTAGCTTGACATTACTATTGTCACTCCTTTGGTTCACTCTTTTTTTTTTTTTTTTTTGTTTTTTACAAAAAGGCATATGCCATGACTAGTTGACCTTTTAGGGAACATATATTTTAGCGATGACTCGGATACCATGCCGCTCGACGGCGGCCAGGGGGATTATGCGCCCTCGTCAAGCGTTTCCCAGGGCCGCCGTGCGCAAGCACAAGATTATTTTGGAAAGCATCACGCAAGAGAAGAAGAAACTCCGCATTGCCGTATGTGCTGTCTACTCCTAGTGCTCTGTGCGCCCCGTATAGCCGGTTCTAAGTGAATGGTAGATTTCTTTTGAGACCAAACCGCCTCCAGGATACACGTTTATTCCAGCAGGAAACCCGGAGTTCACTAACGGGTGCAAGGAGTTGTGCCGGAAGGATGGATACAAAGTTTACACCGTGTCGGTTCGTGCTCTTTATTTGGAAGAAATTTCACTCCGTTATATATACCTGGCTGCTGACAGATTGCATTTGTTGATTTTAGACAACCCCCCATCAACGAGTGCACGATCTTTCTCAACATGTCCACAGGATTGGTTATCATTTCCCTAGTGTTGTGGTGGCTTCAATATGCATGGAGCGGGGGTTTTTCCTCTCATCCAGTGGGAGAGTGGTAGCGTATCAGAACCAGCGCCCTGACCAGATCCAAGGTAACAAAAGTGCAAGCTCGGAGCAGTCACAGGAAACCATCAACGCAGAGGCGAGGGACGCAATTAAAGATTTGTTCCCTAACATCCCTACCAAAGACCTGAACCAGATTGTAAAAACAGCTTTTAAAAAGGTACGCCAGCCATCACGCTTGCGTTCGTTGCTAACTGTCATGTTTAGGGAAAACGTAGAGTTGGGACAGCAACCGAGCTTCCGTTAGCACGCCGGGCTCAGCTAGCAGTAGTGGCTCATATTCGCCATATCTACACTAGCTATGACCGGTTGCTAAAAATGACCTCCTTTCAGGAAGCCAGAGCGTCGGTCGAAGAACCCACCCTTGCTAAACTGGTCCTGTGGCGAGGCGATGATGAAAACGGTACAACTGTACTTGAAGATGTTTTCCGTGAAGTCATCGTTATATCTGACGATGAAGACGATGAACGAGATGGTGAAGAGCAGGCGGTGGAATTACCACTGCCACCTCCACAACCTCGCCCTCATCATGATATCCCTAGAGAAAGCATGGAGCTAGTTTCCAGGAATACCACAGAGAGGCAGATTCCACTCAATTATGGAACTCCGAGGGATAGCCATTTTGTTACCCGTTCTTTCGCCCCACAGAATTCCAGGCAAAACCCTTCTACTCCCAGCGTGATCACTATTGATACCCCTAGCCAACATTCTGAACGGAGAACCAATGACCACAGAGGGTTCCGCAGGTATGAGGCATGGGACCGAGCAAGAACTCGGTATAGCCATCTTGTAAACGGAGCTGCTGCTACCCCTGCTGTGCCAGAACAACGCTCTCCACGATACTCACAAGCCGAACCACGGCAGGGATTCCCCGGCAGGGGGGAAGACCACCGAGTTCGGCTATCGCCATCTATGGATTGTTCAGTTATAAGAGCTACTGATAGTAGTACCAGGAGAGATGTTGTTACAGATTATGCCCAACTTGCCAACCCATATACACCAAGAAGGATCACGGCCCTGAAAGAGACAGAGCCTGAGGTAAGGATCTTCAAAATGCTTGCGCCGTATATTTATTTTGTAGTGTGCAGAACTAACGGTAGCGGTAGCGGCACCGCCAACTTCCGGACCATTCCCCTTTCCCGTCAGCCACTGAACGGCCTCAAATAGACTATGATTACAGACAAAGCCCTGGTGCGTCTTCTAACATACAGAGAGCGAACCGTATGCAGGCGAGACTCAGCTATCCTCCATCTGGGCTTGCTCACTCTGGGCTGTCGTCGGCGCCTCCCCAGTCCCAAACGGGGTCCCGTCTTGAGTCCCGAGATTACCCCATTATTCCATCGATTGAGAGCCCGATGGCTCCGATCAGCCGGCCGGAGAGGCCGGATAGCATCCCAAGAAACAGCCCAAGGTTGACAATGATGATGCCCGGCTCTCCAGCATCCCGACACATGAGACCCACTGAGAACGGACCTCCTCCCTCGCAATTAGACAAGCATGCAAGGCAGCAGGAAAGACACTGGGATGGCTCCAGGTATTCTCGTGTCGTTGGCACTCCCCAAAGACCGCTGCCCGCCACTGTACGGAATGAAATACCGTCCTACAACAACCATGTATCCCATCTGGATGAGCCATCCTGGAGTCCCTTATCTGGAGGCCAGCTCCACCAACACCCGCAGTCCCAACCGCTACAAAGCTTAGAGAACATGACACGCTCTCCGTTACTGGATAGGCCGAGGGTTGTGCGAGTAGCTCAGCCTGGTCAGGCCAATCCTGAGCAGCGATATGTCCACCATGTGGGAGAGCATCACAACAGGGAGCGAGGCGTAGTATCATCGTCCTCTCACCAATCAGCTATGGCTGTGACTAACCCAGCAGATGCACCAAGAAGGATAGCTTCACGGTATCCGTACCCTGACAACCCAGCAATAGTGATCCGACAGAGACATAGCCTGAATCCCCGTCTGGTCGCCTATCCTACAGATACCGACAACCGTTTGGCGCAGGTTCGCGTATATGATCGACCTGTGGAAACTCGGACTTCTGTGGTATGTAATTACAAGGGACAGTCAAATGAAGAAGCGAGACGACCTGACTCCCCCCTCCGCCTCCTTATTGATTTACCTTTCTTTCTATCCCACCCTCTGGAGATCTTCCCTACGATACTCTTTTCTCTTTGACCCTCCCTGTCTTGTGTCCCTTGTAATATCCGTGCTGACCAAGTTATATCTTGTCAAGTTAAAGCAGACTCAGATGGAGGACGGCCGGCATCATCATCACCACCACCATCATCATCGCCATCATCATCCTGCAGGGATGACACCTGTGGAAAACCGGGAGCCTGCTCTCACGCACGGCGACAGTAGCACCAACCGCTATGGCTATGCCTATGTCGAGAAACAGCCTTATACATATATAGTGGACGGTGATCGGCCACCCGGCCCAGCGCCAGAGCCAACAGCAGCAGCTGGATCCTCCTATCCTAGTGCGGCCTCCGCTTTCCGGTCTTATCGCTCTCCTCCACCGCCGACGTCGATACGCAGCTCCGAGTCGTCGGCCATGACCTCTACGCTCACTCGCACCTGGACCGCGCCCGAGCTGGGCCCTTCAAACGGCCCCATCCGCAGCCAGCAGCCATACACTCACCAGCCATTCCTCTAAGCAGTACTTAGTCGCGGTAGTCCGCACATGCATGACGGGGGTGGGTGGCTTGTATGTTTTTGCTTGTATTTTAGTGAGCGCACGGCGTTTTCATGCGGGAGCGTGTATATATCTATATCCCCCCCCCTTTTTTTTTTACATAAATACGTCATCATCATCATCATCATTATCATCATCATTATCATCATCACTGCTGCCGGACTCTCCCTGTATGAGACGAGCCGTCGCTGCCGGGTCGACCAAGGTTGGGCCGTGGCGTCTGGCTGCATGAACTGCGAGGGAGTAACCAGTGAACTCAACATGCAAAAGCAAAAGAAAAAGAAGCCGATCTTCTCAAATCTCGCGATACGAGCTGTCAAATCTCCCAGCGACAACGCAGCCCCCAGTCCCAGGAACAGGGCCAGGACAGGGGGCCTTCGCTGGCAAGTAGCAAATGGCAGCACCGCCCGCCAGCCTGGATCGATCGCGGCCGGCATGTGAGACAGACCGGGGGGAGTCGCTGACCTCGACCTGCTCAGCTCGCCACTCAGCGACTAGATACTCCGACGAGACACAGCGAGAAGAGAGCCAGCGAGCAGGATGTTGGCAGCGATACGAGGCACGCCAGCCAGCCCAGCAGCGCAACGAGAGGGCAAAAGAGCCATCGCCAGCGACGGGCGAACGGCTGCATCGCCCAGCTCCAGCGCAGCGCCCAGTCGCCAGCTCGCCGTTGACGTCGTTTGGCTCGCCATCGCCATCGCCATCGCCAACGCCAACGCCAACTCCAACGCCATCGGTTCGCTGTCGCCATCGGTACCTTGTCCTCGTTCCTTGCGTCTCGTCTCGAGCTTTGCTTCGAGCGCAATCCTCAACGTTCGTTCCAACGCCCTCTGCAAAAAAGCTTCGCTTCGCTGCCAGGGGACCGCCGTCTCCGCCCTTGCGCCAGGGCTCATCCTGACAAGCGCGAGACTTCCCATGGATCCTCCCCACCGCGCCACCAGACAGGCGAACCAGGGCCGAGGAAAGACCCTGTTGCGGTGGAGAGGGGAGTGGGAGCCTTTCTCGAGGCGACTATCTCATTGATTCAACCAACGCTTCTCCTGGGCCGGCGGCGGCGGCGTCGGTGTTGTCGTCGTCGCCGGTCGTCTTCATGGGATATGCACGCAACGAGCGACGGGGGGTGGAGCTTCTCTTCCCACTGCGCTGGAGCTGCTCCTCTCTGCTCGCCGGTCGGATTGGGATGTTTGCCCCGAGTCCGCTGGACGGGGATGTTGCTCTTTTCTGTCTCTTGTGGCCGCGATGGAGACGTCAAGCCATGAGCCATGAGCCGTGAGCCAGCGTTGAGAGCCATGAGGCAGAGAAAAGGCGACGAACCAGAGACCGAACAAGGACAGATAACAACATACTTACATAGACAAGGCAAGACAAGAGTGAGAAAACGTCAGATACGATCTGCTTCTGGGATGCTGGGACGCTGGGTCTGGGACGGAGCTCTCTCGACGGCCTCCTCCAATCTCGATCCATCCCTGCTCGCTGCGAGGGAGTTGTGTCCATTCATCGATTCAACTATAGTCATCCCAGGCTTGCTACCGAGCAAGACGTACTTGCATGCCCTGGCTCCATCCGGCCCGCCCCTCTGGCTTTTGTCTTTCTTCTTATCGCTGCCCACCCTCCTGTGCCTCGCTCTCTTCTGCCTCTTGTTCCTCTCTCCTATCTGTCTCCTAGGACTGGCGGGGGGCGAGCTCGGGTCCTGCGCGGTATCGTTTCAGAAGAACCACCATCCTCTTCGATCGTGGAGTTGAGCTTCTTAGCCGAACCAGACATCCAAAAACTCCGACTGAAACTGCGTTGGATCCTCTCCGCTTCCGTCCCACTGCCAATAGCCGCAAGAGCCAGAGAAGCTGCAGAGATTGCAAAGACTGCAGGAGGCTGCTGAGATAGAGGTACAGGTTCGATCGTCTGGTTCTAGAGCTTGCTTTTCGTTTCTTGGGACGGGGTCGTGGGTTGGCATAAGAAAGAAATATATCTCCAGATTTTACCTCCCTCCCTCCTGAACTGCCATTATTCTTAAGACGATATCCATATTGGCATATAACATGCTTCTTATGACGCGCCCCTGAACGGCCTGAATATCCATCCTCCGAAGGCTTTCTCTCTCTCTTCTCTGGCCATTTTGCAGTCCATCCTTCTCATATATCTATATATCCATATCTATATCTGCTGTCTACATATTCCTCCAGCCATGGTTAGGCATGGGCCCGACCTCGAGTCGCTGGTGGTCGTATACCAATCCTTCCATCCCGAGTTTATCTTCTTATCGTACATTGTGAGCTTCGTTGGCTGTGCGACATGTCTCGAGCTGCTGCATCGGCGGACAGCTCGTCTCGGGCTCTATAACTGGTAAGCCTCGTCAATTGTCATTTCTCCTGCCGGAGCGAGGAGGACGACCTGAATTTGCACTCCAATTGCTAAAGCCGCTATGATCTCCCTAGGTACCTGCTCATCACTGCTGCCGTGTGCATGGGAGGCATTGGGATATGGTGCATGCACTTCATCGGAAACTGCGCCATCCGGCTGCATAGGGGCGACCTGCAGTACCAGATATCATACTCTTCCTCCTTCACTGTGACATCCTTCTTCCTGCCGATAGTTGTGCTTTTGTTCGCCTTCTACTTCATCGGCGCCAGTGAACGGGCCGGTTACTGGTACATCATCGCCACCGGGACCCTGACAGGACTGGCTGTCTGTGGCATGCACTACGTCGGCCAGCTTGGAATCGCAAACTACTCGTGCACCTACCATGTTGGAAACGTTGTCGGTGCGGCTGTCATTGCCATCTGCGCCAGTATCACTGCCCTGGGAGTGTTCTTCAGACTCAGGGCGTCATGGACCGACAATTGGTGGAAACGGCTCTTCTGCGCGCTGATTCTGGCCAGTGCCGTGTCTGGCATGCATTGGACTGCCGCCGTTGGAACCATCTATCGAGTGTCGAATGCTGACGGTACAAGCGTACAGCTCTTCTCCTCCTCACAGGCCGTCATCATCTGCTGCACACTGGTATGCATTTGAAACTTGTTCTTCTGTATCTGTATATCATTTACTAACTACGTGTGTATAGTCACTAAGCTCGTGCTTTTTCCTGATCTGTCTGGCCGTGGTTGCTGGTCGCCAGCGCAAGAGAATGGCAAAGAGAGTCCAGCAGCTCTCCCTTGCCTGTGCCTACTTCGATTCCTCTGGAAGTGTCATGGTAGCCCCAGACGGCAGCATCCCTACTCACAAAATAACGAATCACTATGTTGAACGAGTATGTCTTCACTTTTTTTCTTTCTTTCAGCTTAACCTGCATGCAATTCTGCCGTCCATTACTGACCAGGTTACCTTCTCTGCCAGAGCTTCGCGGATGACGAATTTAACAGAGTACATCCGGCATTCCTCTGGGCATTCAGAGCAAGCCGAAACTGGGTGCATCTAAAACAGTTCATACGAGGCATGAACTACAATATCAAGTCTGATGAATCAATGAAGCAATACTTCCCGGGTTCCACCACTACCCCGGACACCGGCGACACCAACATCAACTTCGAACTCATCTTCAAGCAGCTGTTCTGTATTGCCGCCCAGGGCCTCTCAGACCAGCTGCATCTCCCGCTGGAGAAGCTGGGAGTGCTCTATGATGACGTTGTGTTAACCGGAACCCAGTCAACAAAGCCCAGCAAATACCGCGCTGGTGACCCTGAGGCTGCGCCCACGCCAACGACCATCGTAGGCAAGGGCCAGTGTATATTCATAGTGCGCCAGCTCAGCAAGCAGGAGACCATTGACCTCTCTATGGGCGGGTACCGTTTCGCTGCTCCCAATCACATTTCCGGTGCTCTGGCCAGACTGATGCAGGTAGAGCCGAGGGATATGCTGGACAACCTGACGCGGATGAGAGACTACTCCGCGCCCGAGAAGATGCTCGATCCGGGCGTCTATCTGGTGGGATTCTCGCTCTACCCTTCTGTCTGGACTGGTTTTGACGTGCTTGTATACGACGACGCACCGAACCTGCTCCCCAATGTGCGGTTACCCATCGAGTCGGTGACACAGCAACACCTAGACATATTATCGCGGATGGATGGATGGCCGCTGTCCCTCTGCCTGAAGTGGCTCAAGGCAAACGGCGGCTTCGAAGACCCCGAGGCCCAGACGTTCTGCCAAGCCGTATACGGCGCGGCATCGAATCTCTCTGCCTCGGTCGACAGCCCGACGTTTGGCCAGGCCAAGTTCTCGTCTCGACAGATCAACATCCCCTGCCGGTCACCAGGCCACGCAGAGGCAACAGGCCAGTGTACAGCATTCTCCTTCCACATCATAAACGGGCTACTGACGCGGACGACACCGCCACATCTACGTCTTACTCCTCTGCGGCTGTTCAACGTGCAGCAGCAGGTATACCCAGGCATTCCGGACCACGCAGTGTTCCAGGATAACCTACGGGACGAATTCGGACATTGTCTGTATGATGACGACCTCAAGGGCAGAAGATCGCCCATCCCCCCTTCGACGGCCCAGTCCATGTCTCTACGGGCCAACTCCCTGATCCATCCCGGGGACGACCAGAAGAAGAGCAACAGGCAGCCAGATACCTGGCGGCCCACCAACGGCGGCATCATGATCCGTAACCAGATCACTGTGGACGTGTCGCAGAAGGAGGAGCCAAAGCCGTCCAGCGCGGGAGCCTTTGAAATGCAGAGTGTTGGGGCGACCGTTGAAGCAGGCTACGTCAAGGACGACAATGAAACCTTTGTCGACGAGCTGTGTGCCATCTGCCGAAAAGCAGCTGCCGAGCAGGACAGGAACAGCTAGCTGCGGAGACCGCTTCTTGACTTGTTGATCTTTCTTCCCCTTTTCCTACTGTACATTTTTAATTTAGATGGCACAGTTGATGCCATAGAGACGTATACATACACCTATGTACATAGATATATATATATATATATATATATATTAATATAATGAACACGAGACTACAGAGCTGAGCCTTCTCTCGGCTGCATCATCATGCATCTGCATATCACCTCTCCGTTCTCCATTTGTCATTACAGTAGATTAACGGGTTCCGTATCTTGAGACAGGCCTTCCTTGTCGCTACAAGCTTCTCTGTAAATAGGGCTTAAAAAGAAACGAAGAAGAAAAAGAAAAGACAAGGGAAAAAGAAAGCAGCGAGGTATAACTAAGTAAAGTTCTCCGTATGCTCGTTAATTTAAAAAATAAAGGAAGTAGACGAAGAAGAAAATATCGCATCGTCATCCCAGCGCATCCTCGGTATGATGATGGCCCTACGCAGATCCGTGTTTTGGAAAAGCCTGCTGAGTTCTCCGTACTGTGACGAGGTTCCTGGGTAGTCTGTAAATCGACGCACGGCGTGAAGACATTCCTCCTACTGCTGCAGCCAGGCCCTGCCCCGCGGCCAGATGTTTCAGCCCTGGGGACGGCTTCAAACAGCCATCTCGACGCCGTCGGCCTCACCCTTGGTGACCGCCTTGCCGGTCTTCTTGATGACGGCCAGGACATCCTCGTAGGAAATAGAGGGCTCGGTAATGACCTGGGCGGTTTGCGCATCGAGGCTGACCTCGAACGACTTGACGCCTACATTCAGAGTCAGTCAGCATGGCCACCTCTCTCAATGCTCAGGAGGGGAGAAGACACCCAAAAAAAAAAAAAAAAAAAAAAAAAAAAAAAAAAAAAAAAGAGCACAACAAGGAACCAAGGCATCCCGTACCATCCAGCTTCTTGAGCACACGCTCGACGGCACCAGAGCAGCCGCCGCAGCTCATCTTGATGTTGAAATTATATGTGTGGTCTGCCATGGTGGCTGGCTGGTCGTAATCTCGGCTACGTCTCGAGCGCAAAAGGAGCTCCAACCCTGGCGCGAGATCGGTCTCAGAGTCTGTCTCTTGTCCAACAAGCGCAGGAAGAGGCTAGCGGGCAGGCTTCTCTTGTCTTCTCTCGTCTTCTCTCTCGTCTTGCCTGGTCCTGTCGAAGGGGGGAGGTTTTGTATCGCGAGCAGGGCGGCGGCGGAGGGGCGCAAAAAAGAAACGAGCCAAGTGACTCCGGTCACTGCAGCGCTGACTATGCGGCCGCGTCCTGGCGACGGTGATACCACTGCTGGGGACTAGCTGCGACGGCTGGCGACCTGCTGACCTCTGCTGCTCGATCTCGGTAGCCAACTATCCTGCGTCTTGTATCTTCTTCAATTCTCTTGTCGTTCTCGCTCACCAACAAAAAAAGCAACCAGAAAGCCTCGCGATGACGTCCTGGCTTAGTCAGCAGGGCTTATCTCGCTCGCCCACCTGAAACACCGCGAGAGGCGAAAAAGGCGACCAGGAGGACGGACGCTTGCCCGTCTTGCGCTCGCCGGTTCTCTGCTCTCTGCTCTCTGCTCTCTGCTGCTGCTGGGCTGCAGGTTCATGCTGCATGACAACCGGCAGACCAGGCAACTCTCCCCCCCCCTCCCAGGACAGACACGATGGCCTGTCCCGACGACGTCGACGCGCACAGCACCGCTCCAGCGCCCGTCGCTATACCCGGAGACCGCCCCCAGGACATCGAGATGGCTGCAGACGACTCAGCCGCCAGACATGCCCTTCCTCCCCGTCTCGCAGCGCGGTTCAACCGGGTCTCCGCCACCTACAGACGTGCCTCCGTGCCCTCCATCTCCCGCCGCAACTCGGCCTCGTCGATACACTCGAATCTGACGGTCCACGGAGCTCCCCATGGCGACCCCATGGCCCCCCATATCCGTCGAAACCTGATACTGGAATCCCGCAAGGCTCGTCTGGCCGACAGGGCCGCTCACGTTGAGAAAGTCAGGCTGCGTGCGGCCCTGGCGAAGAACGGCACCAAAACCGCTGCGATCAAGGAAGAGAGAGCCCGGGCTGCGCAGAAGACCCGGGAGAGACTGCTGGCTGATATCACGGCAAAGTGCGAGGAAGAGGTTCGCCGCGCAAAGAAGAAGGCAGAGGACACCGAAGAGAGAAAGGCAGCCCAGCGTGCCAGACTCCGTCTCGAGATGGTCGAGAAGTTCGCTGAGGCTGAAAGACGCAGACAGCTCTACCAGGAGACCCCCCGTCGACGCCGTACTTCTAGCATCCCGACTGTCCCGGCTGCGCCGGCTGCGGAAGGGATAAGGGTCACCAGCGCTGGTGGCGGCCATACCAAGCCAGCAGCCATACGTCTCACCCCGTCTGCGGCCGCCCACGTTATCCAAAGGGTATGGAGAAACCATCGCTCACGAGTCCTGGTTGGAAAGTACCTGGGCCTGAATCTCACTCTCGAAAGGATCGGGTTACTAGGCTTCGAGAGGACCGGAGCTCTGGTGGCCAGTGAGACCACTCTGGATGTGACCGCAGCCATGCTTCGGCTCTGCGGCCTGCAGGATACCCAGGGAGGTGCTCTCGGCGAAAGAGGCGCCGTCCGCATCTTTCTCAGCAGTTATGTCATTGCAGCCTTTCCAGAGCACGTCCTGAGCAGCGATGGGGAGCAGGAACAGGACCTGATCGCCAAAGCCAGGGAGCTGCTTGTTATCTTTCAAAACCTGCTTGATAAGATCGCTGTACGTGGCCTGGCCAACATCTCGTTGTCTCCCAACATGCTCTCCTTGTCAGAGGCCTACAATATGTTTGTCTCTGCCTTCCACGCTTGGAAATCTCGTGATTCCACCGTGCTCATCGAGATCATGGTTGCTCAGTTTACAGAGCTTGAGCTTATCTGGCAGACGGTCAAGAATGATCGGGCGGGGGGTGTTGCAGATGACTACCAGCAAGGCATCCGGTACAACCAGACCTTGCTCCTTGCGAGGTTGAAACGCCTTGTTGGATCCGAGAAGGCTATGAAACTGATCAAGAAGTCCCTGAAGAAAGCCAAAAGCACTAAACAGGCCAATGTAGCCACCGAGAATACCATCCCCAGGGCGGTCGACAAACCGTCGGCTTCGGCCGAGGCACTGACGGAGTCATCGAAGCCACCGTTTGAAGAAATGCTTCACTACGCAACCGCTAACTTACCAGAATCCCGCCTCGAGGAAGAATCAATCTCTCCCCAGGACCGGCTAACCAGGGTTCTGACTGCTCTCCCTAACAACCGAACGCTAGTCCACGAACTCCTGATCAACAGAGACTACCGCATCGAACAGGACCACTATACCCGAGTCCGTCGACAGATCATGAATCATGTTTGTGATATAATGAGAAGAGAAGTTGCCGCTGGCTACGGCACAAAGTGGACTGTTGCTTTAGCCACAGTCATCCAAGATAGACTACTACGTTTCCTCAAGCAGGGAAATTCCTTGCATAATCTGATTACCGAAGTACTTGATCCTGCCCATATTGAAAAACAGTGCAATTCAGGCACCTTTTCATATGACACCTTCTTTGATTTTATGGGGAATATCCTTTCAAAACTGTGTGCTCCATTTCGAGATGCCGTTGTTGAAGAGTTTGCAAAGGACAAGTCGGGAGACGAAATCGACCGTCTTTCACGGCTGATGGGGATAATCGATCTACTCTCGCTGGATCACACCAACTTCATGCTCCAGGTGGTGTCGCCTCAGTTAATCGAAGAAGCACCCCAATATGAACAACGGATGTTTGAAAGGGATCTACAGAATGGGTCCATTACACTTGACAGTACTAGGGAGTTCTGGAAGTCAAATCTTACCATGTTTGGTGCTACCGACTCACAGCCAATCATGGGCAAGATCTATGCTCAGGGAATGGTTGATCTTGTGCTGAGCAACACAATCACTTCCCAAAGACGTATTCCCGAGACTCTCCATGCTGACTATGCTAGGCTTGGACAGCTCCGATCTCAAGGCTTCAAGATTGCCGCTACTGCTTCAATATTGCTTACTGCAAAAAATCTCCTGAAACGCGATGTGCGATCTCAATGGAAGAGCGAGGCAGATCGAATTTTATCCCTAGACTGGCACGATATCAAGGCTGAGCGTATTCAATCAATCATCGATTCCACTCATCCGATGCCCACAGCGGCCAGGTCCCAGCTCTTGAGCACAATAAAGCGTGTGGTTGGCCCAGCTCTGGTCGCAGCAAATGCAGCGTCTGCGCTTGCGCCTCCTAGTTTATCCGTCACCACAACATTCCAGTCTTTCACTGTCAGGCCGTGCCCCAGCCCATCAGACGCTGGCTCTGATTCCTCGGGCAACCCCACATCCTTTACAGATCCGGTGGCTCGACTCATGCTCACTAGACTTCGATCTCATATTCTAGCTCGTTTGAGCGCCACAAACACCAGAGAACGAGTGAAGATGACCACCACTGCAAGCCAAGGACTTGCCAGTGCCGGAATGCCTGAGTTTGTTAGTGAAGTGGGCAAAATCGTGGAAACTCTTGACAAAGTCCGTGAGGTTGACTGGTTGTGTCATGGACTTGTCCACGAGAAGATCTGGCATGAGATCTCCGCCAGCGCCTGACGGGATTACTTTATCTCTCTTTCACTTCTTCTACTTGGATATTTCCTATATTCCTTTCCCCTTTTTTCCTTATGTCCTCTAAACCCATTTCTTTTGGCCTAGACACAAGGAGTTGTATTTTTAGTGTCGTTTGGTTCAAGGTCATATATATCATCCCGAATGGCTGCGAAGCTATAACTATACTAACCTTCTGCTAATTACTACACCTGTGTGGCTTTTCCTATCAAGTCTCCCTATTGGGTCCAGAGATTGTTTTCATTTCTCTCCTTTTCTCTCTCTTAACTATATAGCAAATTGCTGAACATGGTCGATATCAACCTATATGATTGTACAGTCGTGATTATGTAATAACTTGCTAAGAAGGTTGATGTCACATGTTGCTTAACTACTTTTAAGCGTGAGGTCGTTCCTTGGTCAAATTAGTTAACAGCTTTCAAGGGGCATTCAAGAAGAGTAGCAAGATAAACCCCAACGGAACAACACAGCACCAGCGCTTGATCGATATCTGCTTGCTGCGCAAAAGCTAGTGAGTTGAGTGTCCTTGGGCACAAGGAGTCTTTATGGAATACTCTACCTAAACCGTCATGGGTGCGACCCGGATGTGGAATGGGGAGAATGGTCGCAAAACACCGTGATATCCTCTTTGCATGTGTGGGTGGCTTCGTCGCATGGGGAGTCATAACAAGCTGGTATCCATTGATACGCTTTATTGGATACTCGTTCCTGTTAGGGGCAGCCGCTACTTTGACCTCTCTCGTTGTGATTCTCATCATTAGTGTTAAGCGTCCTTGTTACGGCTCCGGCTCTTCGAGACTATGTGGCCAACCCGTGGCCTTCCTATCTCCCGATAACTGGAAGCAAGATTTGGAAGACTACAAAGACAACACCAGCTACCAACCTACGCCCCTTTATCCGCAGTCGTTTATCGTTTCCGCGGCGCTGGATGAGTTGTTGAATTTAATCAGGAGGGATTTCATTGAGACGTGGTACCAGCACATCAGCAGCAACCCCGGTTTTGCTGACGAGATTGACTCTATAGTGAGGGAAACAGTTGGGCGCATAAGAGACTGGCTGTCGAAAGAGGATTTCGTGGAAATATTTGTCGCGAGGATCGTTCCTATCTTCACCAGCCATTTGAAAGACGTCGACCTCGCAGAACGAGCTGTGAGAGGCAGAAATCTGAACCATGGAGTGACGGAATCTGAGGAGCTGGAGATAGCAATTGCTGCTAGATATCGAGAAGGGAATCTTCATCCGGCTGCTGCGAGATCTTCGCCAGACGTGGCGCATGTGCAACAGGAACACTTGCGAAAGATCGTAGTGGCTCTTTTGCCCACGATTCTACCTGAAAGCCAAGCAAACAGTAGGGCGGTATTAGTTCTCATCCGAGAAATTATAGCATGCGGCATTTTATTTCCTTTAATTGGCGTCCTTGCGGATCCGGATACATGGAACCAGCTGATGGAAGCCTATGGCCGAACAGCCCTCCAGGACCGCAAAACCGTCAGGAGACTACGTGAAGCACTAGATCAACATGCCTTACCTCCAGCAAAGTCCAAACAAGGACACATGTTCCCAAAACTAGGCCCAAATGACTCCGAAAGGGAATTTGAACGTTTCGTGAGGGGCATCCGTCGCTGTAATAACTTATCTGACGCGAGGAGATTTAGGAACAATGTTGCCAGCCAACTCAAGCGTGAAACAATGTTTGATGGACACGATCCAATCTATATCCGGCGTCTAGAAACAGCAAAGAGGGCTTTGGACCAGAAAGTTGCAAAGCTATCAACTCCAAATGGTTCTGGAAATGCCCAGCCATCCATGTCAGATCAGGCATACCAAAACGCTTCGAGGCCGCAGAACATCTCCTTGGTCGATGTTCTGCATAATGCGGCGGGCCTGTCGTATTTCATGGAATATATGGACCGTCTGGGCCTCATGTCCTTGGTTCAATTTTGGCTAGTGGTAGATGGATTCAGAAACCCGTTAGAGAACGATGTGGGAGACGATTTGACTTCTGCACCTTCGTCTTGGACCACTGCAGACAGGAATGACATGATTCTGATAAGTGAGAACCACTTGTCAAAACCGGAGCTGAAAGTTGATGAAGAATCTCAGAAGATTGTTAAAAGCTTCATTTTAGCTGGTAAGCGGGCGACGCCAGAGCAATACTGGAAGGCAAGGAAGGCGGTTCTAGCAGCTCAGTCTACAGTCCTTGAGAGTATGAAGTCCAAGTATTATCCTGGGTTCAAGAAATCAGACCTCTATTACAAGTACCTGGCTTCAGATGAGGCAGCTGCTACGACCAGTATTGTATCCCCTTATAAACAACCAAATAAGCCAGCCCTGGCCCGGTCTCACACCTCAGGGAATTACCCGCCATCCGGGGTATCTTCACCCATGCTTCGAACCGACTCTCAGTCTAGCACAAAACAAGAATTGCGCCGGAAACATTCACTATTCAGCTCTGAGACACTTGATACTGGGCGACCTGCAGACCCTGACCACTTACCACTTTTTGGTGACGATGTTGAGCCAGAAAACCTAGAGTCATCCACCTACAGCCTTGGTAAAGATTCTCAAAGCGGAGAGGCAGAGGTGCAAGAAAAAAAGATCCTGGAAAATATGGAGGCTGCTCTCAATGATATCATCTCGGACACCCCAAATGACTTCAAAGCCGATGGCCCAAGGAGTAGCTTACCATCACCGTCGCCCAGAGCCTCGATTGATATGGGCCGTATGGACGGGCAGGCAGCCGAGAAGGGGAAACCCAGCATATCGTCGTTGGGCCTGGTTAATACATCTTCACGTATTGGAGTTTTTACCGACGATGATTTATTTCCTGATCAAGAAAAATTCATTGAAGATGAATATGCAGATCCAGACGTGCCTGAACCCGATATACCCATAGAAGAAGAAATCCATGAGGCAGCACCGGGAGACTTGGGCCTTACAGAAGCAATATCCGCTTTGACAGCCGATATAGAGAAGCTTGTTTCGCAGGAGTCCGTGATTGACTCCCTCACCAGAAAAGCTGAATTGACAAACAATGTGGCTGAACTGCGTATTTTAGGGAAATCCAAATCTAGCTTAAGAAGGGAGATTAGGCGTAAAGAAATGCAGAGGCAGCAGTACATCGTGCAAGAAAGTGATAACAGTTTATACGGACGGTCGACCGTTCAGATTCCGTCAATCCTTCTCAACAAAGAGCCAGATGGCCGCGAGTATGCTTTATGTGAGTTGTATCTTGCTTGTTAGTATTGTAATACCTCGCCCCTTCTGACTTGTAGCTACTTTTCTATTTTAGATGTGATTGAAGTGAAGCGGCAGGCGGGTGAACAGATGCCGGTGGCATCATGGGCAGTTCCTCGAAGATACAGCGAGTTTCACGAGTTACACCAACGGCTTCGAGCAAGATATCCTTCCGTGAGGAACCTTGAGTTTCCACGACGGCGTATGGTAATGAAGCTCCACAAAGATGTCCTCAACAAGCGTCGAGTTGCATTGGAAGCATACCTGAAGCAGATCCTGCTTCTACCTGATGTATGCGGCAGCCGTGATCTCCGTGCATTCTTGTCTCAGCGAGCGATTGCACCTACTCGAGAAGAGTCTGGAGATGGGGAAACTAGGGATATTGTCACTCGGCTTTATAATTCGGTGGCGGACGGTATGGATGATTTCCTTGGAAACATCGCTGTGCTTGACCAGCTTTCTACAGCTGGGCAGAACCTCATTTCTGCTGCAACGAACCAGCTGAGTGCCTCTCAAGCTGCAGGACTGGGCCTTGATGAGGCTACTACTTCGGCAGAAGCAGAGGCAGAGCTAAACGCGTTTGAAGACCGAGAACTAGAACCCTTTATCAAACCAATCTGCGATATCTTCCTGGAGATATTTGAGCTGACAAGAGGTAACAACTGGCTTCGTGGAAGAGCAGCTGTTGTTGTGCTGCACCAGCTGCTCGGGGGAACGATCGAGCGTAAAGTACGAGAGAATGTTAAGTCACTGCTACAAGATTCGTCTTTACTACACTATATTGGGCTTATAAGGGATACCATGTGGCCGGACGGGAAGCTTTGTGGGGTCAAGGTTCGGACAAGCTCGGAGAAGATGAAGAGCCGGACAGAAGCGGGTGTGATGTTAGCTACTTTGATACCAGAAATGGCAGCGGGTGTCGTTGGACGGGCAAATGCACAGGCTGCTGCCCGACGGATATTTTCGACGCTGAACAATCCACGGCTGAACCTACATCTTGTTTATACCATCCTTGATGAGATTCTTCTCATTGTAAATGGGAGATGAAATGTGTGTTATAAATATACGTGTATATCAACAGACCGTTTAAGAGGGAGACTGAAAGTGGGAAGAGAAGTTTCATAGAAAGAAGAGAGTTTCAAATTAACTCAATACGATGACTTGACGCCCCTTGTGACAGAGAGTATCTAATGCCAGTTTGCTAGCCATACATAATGAAGACGACCCATGAATCACGATGAATCACGAATAACGGTGACAGCTGAATTAATTGGGGGGGGGGGGGAGGAGCAGAGATCCTACTCGGCGGCGGTACCCTTCTTTTTGCTCTTCTTGGGTGGTGGTGCGCCTTCCTTCTTTTGATGTACAATGAGTCTTGTCCATGACTCCTCTTTGTCCCACTCGAATCCAGCTAGGATGGGGTTATCTAGTTCGTCATCGGCCTAGAAAGAGGGTTTAACAACAGATCTCTCATACGGGCGGCTAGAATCTTACCTTCTTTCTGAATTGCTTGTAGATAGCATCGAGGGCATCCTTGATAGTTACGCCCTTGAGATTTCGGGCAGTGACCTCAAGGCCAAGTGGGAAGTGTAGGTCAATCTTCTTGACGGGGGGTGTGGTGAGGAACTTCTTGAGGGCATCCTTGTCCTCCAGGGATGCAGGTGAGGTGTTTAGCTTCCTGTATGCCTTGGTCAGCACCACGCGGGCCACCCGTACATAGTATAGCTATCAACTTTTGTGCACACAAAGAAAGATGACCTTCTTACCAGTTGAGCTTCTGTGTTTCTATGGCTATTTGGAGCTCGATCCCTTTTTCTTCTGCACGGTTGAAGCAGAGAAACATAAGCAATGCTATCCCTGGATCCAAGGGGGGATTTGTAGTGGAAGATGGGTAACATACCTAGGTCCTTGATGTTCATGACATCAGGGTTTGCACCCTTCTTCGTCGTCTCTTTCTTCTTGCTCTCTGCTGACGGGGGAAGGCCGGCAACGGCGGAGTCGACCTTGGTGAGGGTAGCCATGATGGATAGACGGATGGAGATAGGGCGAGGTAGAGATCGTGCTGGAGTTGAATGCCTGGCCCGGCTATATGTTAGTAGTGGAACGAAGCCACGAACCCAACGCTCAGGGCAGAGAAGAGAGACGGCTGGACGATACCAATGGAGGCCTTGTGCGGTGCTGTAATTGAAGCGAGCCTGAGAGGACGCGATGCTGTGAGGTTGGGAGTGTTGTCGTTGTCGTTGGCGTTGTTGTAGCTGCTGTGCTGGCAGAGCAGGAAGAAGAAGAAGAAGAGAAGGAGAAGAGGCAGAAAGGGGAGAAAGCGGGGTAGTTTATATACAAAGCAGCTACGCAACCGGCCGTCCGAAAGGGGAAAGGGAGCAGGCCGGTACCTCAGCAGGACCTCGCGCTGCCGCCAGCCGCCGCCGCTGCCGCAAAGTACCGCGCAAGTACCGCGCAGGTCACGCTCTCGCCTGGGGGGGACGCCGGCCGCAAAGTCACCTGAGCTGGCGTCACACCATCCGGAGCTTAAGCATGCCTAGGTCGCTACTGGGGGCAGGCCTACCTGGGTGCTTATAGTTGTCCTGATAGTGTTGCGCTGCCTTGCTCCGGGGGAACGCGGCCTTGTCTCTCCTGCAGCCGGTCTCACCCAGCACCTGCACCCGGCCCCGTTTGATACGACGCTCAAGTTAGGCTGCGCATCGTGCTCGCAGCCATCGCCCGTCGTGATGGCTAGTTACAGCTTGCTCCCTGTCTTTGGGGGGGGAGCTTCTCGCGCATGGCCTGATCTGTGGCATGATGCTGCCTCTCGCCCTCGCTCGCCCTGCCGCTGCATAATTAGCTGTCGTCTGTTATGATGCCATGATGGAGCAGGGATGCGCAGATTACATAAGTAGCGGCATGCACCCCGCATCCCGCTTGCCCCGAAGCGGAAATTCGGCGGACGACCCGGTGGAGCGCTCCACCTTTTGTCCGCATTGAGCTTCACGTGATTTTATGATGACTAAATGATTATTAACAAATCACATGACACATTTAGTCAGCTTTGCGTAATCCTCGAGCTTCTTTTTTTTCTCCCTTGGACGTTGAAGTTGGAATGACATACCAAACAGTCTAAATCTCAGCTGCAGCTCAGTTGGTTGAACGCGCTGCACCGAGGGAAGGAGGATTCCGGCTCTGCCTACTGTTAGTGCTTTGCATTGGGCTTCGTTTACCGGCGCGTTCTTTGTTCACTTTCCTTCTGATACCTAGAGTGTTTTGATTTTTGATTTCCTCTTACGATACGCTACAATGACGGGCCTGTTTGGCAACATCTCCTCCAATACTGCCGCAGCGACCTCCACAACAACGGGCGATATCTCAAAAGACGTAGCCCTGGTTGCGCCGCCAGAGGATAGCATTTCAGACCTAGCCTTCTCCAGTCAGAGCGACCACCTAGCCGTTGCATCATGGGACAAGAAAGTGCGCATCTACGAGATCAATGAGCAGGGGATGAGCGAAGGAAAGGCCATGTTCGAACACCAGGCACCCGTTCTTAATTGCTGCTGGTCTCCGGTACGTTCTTGAGGGTAACCCGCCGTTCAAGGCATATATATCCAGCTGTACATGCTAACCGTTCTTTTAGGATGGCTCAAAAGTGGTTGGTGTCGGAGTAGACAAAGCTGCCCGTATGCTTGACCTTCAGGGTAACCCTACCACTCCTGTCCAGGTCGCTGCTCATGACGCGCCCATCCGAAGCTGCTGCATGATTCAAAACCCGGGAAACTCGGCTCAGCCGCTCCTCGTCACTGGCTCGTGGGATAAAACCGTTAAATACTGGGACCTAAGGCAGTCTACCCCAATTGGGACTCTACAGTGCCAGGAGAGAGTCTACTCCATGGACGTTAGCAAAACTCTACTCGTTGTTGCCACAGCCGACAGGTATATCAACATCATCGACCTCAATCAACCAACGAATATCTACAAAGTCATGCAGTCTCCACTCAAGTGGCAGACACGGGTTGTGAGCTGCTTTACCGACGGAACAGGGTTCGCTATAGGAAGTATCGAAGGCCGATGCGCCATTCAATATGTTGAGGAAAAAGACTCGAGCTCGAATTTCAGCTTCAAATGCCACCGTGAAACCCCCCAGGGCCAATCAAACGTGAGCAACGTTTATTCTGTCAACTCTATTGCTTTCCATCCTCAACACGGCACATTCAGCACTGCTGGGAGCGACGGAACCTTCCACTTCTGGGATAAAGACGCAAAACATCGTCTCAAGGGTTATCCATCCGTCGGAGGCACAATATCCACTTCAACATTCAACAGAAACGGTAATATTTTTGCGTATGCCGTTAGCTATGACTGGAGCAAAGGTTATACTGGCAACACCCCCCAGACACTGAACAAAGTCATGATGCACCCAGTCACGCCGGAGGAAGTAAAACCAAGAGCAACATCGGCAAATGCACGAAGGAATAGATAATCCCATTTTGTTTGCTTTCATACTTCTTCCTCAAACATCCCCCTTTGACCGTGATCTCACCTACATACTCCGTAGTTTTCCCCTCTGTTCTAATGAAAATGACGAACATCATGTACTCTTGTAAAGCGCAAAAACTTCAAACTGACATCCCTATGATAATTACAACTACTTCTACCTTACTGATCTCGGAAACAAGACTTGGGGTGCATTTACACATGTCCTTTAAAAGAAACGTCTAATAATAGACTGGTCTGACTTGCTATAAATTAGAAACTAAAAAAAAAAAAAAAAAAAATTCTAATCCATCTGCTGCTCAGGACGTTGGTAATGTCACCTGAGAAACACCCTCAGCAACCTCCTCCACGGCCTTGTCGCCAATTGAAGCTGCTACAGCACCCGCTCCATCCTTGGCTGACGCCTCTACAGGGCCTTCACTGCTGGTAGCTTCGTTAGTTTTGGATTTCTGCTGCTTCTTCTTGGTCTTTGCCGCCTTCTTTGCCGCCTGCTTTGCTTTCTCTTCCTCCTTTTTCTGTCGCTCAGCTTGAGACCCGCCAAACATTTCCCTCCACTCGTCGGCCTTTTTGACATCGATGTTGCTGAAAAGGTACTTCGCCTTACCGACGCGGTGGCCAGGCTTGATAGCTGTAGGCTTCCACCCATCTTTGATGTCATCGAGGCTTGGTATTAGACCAGCCGGGGCGTTCAACTGGTCAAGGATAGAAGCGGAAGTCGCAGGGAGATATGGACAGAATACGCTCGAACAAAGATGAATCAAATTCACCACAATGCCAACTACCGCTGCGGCACGTTCCGGTTCATTCGCAATAAGCGAATTATCAAGCTTATTAGCCTGGATTAGGCCATTTCCTGCCTCGGCGATCTTCATGGCTGTAACAATGCCAGCACGCAAGTGAACCCCTTCCATTTCATTGATGTATTGGCGTAGAAGGCTGGTTACTTCCTCAAGAGCTGGGTAGAAAGGCTCAGAGACAGTGAATTCCGGGATAACCGAGCTGTATGCCTTTGGACTAGCAACCAGCTTAACAACTCGGTTAACCAGGTTACCAAGTTTCGCAAGTAACTCTCCGTTATTACTGTCGATAAAAGACTTCCATTCAAATTGTGTATCTCCGGTTTCTGGGCGATTCTTAAGTAGGTAGTATCTCCACACATCTGATGAGACTCCTGTTTCCTTTGCATTATTGCCGAAAACTCCAATCCCACGAGATTTGCTGAATTTTCCGCCTTCATAGTTGAGATATTCAGTTGTACTTAGATGGTGTAGCATCGTCCACTTGTCCTTAGTACCCAGCTGACATCCTGGGAATATAACAGCATGGAATGGCACGTTATCCTTCCCGAGAAACTGGTACAACTGGACATCTTCTGGGTTCCTCCACCATTTCTCCCATTCAGAGGTATAGTTGGCAGTGATAGAAGGGTATCCAATACAAGCCTCAAACCAAACGTATAGAACCTTCCTCTCAAATCCATCTAGTGGCACGGGCACGCCCCATTTCAAATCTCGTGTGATCCCGCGAGGTTGAAGGCCTTCCTTTAGCCACGACCCAGTGATAACACGGCTATTCTTTGGCCAGTCTCCCTTTTCAAACGCAGTGGCTACCCAATTCTCAATTTCAGGCTGGAGCTTGTCTAGAAGGAGAAAGATATGCTTCGTCTTTCGACGAATCGGGGTAGCGCCATCGACCTTGCAGCGTGGGTTTATCAGATCAAAGGGATCAAGCAGGTGCTGGCACTTGTCGCATTGGTCGCCTCGAGCGTCATCATAGTGGCAGCGAGGGCATTCACCCTCTACAAAACGGTCGGCAAGGAATGAGTCATGCTTTTCACAAAAGGGTTGTTCCGTGGTTTTCTCTTCTAGATATCCATGTTCATAGAGTCTTTTGAAGATACTTTGGGATATCTCAGTGTGGGCTTTTGTTGGCGTGCGACCAAATATGTCGAATCCTATATTGAACCACGAATAGACTTCCTGGTGTATTTTGTTATACTTAGAGCAGAGCTCCTCGGGGGTGACGCCTTCTTCCAAAGCCTTGGTTTCGGTCGCGGTGCCGTACTCGTCCGTTCCACAGACGTAAAGCGTTGGTCTGCCGCATGCTTTATTATACCTATGTAAAGACTCCTCGTGTTAGTAGCAGTCGGTGAAATTCCTCCCAAAATGCTCACGCGGATTACTGACCTCGAAAACACATCGGCACTCAAAACGGAGCCAACAATGTTACCAAGATGCGGGACGTTGTTCACATAGGGCAAGGCACTTGTGATGAGGATGTTCCTTTTCCCCTGCTGGGGTAGGATCTTCGCTGTTGGCTCCATAGTCGAGTTCAAGTTGCCGTGAGAGAAGTGGGATAGATGAAATTTAGTGGGGGGTGGGTGGTGTTTTTTTAACTCGTTATCGATGAGGCTCAAGCGTAGAAGTCGAAGAATTGGCGCTTGTGACTAACAATTAGTTAACTTAACTAGTTAACTAACTAGTTAACCCACAAACGCCTCCAAGACAGCTCTTTTTTCCGTGACAACGAGCTGTGCATGGCAGGTCTGACACATGGAAATGGATAATGGCCATTTTCTCGATGATATCCTTGGCCTCGAAGACGAGTTTTACGCAGAAGGCTACCGGCTAGGGACGCTTGACGGGACAAAGGCGGGCTTCAACGAAGGCAGCGTCTTCGCCGTCGAAAAGGGCTTTGAAAAGTTCCAAGCCATAGGGAAGCTCTACGGGAAAGGGATAATATGGGCGAAGCGGTTACCAAACCAGCCGGAAATTGTGAAAAGCAGCACCGTCCAGCCGCCTCATACGAGCAGCGATGAGACCCGGGACAGTGTGTTGTTGAGTGGTGATGCTAAGTTGGGTGAGCTGGAGGCACGCCCTATACCAGCGCAGGATCTGCCGGCCCTTCCCAGCAACCCACGACTAGAGAAACACATCGCGACTTTCCTTTCGCTGGTGAACCCCCTCACATTATCTATGGAGAACAATGAAGAAGCTGTGGCCGACTTTGACAATCGATTGAAAAGGGCTGCGGCGAAAGCGAGGATCATCGAGAGGATGCTCGGCGAACCAAGCGAGCATACCGCTGAGCGCTCTGCGGGAGCCAGCAACATCGAAGATATCAACTCACTGCCAGCTCATCTCACTAGTAGCCAGCAAACTCGAAACTGCGCCCCCGTGGTTCAGCTTTGATCAAAGCTGGGGACTCGGTTCTTGATGGGAAGGGGTGTCTTCCATTTCTCTCCCGTTCTACTTGGCTCAGCGCCTTCTGACATCAAACACACTGGCAAAATGCTCACAACTTTGGCCATAGATCGCTGGTTAATAAAATGCCTTCAATTCATTTCAAGAATATAACTATCTAGGCTGTTAAATGCCTCAAGTAAAATTATGAATAATTGTTAACATAACTAGCCAACATTAGTCAGGTAACTAGCTAGTTAAGCGGCCATGAATAGTTAACTAATTTACTACCAAAAAAAAAACCAGTTAACTAGCTACTTAACATGCCCACTTGAACAATCTTTCCTTTTGAGAAGCATCTCTAGGTGCTTCTGCCTTTTCTGTTTTCTCTATCTCTAGAAAAGCAGTTTCAGCATGCCTATCAAAATTTCCCACCTTGCAGACCTCACACCGGCGCCGCAAGAGAGGTTGTGGCATTCATGCCCCCACCCTCAGCTCCCAATTGTTGCAACTTGTGGCGCGGATAAAATTATTCGCATCTACTCTCTCCTAAATTTCACGTTAATTTCCTCAATAACTGGCGGCCATAAGCGGAGCGTCCGCTGTTCGGCGTGGAAACCCGGCTCTGGTGAAGAAATTGTCCTTGCAACTGCAAGTTTTGATGCAACTGTCGGTATATGGAAACGGTGGGAGCGGCTTCAACCCACCTCTACCAGTGTGTCCCAGGACCCGGAAGCACACGACGACGGTGAGGATATACTCTCTGCCACTGGGGATGAAAGTGAAGACAAAGACGACTGGACGTTTGCTGTTGTACTTGATGGACATGACAGTGAGGTGAAAGCTGTCTCCTGGTCATCCTCTGGCTCTCTCCTTGCAACCTGTTCTCGTGACAAATCAATATGGATATGGGAAGACCTAGAAGATGGCGAGAGTAACTTTGAAACCATTGCTGTTCTGCAGGACCATCAGGGTGACGTTAAGTGTGTTTCCTGGCATCCAGACGAGGATCGCCTCGCTAGTGGTGGCTATGATAACACCGTTCGACTATGGAGGGAAGATATAGATGATTGGAGCCAAGTTGCCTGCCTTAACGGCCACGAAGGTACTGTGTGGTCGGTTGATTGGGAAACATCAGCACCCTCTGGAACAAGTACAAATGATATACCAGGCATGTCATCCATCTCCCGCTGCGAGGAATCATTACGACTGAGGACAGATACCGGTCGGCATGAACCACGGCTTGTGTCCTGTTCAGACGATAAGACTGTCCGTGTTTGGAAGAGATTGTCAGATCCAGTAATATCAACACCCCAGACCTTGGACAATAGTATACGCGGCACAATACGACCCAACTCCATCGAAGAGATGTGGGTTCAAGAAAGCATTTTGCCGAATGAGCATGATATGTCAATCTACTCCGTTGCGTGGAGCAAGGTTACCGGTCTTCTTGCGTCTGCTGGCGCGGATGGAAAGATAGTAATATATCAAGAACGCCGAAAGCTGGGTCGCCACTCTGGTGGTGAGTTGGGTGAAAATGCAACTGAATCTCAGAGAGATACTACTCTTACGGACGAACAGCAGGATCCAGGCAAGTCTAGCCCGGAGACGGAATGGTGTATTCTATCTACAATAGAGGCAGCGCACGGCGTAAACGAAATAAACCATATATGCTGGGCAACGAGAGGAGGCCTGAAGGCAGATTCACCAATACAGGAGATACTCTTAACCACAGGAGATAATGGCATTGTAAAGGCCTGGATATTAAAAACGGGTTAATATTAATTAGTTGATAAATAGTTAGTTATTGAAAATATTAACTATTAACTAAATCTAATTACTATAATGACTACAGGATTATGCGATCAGAAGGGCCGGTCACTGGAGTTTAAAAAATTCTATATTTGATAGCTAAATAATTATTAAAGGAAGTATGAGCAGACAGCATTGAAGTCCTCAGTTTATACAGGTATTTAGCTATAATTTGATTAATGGTTATTCCATTGCCGTTTAGCTATGGTGTATGATCACGTTTAAGCATATACACTAGCCCTTTATTAGTACTTTCAATTGCTGCCTTACACTGCTTTAACGGATAATTTGAAACCTGACGTCCTTATAGACGCGAGATCATGTCATAAGCTTATTCTTGTCCTATAACTATGACTTCGGTCACAACACCGCAGGGGATGCTGTAAAGGATCTCCAACTCAGCAGTTCAAGCTTATTACGGTTAACATCAACACCTGGACAAATCTGATACCCTGGGACTTTGTCCAAGGCCTTTCCTCTTACTTTCATCACACGCAGGACTCGAACACCAGTTGACACCGAGGTCATGTTTCCAGGTAGCTACCAAGCTCAGTTGACTATATATAGCTAATCATCTTACTTTTAATCCAGTCCCCCGATTCCCCTCCACACACAGACCAGGAAAGCCCAACATTATATATTTCAGATTGTATGAAGTTGGAGACATGGAGGAAGGGACGACAGAGCAAAGAGAAAGGTTCTTAGCGGGAGTGCCCGAAGATACCAATAGATACAGATATTCAGGGCTAGAGGACGCTGAAATAAAAGTCTATGGGGAACATAGGAGCTCATATGTTATCTGCACAGATGTCCCTCAGCCTGAAGTTGACAAGATTGATAGCAAACATCTGGGGAGGCTTGACTACCAACGTTTCTTACAAATAATGGTTGTGAACATGCCCAGCGTCCCACATGAAGAAGCTCTCAGCCGCTTCAGTAACCTCGTTACCTTAAAAGCGGATAGGATGCTTTAATGGCCCTATCAATCAATTGACATAAATAAAAACAACTTGTAATATTGATATTACCTCATGGGAACGGGACATTATGCCTGCTAGACATCATCCAAAACCTAGATCCAAAAGTGGTACAAGAGATGAAGATATTTCGGGGCAAGAATGGCCAGCCCGCAAGAGTGAAGGGTGTTGACTTGGGTATACCTTTCTGAGCCATGTTGCTTCGTTCGCCCAATATGATACAGGGAGAACGTGATTTTAATTTTTTTTTTACCACGAAGGAGCTCCTACAACTGGCCGAAGCTGTACGGGAAGATATGGATCATGGTATGTGACAAGGAAACAATAAAAATTCCTTCCAGTCAGAAAATAATTAACATGAATATTAATGGTAGGCGGGGATTTAAAGTTGTAGAAACATTGGTAACTAGTGCTGAAATAAAAACAGCGTAATTTCGTAGCGAGCTTTTCTCTCATTTCTCTAGACATCTGTCGGGGTTTAAAGCCATCGAGTTTATACAAACAGTACGAAGCGTTCTATATACATGCTGGCGGAATCTGAGGCTGCTCAACAGGAAAGGAGAGATTCTAATAGAGCTTATTAGGTTTCCAGAAGCACGATGGCTCAAAGTTTGGATCTTCAATGTCTGTTTGTATATTTTGGTCACCAGGGGTGGCTGGATCTGTTGGCTGCAATGCAGAAAGTGTCCTCAGCTGGGAGGGTGGCGTACATAGAAGATCCCTGTCAGGCTCAGACGGAGTCCTCAAACTTTGAGTTTCACCATCTAGCAGATGTATTGAGCTATCTCTCCTGGAAGATAGAGTGTTTAGGTCTAGCGTTTCAGACGGAGGGTTCTTTGGTAAATTAAAAGGCGGTGGGGAGCCATAAAGGCAATACTGACGGCTGAACGTAGATGAATAGCTGGGTAATTGCAATGAAGGGACTTTTAGTGGTGTACTAGGACCCGGTGCGAGTGTTGGGTTGGAGCTTTGACATGTGAGCCTTTTCTGGCTACGCTGGTTCAAAGAACGTTGGACATTATCATCGCCCGCCTCACAGTCTAAAGGATAAGAGCCACGGTTAGGTGGGTATTGTCGTGGGCGTGGTATTGTAAGATGACTGGTATAGTCACAACTAGATGGGAAACCATAAATAGCTGGGTGAGGTATATCCTCAACACTTGGCCAAGGGCGATTTAATATTTTGCCCAAGCTGCCCCGCCTCTTGTGCTCTGTATCCCTTGATGAAGGGAGAAGTTCTTCATGAAACCTTGGAGATAAGAGTATATTCGCCCCCCTTTTACTGGCCCTTCCGGAACGATAACATTGCCTCCAGGATGGCTCTTGGGTCAAGGTCTCCCTTGACTTTGAATGTTGATAATGGTGCGGTTGGGCTTGCAGGCAAGCAGCGCTGGTAGGGTGGGAAGAAGGGGGTATATTGGTCTGATACGGTATTGGAGATGTTTCTGCCGCTTTTCGAAGCAAGCCTTCGAGAGAGTATGACTTTGGTGAGGGATGTGTTTCAGTGTGTTCAAAAGTGTTAGAAACGTATGCGTTATGAAACAGCATATCTTGCACTTTTGAGTTCATTTGGGAGGAGCCCGCGCTGATAGAACGTCTAAGCTGTCTGGAAACGCCGTCTGCCTGGCAGGGCTCTTTGGGATCGCTTGATGAGATTTTTGAGTTTGTCTTGGACCACGTATAGTATGTAGTAGACTGCTCACTTCCGGCAACATTACTCCCAGCCTCTGACAAGGTCCTTTTCCTGCTATAATTGGGGTTTCGAGGTCTTTGTTTGCTCCAATTAGTGGGAGAAACAGAGTGTTCAGGATCCGCTATTGAACATGGTGATGCTTTATTTTTTATGGATATCGGCAACTCTAGATCACAGGGGCGGTTCTTTAACTGCTTACAGACAGGACGCAGTGGGCTTTTCGGCTGCGAAGGTGAAAAATACTTGGAGATAGTGTTCTGCTGACTTGGATGAAACGGATTCCTCTTGTCCAAGTCTGCGCAGTGGGGTATCGAGTCATGGCGAGTCTTTGAGTGAGAAGATAGGAAGTTAAGCTCGGGGAAAGAGAGATCGGGAACTGCTGATGAAGGCAATTAGTAGATAGTAATAAGACAGGAAGGGTGGGGATATCTCACGTTCATTTCGTATAACCGGAGACGAAGCTCGGCCGCGTCTAAAGAGGCCACCAGCAGCTACGCTAAGCTTCCCGAGTGCATTAGCAATGTAACTAGCACCACCTATGTGGCTATTATCCGTACCGTAAGCCGCTCTTGAGAAATATTTGGAGGTTTAAAATTATCTTTGATGGCTGTGGTTCCGGATCTCCGGCAAGATTCCAGCCGTCTTATCTGACGATGGGTCTTGCTTGGTCTTCGCGCTGTTCTAGGCTCGTACCGATCTTCCCTCGTTTTACGCCTAGGCTGGCGCTGGTATCGTGGGCTTTTGCCCAGTCTGTTAGGTCTAGGGCTACTGTGCACGCCCATCTTTGCCGGTTTGCCAAGGCTAGTATTATTCTGAGATTGGGATATCAAAGGTTGGCAAATTAGAGTTGACCTGGGTATATGTGAGCTTGTCAGCTCAAACAAGAGAATAGCAGGTCAAGGCCGTAAGCCCAAGGTTGATTCGAGTACCTGGGGCGATATTGGGCTGGTGTCCGCAAGAGTATGCGACTGAGTGGTGGGCAACTTAGTTGTCACAGGCCAAGTGATAAGGTTAAAACCCCAAAAAGGGTAATTCAACGTCCTCCCAGAGAGGCAGCTTCCTCTCTGAAACGGATATTGAGTGTCAATCAGCAGGATCTCATTAGCTCTAATGGCGATAGTTAAGGACCTTACAATCTCCATCACTGGGAGCCTTCCCTCAATTAACTAGACGGATGGGTCCTAAGATAGAAAACATGTAGATTTAATCGTATCTCTTGGGCTTGTGGTGCAGTCGTCCAGGTTGCTTAAATGGGAGGGATTTCAATGTTAACTGTATCTCATTTAAACCGCTATGGAATATAGCACTATCAAAGAAGCTTCCAAGATTAGAAACACGAGAGGCTAGCAGGGCTTTTTTCTCCAAGCCTCAACACCAGTTTAGCCAAGGTGAGTATTTAGATACGCAAAACTCAGTGATAAAGGGCCGTTTCTTCACCGCTTGTTGTCCTGACAAGTTCGTAACATCATGTTTTGTCCTTCAAGCCTTGCGACCTGAAGTTTGAGTTCGTCCCGTTCCCTGAGGGCATCCGCCAGCTGTTTCTCTAGGCTACAGATTCGATCTTCCTTTCTTTTGCGAAATCTGCGAGCAGCCATGGTATTACGGTGCCGTTTCTCGTTGGCGATTTCCTCTGTAGAACGACTATCATCATCTACACGTGGCCGTTTACGGTTGCTGCTTGACTTGGTGGTTGAGCTTGAAGATGATTCGGGGCTGAGACCAATTTCGGGGACAGTGGTGCTCGAAAATTCGGGTCTTGACAGTGGAGTACGGGACGAATTCCTTGTTGTTACTGTTGGGACACTATTCACATCACGAAAAGAGTCCCCGGCATCGCCGGCTAGGTGGATATCAAGGAGGCATGAATCAGAGTCTTTCATGGAGTGTAAGGAGCCGTCCTTAGACACTGGCGTTTGAATGGGACTATGATCGATGGATGGTGTAAGGATCTGACTCTGGGAATTGCTTAGATTGAGTTCCCCAGTAGAAAGCAGTGCTTGCAACGGGTCGTCGTAAAGTTCCCAACTCTGTGAGGACAGGTCTAGGATATCCTGTCCTGTAGAAAGAGGGTATTGATCCTGGGTAAGGTATGTTGTATGATCTGTAAAGAAAGCGGCAAAATGGTCTGGTGACGGGAAAGGGGAAGAAGAATGCGCAATCGGCGGAGCAAGCGAGGAAGAAGTAGGCGGAAAAGGAGAAAAATGGTTGCTGATACTTGTTGACGAGGACAATGAAGGATGACTGAATAGCGACTGAGAATGATTAGGCGCGCAGGTACCGAGCTGGTCGCAATCAAGACGGCCACTTGGTAGTGGAGACGAGGCACGGCTGGAAGAATCCGAGGGTCTGACGAACGAAGCCGGCTGATGCACAAGCAGTGGCCGACATGACGAGATGGTGGAGGGTTAACGGAGTTCTATCAAGGTGTAACTGAGGTTCACAGCGCTTGGAGAGCCACGACTTGAAGGCAGCAGCAGAGCAGGAGGCGAGGGCAGCGATGGGCGTCCGGCTTCCGGCCTTTATATAGATAAAGATAGTCGCCCTCGGGGTCGCAAAAGGTACGGCTGAGCTAAGCGGCTTAGTCATACCCTTAACGGGCCAGAGGGACATCGAGCGGATGACAGCCAATAAAATAAAGGCGTTTGACCCACTAACAGGGACGTTAATCTTGGCATCAACATCACAGCCAATAGGAGCTGCCTAAAATGAGTCATTCTTGCTCACTGTGAGAAAAGTTCGAGATGCCGAAGCCGCGAGACGAGAAGGAAGGAGCCTAGCCTTGTTTGTGTTTAGGCGAGATGACGATCAGCAACGCTTTTCAGCCCTGAAGACAGACCGAGAGACAGATGGAGGAGGCATTGGGGGGGGGTTTCTGACGATGTCGACAAGTTTTGGCTCCTTCATGACAGCTGGGAGTTCAGATCGGCAAATATGATATCTTCATTGCCCGTGATGGATAGGATAGATAACTAGTTTGGATGAGCGATGGGATTCTCGGGATGCTTACTTACTCTCTAGGTTTGACCGAGGCGAGGACTCTCCGTCGGCTTTTGGCGATGCGACACGCATCCGCCCAACTTGACCTGGGCTACGGCATATATATATCCAGCTACATCTGGGCAGGAAGTTGAAGAAGCCCCTATGCCATGGACGATTACGCTAGAAGGCTCAGAATTACTCACTCTTACTCTTGCCAGGTTAACAGCCTCGAAGGAGAGGGATTACTAGGAGAACTGTGATGGCCAAGACATGGGTAAAAGGCGTATGCGTATGGATAGATATCTATAACTGGACGCCCCTCACTAACATATCCGTAAGCCCCTTCGCTAGGTAACTGACTGCCGACTATGTATGTTAACAGGGCTAACCTAACTGAACTGGGTGACAGGCAATTGCTCTACAACCTCCCTTTCAAGTCAGGGCATAATACGGAGTATTCCTTCTCTGGTTGACCTCCCCAGAGACATCCCAGATGTAACTCAAAGGTGCTGAAACAGCCAACTACGCAGCTAGCTAATAATTTACAGGCTGGTTAACTAACTGGGCAACTCAGCTGGATAATAACTATTACCCGAAAGCCATTTTCCAACCCTCATGCTTCGCAAGGGCCTTGCGGTGGGTGGAAAAATGGCCCGGGGTTGCTGGACTTAAAAAGGGATGGAAGGCCTGGGTAACTTTCTGCCGGGGCTTCTGAGGTTCCTTGAGGGTGTCAAGAGTGTCAAAAAGAGGCCGTCTCGGAAGAATATAGGCACTTTCTCATCTCTTCCGTCTCGCTGGAGCGGCCGACGATCATGGAGGCTGCATGTGCCAAGCTCAACAGGAGCCTGCTTATCTTCGTGTCAGAGCGTGTGGAGTGGCGAGGGGGGGGGGGGGGGGGGGAGGGGCCAGCAGGCGCATCGTCCATCCATCCACCGCATCCCATCCAAAGCCGCTAGTTATCTGTCCAGAGAGAGAGAGTTCTAAGATGCCTGTATGTACACAGTACATGCACTGCGCTGCACTGCAGCCTCCTGTCGACCCAGCCAGTCCGCGTCCCCCATCCCCGTTCCCCCAGCCTATAGGGGCAAGGAGAGATAGCGAACAAGATTTGTGATGGTTCAACCCTGGACTTGCCGACGGGCCAGTCAGCGGGCCAGGACGGAGGGCTAGTGTGCAACCACTGCAGCGCTCTCTTGAGACTGTGGACGAGATGCTGGGTATCCAAGGCTGCCATCGCGGCGGTCGACCGTCGAATGCTGGCCAGAACGCCGAAGCAGCGGCGCCAGGAGGAGCCATGGAGGGGAGACGAAGATGCGAGGGCTGCCGCTTCTCAGACAGACACAAAGTATCTATGGGGTAACCCGCTACCTCGCTGCAAGTTACTCCTGGCTACGCCGCTGCCCCCAGCTGGATGGCCTCTTGGAGGAGAGGAAGACGGAGGAGGGCCCTTTGCTGTCCCGTCTCAGCCGTCATGCTGCCCTTATCATATACTAACTAGTTAGCTAGTTGGTTAACTCGGGGAAGCCCGCTGCTTGTCTCTCTGGATGGAGTCGTTAGTCGGGCTGTTTGGCGTGCTGGCTGCTGCTACGCCGGACTACGAACTCGCTGCCCTGACAAACCAACCACCCGACTCGACCTTTGGCTGTCATGTCAACCTGCTAGCTAGCTAGCTCATCCGTCCGTCTCGCACACACACAAAAAAAGCCTTCTTTGCTTTTCGCAATTTTTTTCATCTTTTTTAGTCTTTTTTTTTTTACTTCTTCCTTTTTCTTCTTCTTCTTTCTTCCTCCCCTCCTTTTCC